GTAAATAGTTAGATATACTATAAGTAGATACTAATATATATTATATAACCGCTTTACTCGAACCAGCAGGCTGCAACTTGAAGTTATATCTAAATTGCAGACTATATGATGCAGGCTGTAAGTATTAAATCTTCAAGTTTGATAATGATAGAGTAAAAGAGTAATGATGTGAATACTCGAGTAGTCAATAATAGTAGTAGATGATTCAATAGTCAAGCCAAATCAAATCAAATCAAACGAAATCAAATCAAAGCAGGATAGATAGATACTATAGATAGATAGATAAATAAATAGATAAATAGATCATAATATCAAACAATCTCTCATTTACCTCCCATTTACCTCTCATTCCCTCCTCCTCCCAACCCCTCTCCACCTTCAAGTTCTATTTAATACTTATATATATATGTCAATTCCTCTATAATCTCTCTTCCTAACCTCTCTTCACAACTTCTCCTCATAAACATTTCAAAGTTCAAACAAATATTTATATTCATAGCAGTTTCACAAACACAAATCCATGCCAATTAACTAGACTATCTATCTATCTAATCCATATTATATCATATCATTACATATCACATATAACATATCACATAATCAATACTGAGCAGAGAAGCAGAGAAATAGAGAAGTAGAGAAGTAGAAAAGTAGAAGAATAGACAGAACAAATATGGAATGGTGTTGAACCCCTCAAACTAATTCAAATTCAAATTCATCTTCTCTTCTCTTCTCTACTATATCATATATCACATCACCCATCTTCTCCCATCTTATCCCATGCTCTCTCCATGCTAACTGTATTCAACTCAATTTCAATTCAACACCCCCATGCGCCCACACATCCATCTAGCACTCACTTCCCACTTCTCACACCACCTCACCTCACCTCACCTCAAATCTCTTCCTCAAATAACTTCGCGAAATGTACCAATATATCCCTTGCAAACTCAATTCAAATTCAAATCCCAATTTAATACCATGCATATATGCACCCGACCATTTCTATATTTCCCATTTCTAACACCCCAAGAACGCCACTCCCAGATTGAGACACAAACTCGCAATTTCCCAATAGCAAGCAACCTAGACAATAGAAATTGAAAAGAAAACAAAAGAAAACAAAAATGAAGTAAGAACGTGGGTATCCGGAGATATGTAGACAACAAAACAAGCAAAGAAAAGTATGGTGATACCAGTAAACCTAAACGGCTCCGAGGTCCTTTAGGGCTCCTGCCAATCTTCTATAATCTCTTAATAGCTCCATCACCTCGCTAATTTTGAGGTCTCCTGGATTCTGAAGTTCCATAAATCGTTTGTTTGGTGGAGCAATTTTCGAAATCTCCTTTGATGGTACAGAGGGTATTAAATCAGGGAATGCCTATTCATGTTAGAAACAATGATTTCAAGATGCGATGTAGAATACATACAGAGGTTAAATCAGCAACCCCTCCATCCGGCACGGTTGATCTAGTCGGGGTAGGTGTCGTAGGAGTTGTTACACGTCCGAATCCACGCATCATACCCATCCCGGCAATCCTGTTCATCGGGTTGAGTGAGTTGCCAAGATTTCGCATCGACTCAACAATGGCCGGATTGTTAGCTGGAGCCTGTGGAGACGGTGTGCCTTTCTCTCCACTTTCGTCTTGAACAAATGCTACTCTTTTGCTAGAGCTGCCACCACTTCGATTACTGTCCGTGCTTCTTTCTCGGGTCATTTTGCGGCCACCAATGAAGCTCAGGACTCTATCATCAAGTCTTGGAGCCGAATCACTTCTGCTACGTCCTTCGGGTTTCGACTCTGTGCTAAGCCCATTCTTGTGTTCCTTGACACTTGGACTTTGAGGAGTACTTTCACCACTCAAAGAACCTTCATCTTCCGGCGGAGGAGTACTGACAAGTTTTCGAGCATCGTCCAGGGTCTTTGGGATTGTAATTTCTGAAGCTCGACCTGCGGAATCGCGCTCTTTTAGCTTTCCAAGTAAGAATTTATAGCTACCTTCCAAACTATTGCCAATACTTTTAAACCCTTGATCAGCGGTATCAAAAATCGCATCTCCAGCTGCCCCAAGAGCTGCAGGTGGCTGGAAAAGATCACTGAGCCTTCGGTCTGCGTGTTGAATCGTAGGCCTTAGAGAGGACAGAGATGACGATGTAGGTTTGGTCACCGAAGGACTTGAGGTTGCCGGAACAATTGCTGGAGTCGAAAGATTTGTTGGTGTAATACCAATTGTCAAAGAATCAGATTTATCTGGTTTCGGTGTGCTGGGTCGACTATTAAATTTGGGTGGTCCTGAAGGAACTTCGTCTGCCCTCAGACTTGCAAGATCTACAGTTTCAAGAAATGAAATTGCAGCTTCTAAGTTTGTTAGGCAATATGCAGCTTCTCCATCGATCTTTGTCTCGCATCTAAATCGTTGTATAAAGTAAAGATTGCTTATAACATCAATTCCTTCTGGTCGAGATGTTATGAGAGTAAAAATGAGCATAGGCATGATCTCATCTGCCGATGAAGATGGATGAAAGTGTGATAAGGTATCAACGATACCTTTGTGGGCGGCTTTTAGATGGTTAAGTTTCCCAAGAGGATATTTTTCGTCATTCATCGCAATCAGTTCCCCTCTAGCACCTTCTAGCCACTCTCGAACCTCTAGTTCTCGCTTCTCCGCCGCGTCTGGCTCCTCATTTGATTTTATACCCAAATCTACTCCTAGATCTACTAGTCCAATTCCAACAACCGAAAGAGCGGCAGTTTTCGATCGAAGTTTTTCGTCCTGAGCTTCATCTTGTGAACTTCTGTGTCGCCATATCCTATCATAAATCCCTTCACAAACTCTCCGTTCAATTGCTTCTTCCAATGCCACACGCTTATGCTCAAGCGCTTTCCTAGCCCGTTTTCGCTCATTAATTTCCTCGCTGGTTAACATCTGCTGTTCAGACTCCCTTCTTTCTATTACTTTGGGAAGGTCCTTGTTCATGGAAGTGGCTTTCGCTCTGATCTTGCTTGCTGTTGAGGATAATGATGAGGCCGACGGTACTGGAGAGCTTGCGCGGTGTTGTCGGGATGATAAGGCGGAGATATGAGTGTTTATATGGTTAGCAGCGACAGCATAGAAATCTTGGAAAAGCCCGGACAGTTTGTCGACTGAAGGGGGAGTAGGATGGATCTTCGCAGATAAAGAATCAATAAAGCTACAGCAATTGTTAGTCGGGCAATTTGGTTCTACTAAAAAAAGTGACTGACCTGTCTGCTAAGCTCACAAGCTCTATAGGAAGTTCATCGAAATCTGCAGGCAGCTTCCCAGACACCTCAATCGTTTCCCCATTCTCTCCCTCATCCTCGGAGCTCTTCTCAAATATATCCGATTGTGCCCCAGGTCGCCTGTTCTCTCTCAACTTGGTTTTGTCCGACATTCGCACAGGTGGAATAGTGCCGTTCTGTATAGTATTTGCTCTAAGAGGTCGGGGTGCGCGATCCGGGCTAGGGGGTAGTTCCTGGTTGGATAATGACTTAGATAGTTGCAATGGACGAGGCCGTTGGCTATCACTCTTTCTCCTGGGAGACGACATGAAATCTGGTAAAGTGAATTGCATCTTGTCAGTAAATGACTGCATTTTGATTATAATGAGAGAAAGTTAAGAAGAGAATGGCTACCTACATACCTATCTAAGTATGAATTGTCACACTAATGTCGCATTAACCTGACGAGGCCTGAAACTCTGATCTGCTCAAGCAATAACCGGGGATCGCCTAGAATAGTTTCTTTGAAAAGAACAGGAGAAGGCATTCAAATGAAATGAGAGGGAAAGGAAATGGAAATAGGAGTCAAAAGTAGAAGTAGAAGTAGAAGTAGAAGTAGAAGTAACTAGTTGTATGTAGTCCGAATACCTAGCTTCCGTAATTAGCTTAAAGCTACGAGTGAGTGAGTACCAGTAATAAACTAGATAAAATCAACGAGGACTTATTATTATTGGCGACTCACCTGTATTCCGACCGGCGTATATTTTGAGGTTATTTGGTAATTATTTTGTTCCTGACTCCGATCAACCAAAAAGGGAATATTTACTAGGTATTATGAGATGCAATGCATACGAAGAATATGAATAAGTCAACCATCCAATAATATCTCTTTATTTATATTTTGGTAAAAAGACCCCTTGTTACTTGCATAACTTCCGCCTGATGCTTTGTGGTTGTGACGCCTCCTCTTGGGTTATCGTCATCTTCCATTCTCCATATGTTGAATGAAACATAAGATATCAGACATAAGGTATTCTCAACAAATACAATATTCCAAGTAGATTCCTCTCCTTTTCCTTTATTCTTCTCAATCAAATAAATACCTTTCAACATGAAGCATAAATCATCTACAACATGTTCTTCTGCTGGCAGAGTTACAGCTCAATTACTATTATCCTTCCTAGCCTTATCGACACCGATAAGTGCATTTGATTCAACTCATCATCAACAGCAACCAATAATACCCATACTATCACCTTTTATTCCAGAATCAGATACTAGACAGGATCTAGCGGGACATCATATATTTGTAAGTATGATTCTTCTATTGGTATGTTTCCAATAAATGCTAATAGTAAACTATAGTCCCTTCGCCACGTCTTCCATCATGGAACTTATGATCACCCTCAACTACACAAACAACTAGATATTTTAAACTCCAAGTCCAAGTCAACAGTATGGTTAGAATCCGAAGATGGAAAGGGGCCATTGCAGGAAGTAACAAGGCCGTTGGTCATGAAAAAGAGTCCAGTGAAGATAGAACGATTAAAAGACAGGAGACCTTCAGTGGTTGATCCAATGGTAGCAGCATCAAGAGAGAGCGGGGATATATGGACATTATCACCATCAGCTTGGACAGTTGATGAAATCGCTGGACCAGATATTACAGACAAGGATACAGTCATAACATTGGCACAAATGGCGGCGAACGCCTATGTGGACAAACCAGACACAGGGGACTGGAAAGATGTTAATGGTGGATTTAATCGAACCACTGACTATGGATTTGGATGGGATGCCGATGGACTACGAGGCTACATCTATATGGATGAGACGAACTCGACGATTGTGATAGGATTGAAGGGAACGAGTCTTGCGGTGTACGACGGGGATGGAACAACTACAAACGACAAGGAGAACGACAATTTATTCTTCAGTTGCTGCTGTGGTCAACAAGGCGCTTCATTCTACCGACAAGTTTGCGATTGTGCTACCGGAACCTATACCTGCAATGTTTCTTGCCTCAAGAAAAGTTTGGTATCTGAAAATCGATACTACACCGCGGCTCGACATCTTTACAACAATGTTACGGCTATCTATCCTAATGCGAATGTGTGGATGTCAGGTCATTCCCTTGGTGGATCTATCAGTGCCATGTTAGGATTAACATATGGTATTCCTGTTGTTACATTTGAGTCCGTCCCAGATGCTCTACCCGCAAGCCGTTTAGGTTTACCAGCTCCACCAGGACACAATCCTAGCACACCACAAAAGCGCGAGTTTACTGGAGCTTACCATTTTGGCCACACTGCCGACCCAATCTATTTGGGAACTTGTAATGGAGCTACCGCTTCTTGCTCATATGCGGGATATGCATTAGAAAGTTCATGTCATACCGGCATGGAATGTGTCTATGATGTTGTAGCCGATCATGGGTGGGGAGTACACATTTGGTCGCACAAAATCATAACTGTGATTGAGCAAATCATCAAGGTCTACGATACAGTGCCAGTATGCAAATTCACACCGGAATGTGTAGATTGTCCGCTTTGGAAAGAGGTGGAAGGCAACAGCAGTAGTACCGCTACAGCCCCACCTCCATCAACCTCAACCACAACCACAACCACAAATACACGGAGTCGTACCTCCACATGTAAAACACCGGGATGGTGGGGTTGCCTAGATGAAGATACATCCACAACTTCGAAACCCACGACTAGCGTGCCAGTCACCACCACAACAACTTCATCTTCAACCTCAACCTGCAAATCTCCTGGCTGGTTTGGCTGCAACGATGAAAAAACTACTACTAAAAGCAGTAGCAGTAGCAGTAGTAGCACTTCATTCCCACACATCGCCACCTCGACCTCAGCCTCAACCTCGACCTCAACCTCAAATTCAACCTCCACGAGTACATCAGCAACAACAACCTGTGAAACTCCCGGCTGGTTCGGCTGCAAAGACCCCACCTCCACCTCTACATCCATCTCCTTCAGCACCAATCCCCCACCATCCCACCTCATAACCCCCAAACCACCTCTCCCCTCCCCCACAACCTCCCCCACAACCCAAACATGCACCTCTAAAAACTGGTTCGGCTTCATCTGCGTTGATCCGTCACCAGACGCAAAACCAAAACCAACATCAAGCGCGGCGCCAAAACCTAAAGAGACGTGTTTGAAGAGGAACTGGTGGTTTGGGTGTAAGGAATGGGAATGGGATGGGGAGTTGTAGTTGTAGTCGAGAGGGGGTTTGGAGATAGGATTAGGAGAATGGGAATGGGGAAGAGTCGTTGGATGAGGATATACTGAGTAGATAAGAATGTAATGTAGTGATCAAAGTCTAGTTGTGGTGGATTTGGAAGAAGTAGAGCAGAGCATAGGCGCATATATACAACAAGGATAAGCATAAACATACCTAGGCATAGGCATAGCATAGGAGCCGTCAGAGGCGTTTTTTCTCTTTCTGAATTTGTGTGTTTATCGTGTAGGATTTGATTCTTGAGGGAAATCGATTGGTTTGGATGGGATGGGATGAGTAGGAGCTTACATCGGGTGAATAGCATACATGCATAATAATCACAAACGTAACATAACATTCTCTCTCACATCTCATTCTCACATACCTACCAACCTATTGCTTTCTACCAGATGGTAAATAAAGTCTTTGTGCTTATGTTTATGTCATGCAGTTTGATATATTGTTGATTTGTTTTATTTGGTCTCTTTCTCATACACATACATACCTAGGTATTGTACAACCCTTCTCAAATAACGCCGGCTCTGCTATGCGAATTTGAACTAGGTCAAGATAATTTTTTATCAAATTAACCTTTTTTTTAAAGGTATTCGCCTGGTGCACATAAATGCGCTTTCTATTATATCTCGTCCATCCCTTTCCATTCATTTCCTTTCCTTCGTTTCACGCCTTGCCTTGCCTCGCCTCGCCTCGCCTCGCCTCGTCATTCTACGCGCCGTTCTGGCTGCCAGCCAGCCAGTCAGCTTCTGCGCCCCGCTCCCTTTCCTAATCCTAATCCTCAGAATGTAGACTTTCATCATCGTCATCGTCACTCTGTACCCTTGACGCAATCGTCTTTCCACCCAGACTAGGTCTTATAGGTGAAAGCGGCTCGTCATCCTCCCCCTCTGCATCCGCCTCCGACAGCGCATCTTCCTGTTGCACCGCCGCTGTCTCCACCTCCTCATCTACCCCATCATCATGATCATCTCCTCCAAACGGCATCGTTCTGTAGATATCTATCAGCTGCTTCGTCTCTGCACCCACATCAGTAATACTAAGATCCACCAAATCCGTGATTTGCTCTTCTTCACCGCCAATCATGCCTCTCATTTTCTGTATATTTTTGGTTCTTTGGGGTCGGATGGAATTTCGTTGGACCACAGGATAGTAATGAGCCGCTTTCTGGCGTAGCCCATCGGTTCCATCGTGCATGGCTATTATCACATCATCTTGATATTTCCGGGATGTGTTTCCACTCGTAGAAGCACTTTCGTACGCACGCAATCTTTTCAATCTGAACGACCCTTTGCCTGTTTCCTCATCGAAGCGTGAATAAAGATCCCTATTATCGTGTTCAGGATCCAGGACGTCGAACTTGCGTTTGATATTCTTGGCATCAGAAAGTGTCTCCGGCATGAACATTTCATATTCAATGTGTTCGACCGGAGCTGGATTATTATCGGGATCCAATTCCCAAGCCTTCTTAGCGTCCTCTCTGAATTCAGCCTCTGCATCGCTTTGCACAAGAGGTTTTAAAACACTGCTTTCGACGCGAGGATCGTAGATATTGCTTGGAGGAAGCGGGTTTGTGAGAAATTTGATTAGGACATATCCGCCAGCATCTGGAAAGGAATCAAGATCTGGTAAGAGAGGAACTGCGTCAACCAATTTAACATTTCGTTTTGTAGGATGGCGAACTCGAGTGCGATCTTTGAGATAGCCAGCGGCGATTTCGAAGCTCTTTTCAACTTGTGATTTGATGTATGAGGGTGATTCGCGATCGGCGGACGAGGCTTGAACAGCTTTCGATTTGCGTGTGTCGACGGATCCTTTCGCCGAGGTGGTGCCTTCCATCCGCGATTTCGAGGTATAGCCAGAGGAAATGTATTCTGTGCGCCGCAGAAATGATACTCCCGTGTCGGAGAATTTGGGCTTGCCTAATGTCGCCAATGCTCTTAAGAGAGCGCGATCATGCGGATGAAGTTGTGGGGGGTGTAATGGCGCTTGTATAGCTATTTGAAATAAAAGTGAGCAATTGCGCAAGCTGTAAAATATATGCGAAACTTACAGCTCTCATCTCCATCAAATATGCCTGGCATTCCAACCAGGTCTAATGGCATACCAAGTTCCGCATCGGCTTCGATATTTAATGGTTGATCTCGCGCTAATCTTGTAGCAAATCCAGGTGTAGTATATTGACCACTTGCGAGGCCAGTATTTGGAATATCGAGGAGCTTGGGAGGATTTGGTGGTGGTGGTAAGGCATTGGAATATCGTATCCGGGCAATATATTCTTGATGAACGATTCGAGATGCTGAGGACGCCATCTTGTTGTTCGATGTCGGTTTGGAGGATCCGGTTAAATTTATTATTGAAATTATTCTCAAGTTCGAGATCACAACAATTTTGGGGGAGGTCGCGTCTGGATGAATGAGCACAGGGAAAGTAGCGCTAGTGAGTGACGAGGCTGAAAAAGGGTACTGTGCTGTGGCTGACTCAAGGGCCAATAACATTTCGATCTTTCATGACGGGGTTTATTTGAAAATAAAGTCTGTCTTTTCTTGAGTGAGGAGAGGAGGCTAAAATTCCTGAGGGATTTACAAAAGATGTTCAATATACAATATAGGTGTCACGGCATACCGTCCTCCAATATAGATGGGTAACATGTACGAGTACAAGTAGAAACGCATTAGAGGGACAAAAAGCTTAGGGTGTATGACTTACTTCATTAGACACCCTGGTTTGGCGCCGTTGCGCTCCCGAATAAATTCTAAGAAGATAATACTGTACGGACTTTCATAAGTGAGTCGCCTCTTTGGGAATCTCGATATCCAATTATTCAGTAGTACTTTGAAATGTTTTGTTTTGAAATGTGAGATGTAAGTGATAATAATGTTCTTGGCTTCCTCATACCATCTATTTTCCCGATAGCTTTTCAGCTATACCCAATCCTTGAGCATCCCAGATGGCCCCTAGTATACTAATAACAGAGAAAGGTGTAATTAAAATCAATAAGGTCTTCGCCTCCTGCTCCCAGAATCTCATGAACATATATGAAGTACAGCTGTTTGTACATAAGATAGCGAAGCTATCATTTATTTCTCTTATTCCTTCGTCACCTTAGCAGATCATTCATTCGTTGCATTCCATAAAGCCAATGGAGAGCTCACGAGCTATTCTTGGTGTATTTTGTTTTGCCGAACGAGAAAGGTACGTATCGGTATTTGATCATATGTTGAATTTGTCTTCGCACTATAGAACATGTCAGCATTTGTTATATATAACTCTTCTCCACTATATTCCTCTCTGCAGGGAATGACTCACTGGTCAACGTGAACAGAATCACCCAGTAAACAACCAACACTGGCCAGAAGACGGGTACATCGAAGATCTCAAACCAAGTACAAACGAAACCAATTCCGATTGCCCTCGTCGCCGAATGCCAGAACTTGAATTCGGGAAGTCTTCGAATGAACGGGCGGAATTCCTCGTCTTGTTTGGTTGGTAATCCACCAGCGGCCCCATCTTCCATATCATTATCGATAGCTTCATTGGAGGGGTCGAACTTAGGTTGGAGGAAAGCGAGAAAGAGGTTAAGAAGGTAGATTCCCAGGGAGTATGCCACTGTTAAGATCTGTAAGTTGAAAACGCGCAAAATGAACAAGGCTCGACATACCAATATACCATCCTTGTGCGACGAATATGCGGATGAAGAACATCATCAGAAGCGCGAAAGTGGTGAGCCATCTATAAGGAACAAATGGTGTTGATTTATCTAGCCAAGCTTGGTATTGCTATTTGCTCTTGAGTTAGCTTCGTGGTTCCTTTCCAAACGATTCGACAACAAATCGCATCCATTCATGAACTTACACGTCCTATCTTTGAAGTCTGCGCGCTCACAGCCGCAAAAGGGGTCTGTTCTGGATCCATTGAATCCATATCGATTTACGTATGGTCGTATCGAAAGAGAATAGAGTTCTTGAGGATATTACTCTTAGTAAATCGAAGAAGTTGAGGTTAGAAAGAGTGTTTGATTATAGGCGCGCAAGTAATTAGGGTTGAACATTCAAAAAATCGAGACCACCTGTTACTAGAATTACCCAAGAAAAGCGTCGTGGCTTAGGTCGTGGCGCCAGCCGCCTTACATCTAGCTTCTCTCACGTGATTCATGAGTTATGCGGGAGGATGGATAAGCTCTTTCAATTCCCGAGGATAAATCGGTTAGAACTTGACTTCAACATTTGATAACAAAACCATTAAACTTCTTCAATTGATTGTTCTTCGAGGACTCAAACTGGAGATAAAACTTTTACTTCACCATTTCCTCAACCTTAAATAAACCATGAATTCAATCAGAGCATTAAAGCCCTTTGCCTTGCGATTCACAGCTTCAACTCTCCCCGCACTTTCACGATCCTACTCAGCCAAATCCTCCTACAAATTTATTCAAACTACAGAACCAAGACCTGGCGTGGGACAAAGTACTTAATTCTAACTTATCTAACATGTTCCTTACTAACATTCATCGAAGTAACATTAAATAGACCTGAAGTATATAATGCCCTGTCCGCATCCCTCATTACCGAACTCAATGATGCTCTCTTGACATTCGATAAATCACCCGACATAGCTGCCATTGTACTTACCGGATCTGAAAGAGTCTTTGCGGCCGGTGCAGATATTCAAGAAATGGCACCTCTTACCTTCTCTGAAGCCTACACAACCTCTTTCATAGAATCCTGGTCGAGTCTTACAACAGTCATCAAGAAGCCAATAATCGCAGCGGTATCAGGGTATGCCCTGGGAGGAGGCTGCGAATTGGCTCTGATGTGCGATATTTTATATTGCACTGAAAATGCAACTTTCGGACAACCAGAAATTAAACTCGGAACGATACCAGGAGCTGGTGGAAGCCAAAGACTAACAAGGGCAATTGGAAAAGCCAGAGCTATGGAAATTATTCTGACTGGCGGGAGATTTAGAGGCAAAGACGCAGGAGAATGGGGAGTCGCTGCAAGGACATTTGATAACTGGGGAGAGTTGATTAAGGCCGCGCTGGGTACCGCCGAGACGATTGCTGGATATAGTAAAGTAGCAGTGCAGGCTGCGAAGGAGGTCGTCAACAAGAGCCAGGACTTACCACTCAGAGATGGTGTGGAATATGAGAGAAGAGTTTTTCACAGCCTGTTTGGGAGTGAGGATCAAAAGATTGGCATGAAGGCTTTTTTGGGGGAAAAGAAGGCCAACTGGACTCATAAATGATCCTAGCCATAATACTGGGATTCCAAATTATGAATGACGCTAGCAATGATTTGTTTTTATGTTTTCGGTTTTCTTTTGGTCTGGCTGATCTTTCACCGATCTTTCCCAAGTCATAAAATATACCCTTATTATCCAACCTCAACTCACATTTTGGAGCGCCACTATTTGAATGATCTTCAGAACACAAATTTGCTCGTTCTATTACCCCCCCTTTCCCCCCCCCTCTCTCTCTATCTCTACATATATATCAAGGAACTTGCAAGTTCCACACAAAATTGCAAATTTTCGAGCAAATCCCTGGCTGGTACTTCCCCCTCAATAAATATCGTCATCATCCATCATCATCATTACTACACTTCGCTTCGCTTCACAGCCTCATTTCCAATCACTATCACCATCACCATGACAATAATCCACATGCGAGTATATCTGATGCCATAAGCTATGCATACCTAAGCGTTATCACTACTCGAGTAATATAAATTTCTATTACCGAATGAGATGAAAGGTTGGGGTTTCCCACACTTCATGTCACTTTCATACAGAGTATACGTTGCAGCTACCTAGATTTACTATACATAGGCATTGGTGTGGTATTGCTGGTTGCTGTTGCTATTACTCGTATGTAGTATATTATATACCGGGACTTACAGATTTGTATAGTAATCTATAGAGAAATGTTTCATTTATCTTTGTGGAAATGCACACATAATGGCTAGTGTTCAAGTCAATTGATATGATGGGATGAATGACAATGTAAAGTCAAGTGAAGATGTCAAAGTCTGGAAAGACCTAACTAACGTCTACTCGTCTGATCTTCAACTTATTCTTTCATCTTATTGGGTAAGAAATCTTTCGTTCTATCTCCATCTCTGATCATGGGTCCACTAGGTTATCTATCGTCTGAAGTTATGGGTTGATAAATGCTAGATTACTAAATATCGTTTCAGGCAAATATTCACAGAACGCTGAGAAGTATATAAGTGGAAACTTTCAATTGACTAGCGACCAGAGCCCGTCCGTCTATTTCCATCTACTAAATGTACTGTCCGTGACAGAAGAAGAAAAGTATATACAACAAGAGACTAAAAATCCCCTCTGCCATATTCTCCCTCTCGAGAAATCACCACTGGCTTCAAAGATAAAAATATAAGAATAATCTAGGTCCAAAGATCTAGAAGTTCAAGGTAACACCTGCAGATCCAACAACACTGACCTTAACCTTGCTGCTTCCCAAAAGAGTATAGCTGTATCCCAACTTGCTGGCAGTCAACGTACCCTTAGAAGCCTCATTGCTGGAAGAACCAAAGTCGTTATCGTTCGAAACGGCATATCCAGCATCGGTGGTATACAAAGCCTTCTTGGAATCGTTCCAGACGTTGGACTCGACGAGTACTTGAGCACCGTCACGAGTGTTGATACCGTCGGATACGTTGTTGTGGTACGAGTTGAAGATGTGCGCGGTGCCGAAACGGATGGATGGGCCGCGGGAGTTGATGTTTTGCCAGAAGTTGTTGGCGTAGGTGACGTGGAGGTGCCCCGTGTCTTCGGCGGAGTTGGAGTCGGAGTGCCCGATGAGGGACGCCTTCCAGTGGTCGTGGATGAAGGAGTTGGAGAAGGTGACGAAGTCCGAGGCGTGTGTTACGTCGAAAAGTCCGTCGTAGTAGTCTTTGTCGTGGTCTCGGTTCGAGGAGAGATCCACGTGGTCGACCCAGACGTTGGTGGATTTTTCTAAGAGGGACGGGTTAGTTTGAGATGGTTGGATGGGGAAGGTTGGGGAAACATACGGATTCCGATGGCATCAGCGTATTCAGCAAGAACGTTCGTAATGGCAATGTTACGGATGATAACATTGGATTGTCCCTTGACGAGTCTGTGACTTGGTTAGATGATGGTAAGTCAGAATAGAGGGGGTTTCATACAATCCAAAACCATTGAAAACCACCTTGGAGTTTGTACCAATAATGGTTGTATCGCTAGCAACCTTGACTTGTTTCGCAGCTTGAGTGATAGGACCCGAAACTACAACGACGGTGTTTCCTGCGGTGGCGGCCTTGGTGAATTGAGCGTAGGTAGAAACAGTGGTGGTGGCTCCTCCAGCTCCTCCTTTGGTACCACCGTTGGTGCTGGCGTATCCAATGGTGCAGGCGTCGGTGACGGAAGCACGTTTGGCGATAGCAGCGCGGTTGACAAGCTCGTCGGATGTTGGGGTTGGAGCAGCAGAGGCAAATGCGGCCAAAAGACCTGCGGAAACGATGGAGAACTTCATAGTGAAAGAGTGTAAAAGTTGGATACCTGTCCGTAAAAGAGTGTAAAGTTTTTGAAAGTATAAAGACTGTGGAAGTGATGCTATTAGATTTCGAGATACATCGTCGTCTTTATAGAGGAATCGTTGACGCTGAGGTCATACCTTAATATCGCCAAGTTCATCTGATCATTGATCTCATGGTACTAGTTCAATGCAAAGGAGGATCTGGAAGCACTCCTGGATCCAAAAAAAAAATGTTTCCCATAAACAACCAAAGTGTTTTAGATGGTGGAATATATACGTGTGGATTGCATATAGGAGTAGAATGATGGTCAAGACAAAGAATAGCGTGGCTATGCTGGATAGATGGTGGAAAATTGGAGAGTGAAGACAGAAAAACAACTAATGCATACCGCGATGCTGATATCTTTCACCACTTTTTAGAGAGGCCAAGACAAAACTCCCTGTATTCCATTCTCCAACTTTTGAGGATACTTCTTGGGATTGTTTCTAGCTGTACAAAAGCCAAGACTTCTAAACTAGCACCCGCAACACCCACCGGCGTATATAAATTCTTGGCGGCAAACGGATAACGATATGATCGATTGAACCGGCACTGGCGAAGTTCAACATTCGGTTGCACCCTTAGTAACGGTAGACATATGCGTGCATACTCCACGAAACGCGTGATACTTACCACGCAAATTCCCATGAGGTTTGATACTGTTCAAAAAGTTCAGTTAGTTTCTCATCTGAACCAAAATACTCTCATCGGTCCTTTCGGACTCTACGGAGCAAAAGATGGAGATTCGAGAAATGATGCTTGCAAAACCCAAGAAAGACCAAGTGCTGCATTTCCAACTCATATTTTCTCAGATAGATTGAGTTTATTGTTTCGATTCCCCTCTAAACATATTCCAACCAATCATTCATCATTCGTTAATTAAAGGGTCCTCTGAAAAGTTGAAACAAGATTAACGAGGACCGGAAATTGTATGGGGTACGCTTGTACCAAGCCTGGGTCACATTTCGTGAAAATAGCCTAAATAAAATGGAACCTCCACATTTTCCTTTTCCATCAACCGGAAAGTCAAAATTTCTAGAGGGCGCGTTTGCTAATGGTCAAAAATCAAAAGGGACAAATTAGAATTAACCCCAATCTTGACGTTACCATCTAACACGAGGACCCCTATTCAACATATTAAGAGCCCCCTTGAGAAAAGATAAGATTAGATCTTATACTAGAAGTAGAATATGCTGTATACTTGCGGTTGCATCGAGAACAGCTACCGGTACTCTCGGCAATATTCGGAGAGTTTGTTAAGAAGTATGAAGTACGAGTAAGCAAGTTACGACTGGTAAGGTTGACGGCCGCTGTAAATACAATCACTATCAACTTATTAGCGATAGTAGAACAATGATGTAACCACGATTCTTTTCGGTGGGAATGAATGTCCTTCTCAAAGCATTTTTCTCTTAGAACTTGGCTTTTTGGTAGAGGCCTGAATTCATACAATACAACACGTTTGGGATCATATCGTCACCAACCCTTGCGTTGAATATATGAGGTTATAAAACTAAGTTGAAATCATGATCAGTAGTTTTCGAACGCTCGAGCATGCTGGGCGCAATAAGTGTGAGGCTGTCAATATTGTCTAGTCCTGGGAAATGGACATCCATGGTGGTACCTTCTGACCGCTTCTCCCATTTAGAGTTGTCCTTTATTTGGTTGTTCAGCTCTATGTCAGGAATTTCCAAGAATGATAAAGAAGGCGTGGTCTTGGGAGTATTCGGCGTGGTCACAAGGTGACGATAATGTCGATGATGCCATGATTGAAAGCTCAAAAAGTAAAGGGCGCAAGAATCGTTTCACAAGCAAACAATTAACTCAAAGTTAATACAAGTATAACATTGTGAAATGCGTTTGTCCCGTCTAGCAGACTAAATAGACTCATATTCTATACAATTCTGATGCTCGAAATGCTGAGGCTCGTTGACAAGGGATCCGAAGATGAAGTGATCTGGGCTGGAAGTCTTCGATACATCGGAATATGGAGATATGCTATGGAAACTTGGGACAATCAAATCGCTTGTTTTGTGTCCAAGCCAAGGAGAAACTTTGGAATCGAGGAAGCGTATAGTACTAGAGTAAGATATTGATCCTTCTTCCTTTTTCGCATCGAAAGTCCTTCCTAAAAATTCGGAGGCGGATAGCTGGAATGAGCGCTTCTATATGGGTATCCTCTCCGTAGAATAAGAACACGCTGAAATTAGTTCGTATAGAAGCACACTAGCGTTCTCTCACAAGTTAGACAACACAAGATCTGTGACTGAAAAGTATAAACATAAATTAGGTGTATAATATAACATTCGATTTGGAGAGGGATGTCGTGCAGGGAGATTCGTTTTCACCGCCTAAATTTATGCCACCAGCACGGGCCACAACCCAATTCTATAACACCCAACACCGACACCCTTCGAATTTTCTTCAACTCAATCTTTCGAGAAGAGAACATAAGTTCAAATATTCAAAGTTACATCCATCCATTCTCACAAACTAATCCCTGTCCCTCAAGACGTACATTTTATTTGTTCATTTGTCAAATCAGCGAGTTGCTCGGCAGGCACGAAGAGGTCATCATATGGGGGGTTGAGGGAGGTGGCGAGGGGCAACGAAGCAACGACAAAGCAAAAGTGAGATGTCAATAATATCAAAGCACGAATTTATGTTGCCTTGATAGGTGAAGTCGCCTGGGGCTTTGCGGACAAAGTTGTTTCATGCAAGTGTGCTGTAGACACCTCCGATGACAACTTTGGCAATCGAAGGATGTTTCTCGACTCTGATGAGCATGTGGAATAGAACATCTGGTTTTGGATTTGTTCACTCTACTGGCTGAAAGTTGGCGAGCGCTCTTACTTGTTTGCCGATATTGCCACTTAGCTACGCTACTTACTCATAAGTACAGTCCTAGAGTACCTGATATACTTTCCTAAGCAGACATTCGTTTGGGTTACGACATCAAGAGTTAAGTGACCACGCGTTGTTCCGAGATGAAGATCGTTTCCTGTCAGCTCAACATAACGTTGGAGATATATTCAATCTCATCCCATCTTTAGCCAAGACTGCCAGCCAGCACCTGGTCGGCTGTGAATATATTTATGTTTTTGGATCTTTTCAACATTCCAAATGCTGAGCAGGCCTACACCAACGCCTTGAAACTATCTCGACCGGAAGCATGGTCTCTTGTGACTGGCGCTCAAACTGGAATTAAGCAACTGGGTGAGCTCGAGCTCAAGCCCCCATGTGTGAGCCAGGGATAAAACGATATATCGGCATATCGCGGATACATTGGTCGAGATTTGACAGAGAGTCACGGAGGATATAAATCTCATCATTAAGGCTACTGCAGAGTATGGCGAGGAAGAAAATGAAAAAAGGAGCGTGGGACTCGAAATGTTCTGGATTAAGAGAAGAGTAATCAGTCTTTCGTGGGCATATCTAAAAGACGGATTTAATTCACGGTAGAGCTCCTCCAAGAACGGCATTCGATAATACTAAAACAGTGATTTGAATGGTCTGGGTCGCACCCCAACAATGAGTTGCCGGTATCTGTATCTCTTTCATATATTGAGGAATTCTGGGGCATTGAAGTTGTTAGGAATATTGATATCATGTAACATTCTAGCTCAGTCATTTTCAAAAATTCACGGCTTTTCGAAGATCGAAAGGGTTCAAACCTCAGAGGGCATTCCAAGCTGTTGAACACCCTGTATCAGAGTTACTGAAGATGAACTTCCTGTCAAGACTCAAATTCTCAAACGTGGTATCTAATCCTTATCTATGAACAGGAACCGAGTTCATAGCTTCTAAATTCTTCTGGAGGTTCTACCATAATAATGTGAACTCCGAGCCTAAGTCCTCGAGCCTTACATAGTCAGAACACAAATTATGCTGACGTCTCGTCGATTTTAAGGTACACTAGGATCCCCAGCAAGACAAATTGACAATGCAGAAGCCCATTGTGACTGAGTCAAGCCATATTCGTCATTATAGTCATCCATGGTCATTACCCCTGCATTCATAGGCCCATCTTGGTCAATAATATTCGCGCAAACAACCTGTCCGTTGTTACTAGAAATGAAGTCCCCAATTTCATCGCCAATGGGCTCGACTTGAGCTCCGTTCCAGTCGTTCCAGCTAAATTTCATTTAATCGGTTAGTGCTTGATACACACAAAGCTGAGGGAAAGCTTTCAAGTATGAAATGACGGTTATGTAAAGGAGGGGTTGGTTGGAGGGCAAGGGAGACAAACGCTTGTTGGTTGTTATCCTCCCAAAAATAAGCAGCAACATAGCCACCATCATCAGCCGCATCATCTCTCCTGTTTTTAGCCCCGGCTGCGCTCTGAATAGCTTTGACACCTAGCATCGACCCCAGCTGTCGGAAGTGAACTTCATGGTATAAACCATTGATCGTTGTGTTTCCAATGGGTGTCCACACTCCATCGATTGTATTGGTCTTCAACTTGAACACCGTTGAGGATGACTCGCTAGGCAGCCACAAATCGTGGATATTTGCCGTAATGCCTGCAATATCACGCCGAGCGGGGCCATTGGAGGTTCCCATGGTAGCATATACGAGGTAAAAGTTGGTGAGTGCTGCTATCGCAGCACCCGTTATGCAGGCTGGTATCACACCAATTGCACACAAGCCGCCTGCAAGAGCGACGTTACTAGCAATGACAGCAAGAACGACCTGGGTGTCGGGAACACCTGCATCTATGCTTAGGGGGCTTAGAGCAATGTCTTTAGTTGTCCACACTGGAGTATCGACGAAGTTTATGATCACATCTCGAGTGGATGATAATCCTTGACGGCTGAGAGCAACATCCGAGGAAGGAGTTGTCGAGCCATTAACAAGGGCTAGGAGGCATGCAATAGAAGTAAGAAAGTGAGAAAGCAGCATGGCTTTGAAGTGATAGAAACTGCTATTTTTTCATCAATGTATGAAGAATATTTTGCTCGGTATTGACTCGAAGGGTCGTTTATTCTTTATAAGTTCCTTGGCTACAGTCATTTTTCTATCTGAATACCACCATCGGTCAATGAAGTCCATCAAAATGAGCTATCAAGTGGTCATTGCATATTTGGCTGGCAAAAGCCACAAGCTTGAACTTCCAGAGGTGCACGAACGGGCCGAAATTGATTGTTCGGTACTCTCTCATGTTTATGGTTGCTGGAAGGTTAGGTTGTGATAGCATTTTCATGTCATTTTGTGCTATCAAATCATATCAAGTCAACTTAATTTTTGTTTGTCCATTATCGCATCAGCAATTTTTACACTGATGTACGCCAGTACACGGTGACTAACGCTGAAGATCGTACAACAAAAGGGAAATCGCATTACTCTCATACTCTCATATATATAACCCAAAACGTATATTCGTAAAGAATACACTAAAATATCAAAGTTTAGATACTTATAATAAGATCCACTAGATCTTCACTTCATACTCGTATATTGGCAACTGAATTACTTAAACAATATCCAACATCATAGAATTCCACAGTCCTAGGATGTTATGAGCGTATTTCTTTGTGAAATGTGATACATACCACCACAATACGGGTCTGTATACGGAATACAAGTACAGTAACACTAGTGTGAATACTGCTTATCAGATATCATTGTTCGAGTAGATATGAAGTTAAATATGATATGATGTTGATCCCAAGGACCTTCAAAAAATCTCCCCAAAGATTAAGTATATCTCGAAACCAACATTTTTTTTCATGACCCTCGATCTAAAGACCGTGTGCTGTTCAGGTAGTATTGCTATGTTATGATTCAATATTCAGAGTTATCATACAGCCCTACCGCGAGAATGGAGCCATTGTTCACTAGACACCCAACCGAGTTTACTGTTGGTGGCGTTGACGTTGTGCTCCCTGCGATACAGTAAAGTAGAGCCGCTCTAGTGGGTAAAGTAATACAAGTCGTACCAGATAAGAGTGTCATCAAGGAAAGCAAATATTAAATCCCATGGTCAGTGACTCAGTATTCCAACACAACAAAAAAGTATATGTACTGAGTAAGTGAGCTAACTTCCTGGTGGTCATAAGCCAGAAATAAGATGGAATGAGGCCACCCTCTAATTTAATCTAATTCTCCTATCTCATCTGGATTATGAAAATACCGAGTACGTACTCGGCGCGGATGAATCATTCCGTAAAATAGTAATGAAAGTTATGTTGTAGAGATAGGAGAGAATCTCATTTCAATAATCAACTTCTGTCCTACACTCTCAGACTCCGCTCCTCGCTCCTCGCTGTAAACGAACAAGCAATCTCAATCCATCTCCCAAGTGTACACAAAATGTCCACTCCACGACCACCATTTCCCCCGCTCAACGCATCCCCATTCATCGTCCGGGAAAATTTTTGCCCGCGCACTTCACACGTATCACGACATCCCACAGCAACAAGCAGAGAATATAGCGGCGCAATGGCAGTATGGTCATGGATCAGAACTTGCATACTTTGATTTAGATACGTTCCGCTCGATATTCGGTGGTGAAGTGGGGACTTTGCTGTTTGCATATGTGAGGAAGGAGGGGAGGATATATCGCTGGTTAGGGCTAGTGAGAGCGGTCGGTTGGGCAAACGAGAGATGGTTGGGAGGAGTAGGATGGATATCTTTGGGATGACTCCTGGTTGTATGTTTCTTGTCTTTTTGCATACCCTTTCGGATTGTGTTTTTATTGTTTTCTAATACAGGATTTAAAGTGTCGATCATGTATTTGCTATTCGGTCTGAGTATCCTCTTCGGTCTTCTAGAATGGTTTGAGATCAACACGGCAAGTACGGACCGAGTTCAGACTCTGAGTATACTTTGTGGATGTTCATTCTTTGGATTTTTGTTCTCTTATATCTTGTTTTACTTCCCACCTGGTCACTAGAGACGTGATGTAAGAAGTTTTTGATTAGGGTAACCAATGGTTCAGACGGTAGTCCAATAATGAGAGGATTTGAATCTTGAAATCCTTTTGGAAGACGCTACTTAATTATGGCGTGAATTGCAGAACAACTATTTAGCTCATTTGAGGAGGGCCCAAACCCGGTGTTGGGATATGATATGGGGTACATGGATATATCTTTCAGGTGATGGGATTAAGTGAGAAGTTGTAGGCAAGTGGGAAGATTGACAGGGAGGAGCTTGAGGATCCGTTGGAGGCCCGGAGTAGAATTTTGGTTTGGGGAGAGTGGATTGGGATTTGTGAGAGGAAGAAGCTAGAATGACTTTCATGCAGGACTTCCTACTGTATGGCTTCCGCATAGTTGCAGAACGGAGATGAAGATATAATAGCTAAAACAAAACAATCTCGGCTGATCTATTCGAGTAAAGTGTCATGAACTTACTACAAAAGCTATTTGTTTCGACAGCACCGCCAAACGAAACGATCGTTCCTCTAGTGCGCTAAAGTTGGAATAATCATCCTACCGGGATTACTATTTTTTGCTAACTGTAAGGACTACCTTACAACCTCTGTCCATTCTGTTGCAATAACATTACTGGCATAAAGCAATTCTCCACCAGATTACATTGTTTTCGTGTATCGAAATTACACCCATGGGTGATTACACTTCTAGTTTCTACCCAATTGACACCCATTGTGAGTGTGCAGCCTAAGGATTGAAGAGTATGATCTCCTGTGCGTATTAGTACTCGTACAATGGCACATAAACGCAAGATCAAGCGTCCGTTAACTGTAAAGGCATGAATCAAAGTGCAGCATTTGCAATTGAAATCAACGAATCTATTGCGCAGAATACCTTCTAAATACACCACGCTCAATATAAAAATTCAAAGCAATGTGCAAGCCAAAATATACTCTAAGCGCTCATCTATCCCGACGTACGCGTATAAAATATAGACCATGGAGATGAACTCTGCTCAACACTCGGCACTAAAATCTTAGCCTCTGTCTGGTCTGTAACCGGATCCTTCTCTTTAAGTATAATATCTCCATGTGAAACCGGATCCCCGTGTGGCCAACTGGTGATTTCAGCAGCCGCTTGCGATTGTGAAGCTGACCCGAAACTAAATAGGTTAGTGAAGAATCTAGATATGAGACTTTGGGTCGGTGGTGTAATATTCTCGCATATCTCCTTTGCGAGACGAAGAGGGAGGAAAATTCGAGGTTCGCCGGCCGCTATGGTGACTTTGATGGATCGTTTGACGGTGAATGATTCTCCTGTGAGGATGTCGACTAATATGGTACCTTTTTTGAACATGGTAGGTACGGAGATCTTTTTGGGTTTCGCTTGGCTACCTTGGTTGGTCAGTACCATGAGTAGAGGGCCCTTTTGCGTAGCAGCAATGTGGTCGTCAACATAAAGACGTGTGGTTAGATGGGTACCGAAACCGGAATCCCAACTCAGCTTTCGGATCTGATTCAAACGTGCGATGTACTGGTATAGTGGAGTAATGTTATACTTGGATGTCCACATCAGTTCTCGGGAGCCAGGATCCCCATCTCCAGAATAGGATTGCTCTTGTCCGTAGTAAATGATTGGCACACCATCTGTGAGTAAAGTCCATGCCATAGCATTCTTCACGACAGCCAAATCTGCGTTCGTGTCGTGGGTAAACCGCGGCATGTCGTGATTCTCCATAAAAGTCGACATTTGCTGCATGTCGCAGAATTTGGATCGGTATTCAGGAGTGAGGAGGTTGATAAGATCGTACATACTTCCACCATCTCTATTGAAGGCTCTCTTCAAAGGATAATACGTCCCATAATCTAAGAGTCCTCCGATGTATGGTTGATATGCGCTTAGGTAGTCAGGATCTCCTGATAGTACCTCACCCAAAGACCAAACCCCCGCAGACCGAACAAAATCCGGCCAAAAATTCTTTCTGACATGTTTGGCGGTATCAATTCTCAGACCATCAATCTTGAACTTCTGTACAATTTTGGTGATCCAACTCTGAAGGGTGATTACCACATTAGGATCTTCGGTATTGAGATCAGGCAAAGACACATGACCGTCCCCCAACCATCCTTCCTCACAATCCTGTTGATTATCATAGTTGGTGATCATCGACTTTGGATGATAGTATGATGAATCATTGAAAGGTACGTATCTGGAATAATCCACGGTAGGGGGTGAACCCATATGATTGACCACCACATCAATCATCAAGAACATTCCCCGTGCGTGCAACGCATCCGACAGGGCGAGTAAATCGTCTGCAGTTCCAAAATGTGGATTTACTGAATAAATGTCCTCGGTCCAATATCCATGATAGGCAACTCCATATTCGGTCACTTCTTCGATATTCTTAGAAATCTGAAGAGAGTAGTTAGTGACTGAAGTTAATACATTGGTGATGCTGAAGAAACAAACGGGTGAAATCCATATGGCGTCGAAACCCATTCCTTGGATGTAATCAAGTTTAGATATTATTCCCCTCCATGTTCCACCACAATAATCTCTAATCCCATGATCTGAGCCTCCAATCTGGCGGTTCTCGTCTTCTATGGCAAATCTGTCGGTGAGGACTTGGTATATGGAACGTCTTTTCCAGGCCTCGGCGTTGGACATGGTTTGACAATTGATAATGGAAGATGAAATAGAAATGATTGAAAGCAAAATGTTGATATTAAAATTAGTAAGGCGGCTTCTAGATTATATTAGGACGCTTTGGAAAGATAGAAGAAATGAAAGGTATTAAATAGGTAGGTAATTTTGTTTATTTCTCGAGCTCGTATAAAATGGATACGGATTAAGTATCGCCTTTTCCTTCTTTAAAATTAAGAGGTGCGGAAGGCTTTTTTAAGCTATATTCCAATTGACATTAGCTAGTATTGAAATCGGAAATTTGATTTAAAGAAATCCATCCAATTAAATCTTTTTCATTTTATTTTGTATATATTTCATTACTCGAGTAAAGCTCCTCTTAAAGAAAATCTCGATGGAGAGGGATGAATACCTTGTAGAAACAAAATATCACGTGAGTATGATCTACCCCTATCTTGAACCTCACTTCATCATCCGTATAGTATTTCTAAACGAGACTATAAACGACACCCAAAAGCTTATTTGAAAGAATGAAGGAACACTATTGATTTCACTACCCTGCCCTGCTACGCCGATACTAGTAACTAGTACACCCCAATGATGATACAGTATCAATACCAGAAGCTATCGGCATCAACAAGTGATCTTGTCTCATACTTCTAGAAATATAAATCAGTATTAAAAATTGCTATCCCCATCACCAAAGGTTATTTCTATATTCCCTCGCCCGGAATCTTCACTCACTACTCTGTACTCACTACTCTGTATTAAAGATATATTCCGAAGAAATTAAAAATGGATAGGATGCAAAAAGGCCTCAAATACCATCTTGCCCTCTCTCATTATTATTATTCTTCTTCTTCTTCTTCTCCTCCTCCTTCTCCTCCCTCAATAAAACCACAAAAGTCCCAAAAAGGCTCAACCCCCTCATCCTTCTCAATCTTCAATCCTCAATCCTCAATCTCCAACCTTCAATCTCCCAAGACTTCATAAACGGTACTACATTTTACCCTTTTACCATGTTACCACCTTACCACATTATCAAATTTCCACTTCATTCCCCATTCTCCATTCTCCATTTCCCAATCCCTATAAAAGCAAAACAACGAGCAGATAGATCGCATACCTCCAGACGTACCTCCAAACTACTACTCCAAACCTCCACTTCAAATTAACCTCCCCCTCGAACCTCACCTCACCTCGCTCGATCCATCCATCCATCAAATCTTACAAGAAGACTTTGTATATTGTCCATTATTGAACTGAACTAAAGTTAATAAACTTTAGGACATTAGAGCACCGATACACCGATCAAATTGACAAAGCACAGCACAGCACTCCTCCAAATCAAGCACTTGCCTGCTCAATCGGGCGCGAGACGCTTTATTTTTGCAGGGTAAGAGGATTCACAACAAGTCAGCATATTATCAGTAACTGTACAGTAGCCATAAAACTCATTATCTCCATTTTCAATCTTAACAGTAATGATCTACTCCGCTTCGCCAATAATAACCAGTAGACCAGTCTACTCCCGACTCTCATCATCATCCTCTCCTTCCAAAGGGCACTCTTGGGAAATCCAGCGGCAACTTCAATTTCGCCGTCCTCCTTTGGGCGGCAGTTGCTTTGTCCAAATCCAATGCCTTCCTCCTCGTCTCCGGAAGCCCCACCACCCTTGCTCCAATCTCCTTGAAATATTGTGTCATGTCCTTCGTCTCCAACTTCAGATCCAACTGGAGATCGTAGAGATCAACTTCGTAATTATCAATTAGACATGCCAATGCACAAACGTGAGTAATGAGGAGATCAGATTTGAATTTTGACATTATGCCGGCGTCCGAGTACTTGCGTCGTATGTCTTCAATGACGGATTGTGGTATATTTTCACCCAACTTCGATTTCATTTCTTCGCGCTTGGGTAGCATTCTTCCGCCTCGCATGGGTTTACAGGCCAAATGTAAATCTAACAAAAGAAGGAGGTATCGCAAGACCCTGAGCTTGTTAACTCCTGCGGTAGCTGCAGTGACGATTCTCGTCGACACATATCTCGAATTGGTCGTGATGTTCTTCTTTGCTTTGACTGATTGCTCCCATTCCAAGACTGGTACAGACTTGAAAATGTCACCTCCAATGAGACTGTCCACCGTATACACATCTTTGATGTCTTTCGCAGTAAGGTCTACCTTTGGTCGTGGTTTAGCTGCATCCGCTTGTTCCTCGAGATCTTTCCTGGATGCCATGCCAGATGTAGCTTCTGCCATAGATGCAATGATGGCAGATTTTGCAGCATCCAATTTCGCAGGTTTGGCACCATTCGCGACCAATCTTGAGCCTCTATTAACGGAAATGGCATTCTCAGTGACGGAAGCAATAGCCTTCTTCGCCTTCTTAGTACCGAAAGTCTCTCCAAGGTCGTTTCGAAGCTCTCGTATAGTCTGCAGAGAGCCTTGTTAGCATCTGTTATAAGAGGTCCTTGCAATAGACCTACTTGTTTCGCGAATTCTGCCTCCGAAGCTTGATGTGCTCTAACGCTTCCACGAACCACCATCTTTCGCGCCTCCATAACCTCTAATTTTCCGGTCTTTGGATCGTACACACCAACATAATGCTTCAATAATGTATCAGATCCACCCGCTTCTTCCTCTCGTGCAGTATAATCAAGTTTTGGATGTTCTGAGGAATGGAGAAGGACTTCTGTCGTTGCAATTGCTCCGCTACGTCCTGGTCGTTGGGGGGCATTCTTGCGAGACTTTGTGAATGGTTGAAGAGATATAGATGCTGGTATAGCCAATCCAGGAGTTGATGCTAGAAGTAGTCAGCCTTCCATGACCTTAACCACTCGTTTTGAGACCACAATGGTTCTCCTACTCCAAGATGAAAAACTTACCAATCACAGGCGCCCATTCATCACCATCTTTCAGAGAAATCTTAACATTTTTCTCACTCTCGATTGCAACTTTTTTGCTTGGTCTCGAGGAACCATCAGCATGATTCTTACGTTTCTTACTCTTTTCAACTCTTTCCGCCATTTTGTGATTCAGTGTAAAGCCTTGGTAGAGAGTTGTATGAAGCTGCAAGCTTCTGTTCTGTCGCAAAGTAAATAAAAATTTGGAAGAGGTCGGCAATTGGAATCTTTTTTTCCGACCTTTTGCCAAGACTAGCCAGCAAGGCTGAGATACTGAGATGAGTGAGGCTGGGGTTTGTGACCAATAATATCAATGAGTGAGTGAGTTGGGAGGTTCCTGTCGAGCTGGTAATATAATATGCAGCTTTTCTTTTTACACATTTTATAGATTCTGATATTCAAATCATATTATCACAAGTGAGTAGCTCCAATGCTGTAATAGAACATGGTTGTTTACATTGCACTCAGGTCAGTCTATAATGGGGATGAATCAATTCTGAACAGTAGGTATATTCTGTTAAGAATACTCAAAATGATTCATTGACCAACTTAGGTGAGACTGCCGTGAAGATGCGGGCGGGTAGAGGAAGACTAAGTTTGAAGACAATGAGCACTCTATTTAAAATTCGCTCTTCTCATCCTCCTTTCTATACCCATCTAGATACCTACATTTGGGAAGGGCGACCTGTTAACTTCTCTTCTGTTTGAAATACCCATTAACATAAGTTGTTTAATAGTGTGCGGGGAAATTTGAAGTATGACATCAACGCCAACTATAAACCACAAACATTCTGGGTATATTGAGCACCCCCAAATAGCCATGGAAATTGTTAATCAAGCAGATGAATCACTTTCAAATTAATTCACCATTTGCATAGAAGATATGTGTGAAGATGAACTTCGTTTTTTTTTATTCATTCCTATAAGGTTTGAAGCTATAAAAGGCTTTTAGCATCAGAGGCAGCTTCTTTCCCATAACTTCTTGGTTTGTAAACCTTCAGTGAACAAATCGACATTGTATTGTTGACCGATCATGCTTTCTCCCAGATATTCCACCACATGCCAATGAGTGCGCGTCACCAAACTGATCTTTTCCTTGAACACCCAGCCGCCAAATACGAAGTGCGAAACCCCGAACTTGATGAATACCGAAATGCTGAAAAAGGCGAAAGACGTTGATGCGAGAGATGGCGCAAACGAAAGGAGTTTAAGTTGTCATGACGTTATAATTTGGAGGTAAGGTGATCGAGATCGAGTTGTTGTGAGTAGTTTACTTGCTGTGGAGGGGTTAGTGAAATGATCAACAAAGGATTTATACCCCACGACAAAGACCGCTGGAGAGCAGATCTTCGAACTGGAGCAAAACGAGGCAAAACTTACGATCTGGCACGAGTCTTACGGCGCTTTCGCTTCAAGCGGCGAGTCCGCTTCTTTCTCCACTTATTACGCCTGAGAGACAATTATTAGCTATGAGATCCTGAAAGTTGCTGATGTTGATAATGTCGGGAATGAAGGTGAGGGGTAAAAAGATGATTCTCATAGAAATGAGGGGATGAATGATGGTTGTGATGATTCAAATGCTTTCAAGAAGCAATACAATGCATTCTTGACGACAATTGAAGAAGAATTGGATATGTTTTCAAACTTACATATTGAATGTGTAGTATAAGAGTCTTTGAAGGAGAAAGAAACGATTGAGTTGATCGAAGCTCGCAATAAGGTGCTCGATCTCGGTTAATTTTCGAGCTAATTTAGCGTTCTTTGTGGCTTTAGGGCTAGTCACATGATTGCCCACCTGTTCTTTTGGCTTCAGACATACAATATTGTTATCATCCCTCAGAAGTGAATTCTTTTAGCTGGTCGGGCCCGACCCTAGGAAGGTTCGAATGCGTTCCCGCAGCTTCTACTGGAATCTGGAAAGCAATCGTCGGTGGAAATATCTCCTCTCCCGAGTTCCTAGTTTTCAGACAATTACGGTTCAATTACCTGTTTTACCGTAATTTAGCGTAGCTTGATCCACCTTTACATTGTTAATCCCCATAAATCGTAATAATACGCATATCAACCAATTATACATAGTAGTTGAATATCATTGGTTAGTTTATAGATTTTAAAAAAAGTCAGAGCTTCATGTAATAAATTACTTCTGTATAAATCCAACGTCATTAAGTAGGTAGTTATCAAAACTTTGAAATTTGATTCTGGGTCATTGAACAGGCTGACTGGAACATCTTTTGCCATATTTCCAGAGCCAAAATGCACAGTTCGGCAGTCGATTAGCGCGGTTCTCAACCACACACCTGGGTATGCATTTTTTACAGGCAACTGCTCGGTGAATATGAGCTTCTGGTCTTCTTGTCAAATTTTGTAAAGATTCTGACAACTTTAGTCTGCAACTAGAGGTGACTACACTGCGGATGTATTGATGTTGAGGCATTCTTGATGGCGAGAGTGTTTGAAAGAAAAGCAGGACCGGCATCAGTTGCTGAATGTCAAGAATTGTCTTTTCAAGGCTTCTTCCTCAAACGCACTAGGATCGAGAATGATAAGTATACAATCTCGAGTTCCAGTTGCAACATATTCCAGAATATCTTCATGTTTCTATTGTTTCGGGAGCATTGGGCATCGATACAGCTGCAGAGGCCTCAACTCCTTGCAATAATATACATTCCGAGGTACAATCGGCAAGATTATCAGCTAAAAGAAAACTTGTTCTATGGGAATCGAAGGAACATGAGACGATATTTAGGATGAAGGACAATTGCTCCTGGGAGGAGATTCATAATGAACTCCAGCGGCGATCCAGGAACACAAAGCACAATCACCAATACCCCATTGATATCTATAAATCACGATTCAGCCAATTGATTCCAAAGGTAAGGTTCATTCATGCCTCTCTTCTCTCAGGCCGGGGATGAGAAAACGGCAAAATATATTTCTGGTTATCTCATCCTCTTGTTCTACCTATCTCTACAAACACTCTTGCACGTCGTTTTCGAACTGCGACGAGATTTTCGGGGGCCCTTCTTTCTTGGACCATCGCGGACCATCGAGGGAAATGCCACATTTCTACCTACTGAATCCCTCAGTCACTTATACATCTCGTTATGCAATCCATTCATTTTCTCAATATCCCCAGTGATATATTGCTTTTGTCCTCAGTCTTGTCAGATGCGGAATTTCTGAATAATGAATTATCTGAGCCTCTTGGGAACTTACAGCATCCTATCGACTACCATTGCGAGAAATTGTCCGTATCATCCTACCTTTTTATTTCATTTACAATTCAGTTTCATTTACTTCAAATTATGTTCGCGGCGATAGTCAACAAATCTATGGCCTCGAAGTATTCAAATCCGCCGTGTAGTTGTAAAACGCCTAGTTGATCGAAGATATCGTATCTGCAGCAAGCATTCAAAGCTATGTACCAGTATTGCCGTTCCTGGAGATACTATCACAGCCGCCAGTAAGCTATTATGCGCGGCTTGAGTTGAGGTTGTGGGTGGCTTCATTGATATCGAGAAAGTTAAAATGCCTATCATGAAAGAGGCAGGAGGCAGTAAGTCTTCCGTTAATCCCGAATGGCGGCGGACGCGTCTTCGGGGCTTATATATAACCAGTTGAGATCTAAGTCTAAGTTAAACTCGAGCAATTATATATACTTAGTCAGGCAGTTGGTAATCTTACCTTATTATCTTAGATTTGATTGATTATTATCTTACTAGTAGTAGCCTAGTAGGGAAGTTACTTCAAATTCCAGCCTATGTTATCAATCAACATTTCTTTCCTATGATACTATGTGTCGAAAGTACCTCTAGATAGTATCTATCTTCTTTTCATATTCCACAAACATCTGGTTCATACTTTCGTTTCAACATCTATTCGATGTTTGCAATAAAAACCATTCTTCTGTCTACGAGTACTCAAGTATATTAACAAAGTAATGTAAGTTTAGTGAGTTCATCGAACTTCATACATGTGGCTCCTGATACTTGTTCTTCAAATCGTTCATTTTGTGGTAGAGAAAAAGGTAGATTTTGCCTAGACAATTGATTTGTATACCTAGCTTGGACTTAATGGACTACCCGCTTTGTTCACACTAGAGCGGAAGCTAAAGTCATGGCTGGCGTTCATTAGTACAAGAGCTAATAATTGCTAGATAAGTGCTGGTGCATACCCTAGTGCACCTTCCCAAGTATAATTACTTGCGATCGAGCAATCATTGGTTCCTTTTACCTTATGATGTCAATCTCAAGATGGAACAGATATGCAACAGTATACCTAGGTAACTTTAGTGCCCTGGGCCTGTCTACTCTACTGGGTCTACATGGTCTACCTGTCAGGTAGCACAGGCAGGTACTTATATACTAGTGTTTGTCCTTTCTCTAAATATGAAAATATGAAGTAACCTGTTTGCAGGTGATGTGATATAAGAGGTTGAGGATACTACTTACTACTTGCTATTCATTTTCAGATGATCTTATGATTCTTTCATGTTCTCATATATGATATATCATCTGACTTCTCGAAAGGTAACCACTAGATGGAGTATACATACCTATTACCTAGTAACTTGGCGGCTGTTTCGTAGAAGAACAAAGCTGAGATTGATAACTCTGAAGTTACTTGTCAATTTTTGGTTTAGTTTCAAAAGCTTGTACACAAACTTCAGGAAACAGTAAACCCATTCTTTCTTTCCACAATGGCAAGGGAGTGGAATGAATGAATCTATGAAGATGAAGAAACCCCCACCCATCATTCATACTTTTATCCTAATATACTGTATACATATGTGTGGGATATGCATTTATGTTAGTTCTAACTTCCAATTTAAACAATAGTATAACCTTCTACTCGAGGATCAGATTCATTCAATAAAGTCCCATGCATGCAGTCAGCCAGTCACTCATTCCACTATGTTTACGAGTAGTATATGCTAGGAGCACATCGTCTTTCATACACACCACATCGGTGCTTCTTATGGTATTGCCATGAAAGTTACTCGAGTATTTAATACATTTCTCCCTAGGAATCTGGGATATGACAAGACCGTCATATTAAATTCAGTTGCACGATCAAAATCAAACGGAATTATAATCATGACAACCATGAATTTGAAAATCATGATGTTTTCGAACCACTTGTCAAAAGAATCCTGTTTCTGGACTCCAACCCTGGAAACACCGACTTTGAGGAAATCTGGCCAAATCCGAAGGATCTCTCCTTCAAACTGGAGCAGATGGTCCCTCCCGGAACCTCGTTTGATGTGTACGAAGCCGCCTATAACAAGATGACGACGATATTTTCACCAAATGCACAAAACTTCGAGGGATTCGACCGACGAGAGATCAAAATCCTTCTGCGGGACCCATCCAAGCCAAAGCTTAAGGGGTCGGAAACTTTCAGATGAAGGTCCTTGGGTAACTGTTGTCGGCCATGAACTCGAACAATTCTCAAAGCAGGAATGGGCCATGATGAAGGTCTCTGTAGGCATGGCTGAGAGATATACTCAACCGTAGGTGAAGTCTTATTCCACAATCAATTGAGCATTTGACTAAAAAGAAACAACAGTGTGTGGCATAAATATAACGAGGGACTCTGTGGGCTCAGATAGGGCAAAGGGGCCACTTATCGCACCAAAGTCTGGACACTTTATCCAAAAGGACAACCTGCCTTTTGTCGCTGAGCGGCTGGAAGATCTTGTTAGGAAGGTTGAGAGTTCTTACTGACGGCGTGAAAATTTTCCCCTTTGATACTGTACTTTAGTTAGAATCAATAGAAGGAATATGTTTCAATCGCGACCTTTCTACTGTATAGGTATGTACTAGATCACAGGTAGGTCACATGTAACCCTAATTCTCACCTTTGAGACTAGAATATCATATTTTTGTTTCCCAAATATCACACCAGATTGCCAGGGGCTTGTTCTGGAAAAGCGGGTGATAATAGGCTGAATGAACATAGTAGCCTCAGAATTATTAATTACCGGTATATATATTCAAAAGCGCATCTCTGATATCTCTGATAAATACAAATATTCAAAGCTCTCTGAACGTTCGTACAACGTTAACCATCTACTCGAGTATTAGGACATGCGGTTTCGTCGTGGAAGAGAAGTGCGGTTCAGGCCTGGTGTTGTATATGTGTTGTATTAAATACCTATCTACCGGTAGATAAATATTCATATGTGTTTATACTTGCTAAAATGTATACATAGGATACAGATTCTTCTCAAGATATAGGTATATACCTATATACCACTCAGGAGTTGACTGACGAATCACGTGATGTTGAAGCTCAGAATGGCCTCCTTCCTCCCTTCGTCCCTTCCCCAAAAAGACGAAAAGAAGCAAGGTAAACGAAAAAAAAACGAATTTTGGTACATTACATAATCAAGGGTTCAAATATCCAATTTCATCTTCTTGAACTTTTCATTCCTCACTTCGTCATTTCCAAGGTTCCTCATATACTTCCTTACAGTCATTTCATTTCCCAATCATTATCAAGCCGAGCTATGAGCGTTTGAAACTATCGACGTTTTCTACAAAGTTCTCAATACTTAGGTATTATCCAGATCTCTTGGGTTGATGTGAATCGCGCATTTATTTGAGCGTCGGAATCATTCCCAACACTTGATTTTATAAACCATTCATTTGTTACTTCGTACTCTCTCTTTTCTCTCTCTATTATAAGCTATTATTCCATTGTTTCATATGAGACCATATTTTCCCAACTTCCGTCTCACGTTCACCTTCGAGACCCCAAAATCATCATGGCAGCCTTGATTTGTGAGCCCAGTGGTCAGATTAATCTTGAGAACATTGAGCAATCTTTCATGAGACCTTATGGCGAGGAGCTTCCTGATTTCGATAACACGCTCGTCGCGACACTCAGTCACGAGAATGCACAAACTGGCCAAAAATTCAGTTTGTAATCCTTTAATCTTGTCAACTTTCATTGCCTGATGAATCTTTATAGCCATTCCTATTTATGCCAAAGGCCATTTCCATGTAGGGAGAGACCCGAATTGGTATGTACCTCACATTCAATTGATTCGTAGAATGCTGATGGTCTATTAGTGATTTTTCAATTGATAGCATAATCGTTTCCAAGCAACAATTTCGCATCTACGCGATTATATATGATGCAGAAAAATTGGACGAGTATCCTCCTTCAATCTACTGCGAAGATCTTGAATCTAGGAACGGCACCTATGTCAATGATGTATTGATCGGAATACTTGGGAATGAAAGAATTGGACATCTTCTAGTTGATGGGGACTTGATTGAAATCCGACGTGATTGGAAGTTTCGATTTCACCAACCAAGATCAAAACTGATATCACATATGTCCTTACCTGAATTCGAAGTTCAGGTACTTCGCCACTGTCTCTTGTTGCTAGTTATGATTCTGACTGAAATATTTGTAGCATTTCCAAGATCGCTTCATTATCTCCGATCACGTTCTTGGTAGTGGTGTTGCTGGAGAAGTATTCCTCGCCAACAGTGTTAGCACGTCGAAGCAGATGGCTTGCAAGGTTGTCAAAATAAAACACTCAAGGAATCCGCTTCCCAGTTCTAGAAGTGGCTTAGTCTCGGGCCGGACTTGTATGGAATCAGTTCAGCAACAAGATGCCGACTTTGAAAGTAAATCATATCTACGAGAGATTGACATACTGTCCAAACTCGACCATGTAAGATGCGTGGCTTCATTCACAGTCGGAGACTAATGGCTCATAGCCGAATATCATCAGCATTCAGAAAGCCTTTCTTTCCAACGATAGGCTGTAAGTTGAATACGATATGTTTATGTTCACTTCTGACTGTCTTCAGCTATATGTTCACAGAGCTTGCTGCCGCAGGAGATCTCTACACCTACTTCGATTCTTGTGATAATAGGCTTGGAGATGCTCATGCCCGTCTCATCACGAGACAAATCGCTCTAGCTCTGGAATATCTTCACTCGAAAGGAATCGCACATAGGGATATCAAAATGGAGAATATTCTCATCACAAACACCGATATAGGATCTCGAGTCATCCTAACAGATTTTGGTCTTGCCAATCACACGGATAAAGCAACCGGTAGACTTTTCTCTGCAGTAGGTACGGAGGGTTATGTTGCACCGTAAGTTATCATTAGAAGACTGCCAGCAAGTTGATGTATTGACTTGTGAAGGGAAATTGTAGGTTCCAATCTGACTCTAGGTCGTGGCTATACAACCGCAGCGGACATGTGGTCGTTTGGAATATTGACATGGAGTCTGCTCACTGGCGAGAGTTCGATTCCTCGAGGTCGATTGTCTCAACTCGAAGAAATTCAAGCTACAAAGAACTTCCTTTCGTCAGATGAAAAAGAGGCAGCACAAAAGTGGTCCTACCTTCACTCGAGAGCTCGTTCATTCTTGCGCGGTCTTTTGGCCAGTGATGCAGGACAGCGTATGACTGCTGTTCAAACAGTCAATCATCCATGGTACAAAACCCCTCCGGTTTCCACCGGATTGGAGCAGGCATATGAGCGAGTTACGAAATTTTGGAAACCCCGAGATAACAGCAAAGATATTCTAGAATATCTACCTGGTTACATCGAGCCGACGGTGGGGGGTGAAGGTCCAGTTCGTCGAAAACGTTTGCCTGACGTTTCGATGTCGGCATACTTCGGCCTTGACCGTCATTTGCAATCAAGGTCACCACATATGGCGAAACGCAGACGGATACTTGATGACTTGAAAGATTCCGGAGAATCTTTCGTGGATTCGGACTCACAACAGAACGTTCCTACGCACAGCCCGCGGAGGTCAAAATATATTCCGATAAAATCGGTTTCTGGTATCGATTTATTCGGAAGTTATACAGCTTTAGTGAATAAGCAGGCAGCAAATAATCCGAGGTTCAACTATGAGAGATCATCTCCTAGAGATGGTATGAGCAAAGCAGGAACGACCCAGAAAGCGATAGGAAATTGGGAAGGTCATCTTGCGTCTCCCATTAAAGCTGGCATCGCTCGTTCAAACGCTTCGAATGATGCAAGATCCAGGAAAGAGTCGGACCCTACCAATCAAGGAATACACGATGCCGCCTTACAGCGTGTAACTAAATTTTGTTCAGCTAAGGATTTCAAGGATGAGGTTAATCGAATCAGAAAAGAGAAAATCAAAAAAGCTTGATGAAAGAATACAACTGTTGCTCTCTGATGGACGGTGAATAGCTCGAATTTTTGAAGAGTCAAAACGGGATAGCGAGATGTGGTTTCAAGGAATAGAAAGGAAGTTTGTTGATACCGGTGAACGCTCTTGCTGTGAGGGCCGCATGGTTTGCTTTGCACATGATACCCCATCAGCTAGATAGGCTTTGCTTCTTGAATATGAATTGATGTACTGTTATAATCGCTATCATGCTTCAATCAACCGGTTAGAAGATATGGACATCCAATGATCACTCATACATTGAAACAACTTATCTTCGGTTGCCGATATTGGCCCGACAACAAGTACCGATGAGTCAGGGGTGAAGGGGGATTATCTACGTCATAAAATACTCGAGTACATTTTTAAAATCATACTATGGTGGATTTCGATACTTACAAAAATGTATATCCTTCAATCTGAATTCTTACTCGCCCCCACGACAGCAACAAATACAAATACTCGAGTATCTCGAAATATTCGCAATGACTGGCCATAGAAATGCTTCTACGCCCCCAATCGTATCCATACTCTCCGGTGGAATTGCTGGAGGGGTAGAAGGCGCAGTTGGTTACCCATTGGAGTTTGCCAAAACCCGAGTCCAACTCCATACTGGCCCAACTAAATTACCACGAAACCCATTTCGCATTGTCTTACAAGTATACGAACAAGAAGGTTTGAGAGCTTTATATAAAGGTTGTGGTGCATTGGTAGTTGGATCTATTGGAAAAGATGCCGTACGATTTGCTTCGTTTGACAGCATCAAAACTGCCTTCCGAGATCCCGAGACGGGTGTTCTATCTCCTGGTCGTAATATGTTGGCAGGCATGGCAGCAGGAATTGCAGCCAGTATCTTCGCAGTTACACCTACTGAACGTGTGAAAACTGCTCTCATCGATGATGCGACTTGTAGAGCCACAAGACAATACAATTCCACAATTCATTGTGTACGTACCATTGTTAGAGACGATGGATTGGTAGGTTTGTACAGGGGTTTCATAGGCACGACGCTCAAACAGGCTTCGGCAACCTCGTTTAGGATGGGTTCTTATAATATCATCAAGGATTTTCAGGTCGTGCGAGGTATTTCTCAAACTACGATGATGAATTTCGCGAATGGGGCAATGGCGGCGGTGATTACAACACTGGCTACACAACCTTTTGATACAATTAAAACAAGGAGTCAATCTTCCAAAGTGACCACGACTACTCAGGCTGTAGTGGGTATCATGAAAGATGGTGGTGTGAAGGCTTTTTGGAGAGGAACAGTCATGAGACTATCTCGGACGGTGTTTAGTGGTGGGGTTTTGTTCACAACCGCGGAAGCTATGGTTAAGATCTTAAATCCCATATTTGCACCGCGGTATGCTTATGAAGCTACCTCTTGATACTGGTTCTTCAGTGCTCATTTCCCGTCACTGGATGGATGTGGAAGTGGATATCGACGGCACAAAAGTTTGTCAGACCTGAGACGACAACACCTGTCACGTAGCACTAATTCTCGTCATCCATCCGTGTAACCATCAAGTTGGTTCACCATCGAATATAGAAGTGCAGGATCAGATATACTGGATTTGGTACCCTCGTTACATCCGAACGCATGTGATGGGACAAAAGTCGTGGGTTTTTTCAGCCATGCCAACAAATAAGGGTCCTTTCTTCCGAAACATAAGCTTTTTATGAGATCTTGGAGTCAATGGTTTCGACGTCCCCAAAATTTTCTTGATCGTTGTTATCAAATCTCTCTTCACAAAAACGCCGGCGTAAAGCCTACCATACCATGCTCGACCTGCTCACTACCGTCTTCCTCGGCGTCTTCATCATACTCGGAAATGATTTCTTGCAACACATGTATATGTACCGACCTAATCCGTTTCTGCTTCACGGCATCGAGCAGCCGGAATCGAATATCGCGGGCGATTCGGAATGATATGGAGTTCAAAGACTGGAGCTTCAATTTATAAGCTCTGCGCACGATCTCGATTCGACTGCATTGTGTAATTGGTGTGAACTTTGGCTGCGTTGGCTTTGCTGCGCACTGGCTGCCCTCAAAGATTGCATCACATCGCATCAATGAATCGATCAATGAGAATTGCGAAGGCGACTAGGTACCTGCTCCAGTCATTATTTGCAAGGCGTTAACAAACTTCTTATAGATATAGAGACAGAGGCAGGTGGGAATTGGCGTCTACGGTAGATGTGAGGGTTTGGAGTTTAAGGATTGAAGATTAGATTTGTTTATATATGGATAGTGGAGTATAGTATCGTGGGGAAAAAGGGGGAGACTTGTTATTAGTAAGACAGATTTGTGTACTGGTATTTGAGCATGGATGTAATTAGAAAAGAGAAGGAAAATGGGTGCATATAGATTAGGTTAGGTTAGATATTCAAGTGCGGAGATACGCGGTGGGCTGATGGTTTCAAACGGGTTGCTTTACGTTCGAATATGGACGATACTGATGCTTGGGTAGAGGCGTAGATGGAATTGGGTTTTCATGGGTTCTGGGTGTGTACTGTACTGTAAGGTTAGGGATATGATATGATATGATATAGATTCGGGTAGATGGGAATACAAATATAAATGACTGCCGGCAATGCTATACTTACCTCACTTGACAAGTTATTATATAAGAGTTCTTTCATGTTTTTTATGCATTACTCTTTGGTGCTTGGGAGTTTTCTGATACCTGTATCGAGTTTCTTACATCATTCCAGAGAAGGTAGGCTGAACCTTGTTATACGTCCATTGCTACCCAGCTCCCAGCGTATCGCCACAACTACTTGTACGTATCTTGAATCAGTAAACTAACTGATCATCAACTGCAGTCAGTACCTTCAAATTACACTCAGCCTCGGGAGTTGGTCCCAATACAATATGCCACTGGATATAGGAGACCGGCTTATATATTCTGAAAGGGATGATTAGATGATAGATGATATATGGTATTCTTACTGGCTCTAACCTGAGAGAAGGAAGAAAATGATTTATGTGAGTTGTGATTTATGTATACATATATCTGCAGTTATGTAGTGTTTGATTTCTTGCTGTTGATATCCATCTACTATGCTGAATATACTTTTCCAAATCTTCTCGTCCCGAAAAGCAGATCGATCATCATGTTCATGTTTCCTCTGATATACAAACTGATGAGATTCGTCCCAGTACGAGTATGTACGAGTAGACCAAGACATTCGCGGTGAATCTTGTTAAGAGAGTTGGTTACTTATTTCATATATCTCATCTCATCTCATCTATCCTTTGCTTCACCTCTCCCTCGCTTAGAAAAATTGCATACAAAATACAGTACCAACACCACTCTAGATTCTGCATGTCAAAATTACATATTAATAAAAACTTCCTTACAATTTATTCCATCCATCTGGTCAAATCATCCGATCGAGTCTCTTGAGTAATACTCATAGATCAGCCTACCTATATGGGTTAAACTTCAAACGAATAAGTAAGTAGGTGGGCAATTTCGTTGGCCGAGTCTGGGAAAATACCCTAAGTTTCTAAGATCAAAAAATATATTTCTTTCTTAGATTAAAGTGTTTCCCAACTTCAATCTTTAAATGTAATTACCCAAACCACAAATACAAAAAAATAAAGTCCAGACCAATCTAAATAAAAAAACGGCCCCAAGGTCTCGAGGTCTCAGCTCGCCTCCTCGCAAAATCCATATAGCCTAGCCATAAAATATGGCCGATATATGAGCTAGGCCCAGATTAGCGGTCGTTATAGTACGGACAATACGAGTATTATAACATCCTTTCTTTTTCTTCTTTATATAGCTACAATTGACCTTTTGAACTTCTCTACTTCTCTACTTGTAGCTTTATAGTATTGATTATGGTCAGAGTAGAGGTCGTAGAGTGGATGTTGGAATGGATATTATTGACTTGAATGGATGTTGTGACCGGAGTGGATGACACTGGATAGTGTGACCGCAGTGGAAGCCGACGACCAAGAAATCATATGTTGGTTAATTCATGTATTTAAGATGTGGTTTCGCCGAGGTTTGGTTATTGTTTTAATATCATCATCATCATCACCATCACGCATCTGCATCATTACCATACATAGTACATCACATCTTCCAAAAACAACACAACACGACTCATCCCAACCCAACCCAACCCAACCCAACCCAGCCCAACTCAACTCAACTCAACTCAACTCCACACAAACCCCCAAGCCCTCCCAGCTAACCAACAAAATGTCCAGCCACACCTCCAGCACCGGCAATTCCTCCCGCAAATCCACCACCACCTCCTCTGCCACCAAGAAACCCACCTCCACCTCCGCCCCCATCCCCAAAATCGAGCTACCAAGCCCCAAGAAAGCAGCAAAAGAACTCGGGATTCCCACAGCCACTCCAAACATTTCTAAATCTAAAGCCCACCTTCCTAGGCGAACAACCAACGAATCACTCCTCCTAGAACCCAGAACCCGGAAATCAGCACCGGTAAAGATTCCTGCGATTCTAGAACCGAAGGGATCGGGTCCCGTCATCGATGTGAAGAATTCGGGTATACGTGCGTCTAATGATGGAAGACCTCCTAAAGCTAAGTAGATTTGACTCGTGAATCATGAGTTGCGATGTTGGGTTGAGGTTTTGGGTTGAGGTTTTGCCGGGTGTTGATGATTAAGATATTTGGACATCCTGGGTATCCGGCGTTTTGGAAAATGGAATGGAGTTGAAAATAGAGTTAGCAAGTTGACGTATATCGAGAACCGAATTCAAGGCCAAGTATAGATAAAGTGTTCAGAGATATTCACTTCAGAATCACCCATACATATTCCACTTTCATTTTTCTTTGAATTTGCCTCCGCAGCGTGATACTCAATCCCAATCTCCCTCCTCTACCCCCAAACATCCCTCACCTGCACCCACACCTAGCATTTCAATTCCATTCCATACCCAGCATTTCAATCCTTCTTCCTCTTCTTCCACTTCTTCTGAATAAAAACAACAATAAGTAACAAAAGCAGCTAATCAATACCATCTCAATCCCAATCTCAATCTCAATCTCAATCTCAATATCCAACATTAGCCATCAACCATTAGCCAGTAATCAGTGATTACTCGTCACGAATTTTGTATTAAACACTTTTTCCCGAATCCCTATCAGAAAGATGTTGCAACTGTGACAACTATTGCAACTTTGACAAGCGGCTTGAGGCTTGACTGGAGTTGAGATTTGAAAAGGGAAAAAAAGGTTTTAATGGAGAGGAGGGTCTGGCTGGCTGGCTGGGATTACTGAAGAAAAGAAAGGAAAAGATGGAATGTGGAGATAATGATTATTATTGATATATCTGCTTCTAGAAATCAATACTTATTGCCAGGCCCAAAGAATACTAGGTCAGCATTTGAAGATTGTTAATTCCATTGCACATTATATATCTACCCTCTGTCTCTGTCTGATATATACAACCCTCATCCCCCCATCTCCAGACTCATTATTAAATTAATGCGCTCCTCACAGTTTCCCAACCACCCAACCAATTAAAGCACATAGCCCCCACTACTTGCCACATCCCAAGTTCTCAAGCCCCTTCCTTCCTCTAGTTCCACACACCACCAGAGCACCTCTCTCGCTTTATCCTTTTGTCCACCGAGCTCATAAGCTTTGGCTAACGAATACCATGCTTCTGAATAATTCCAACCGGGACCTAGCTTTGTTAAGCCGGACAATAGTCCATATGCACGGTCGCGAGCTGCTAGTCGATCGAGTTGGGCTGTTTGATTCTTTTCTGAGGCTGTGAGAATGTCTCGCTGGAGAGGGGTAGGTAGTGGAAGACCAAGGGGTCCGGAAGTCGAATGAGGGTGTGTTGATGATTGATGGGAGTGAGATTGAGCTGAGGTATTAAGGGTAGAGGCTGAGGGAGTACTGGTAGAGAGTGTGGGAAGAACTAGAGCTGGTATAGTGGGTAGGGGAAGGATGTCCTCAGTATAAATGTCGAGCAGAATATCGGACAACCCAACAGTTGCAGCAGGGTGGTCTGCAAAGTGGCTTAAAGCAGCCTCAAAATGTTCGAGTGCTGTATATGGCGAAGCTTGATCAATGAAGAGATAGCCGCGCTGTCAAAACATCAGTAAGTATCTAAATATTGCTCGAGTAAACGTACCTCTGAGAAAACATCGCCCCATAATTCAGCCACACTCTTTCCACCTCCCCAGCCCGGATGGTCAAACGACGCGGAGCCTGTTGGATCGTTGAGAACATCTATCTCTAGTCCATAAACCAACTTGTGCGCTTCTTCAATCGCACCTTTAGCGTCTTCGTACATGGTTGCTCGCCGATAAAATCCAGCAATCAATAACCATACTTTAACTAGTGTCGATATCCTCCGTCGCCTCTCAGAGTCTTTGGAAAACCGTGTTGTGGGACTTAGTGACGATGAATACGGAGTAATCGGCAGACGAATGTCTTGAGCCACGGCATAATTGGAATTTGTTGGTTTGAAACCCGGCTCTTTATGTTCCAATTGCTGCGAGGCTTGACGTAATGATTTTGAGCTCTCTTCTAAATAATCTTCTCGATTCTGTGTATCTATTTCCACTGCAGCTCCGTCGTTCTGCCGTGTCCTTCCTACACTGGAACTGCTGTTTGGGTTCTGAGATGGGTTTCTGACATTTGATTTCTTATGAAGCTTTTCATGATGATCTCCAGAGCGTCGACGGTGATGTCTCCCGGCGGTACCATTCTCCTGGGTGACCTGAATAGTGGGTGCTCTATGAATCATGGTGTGTGCGGTGTCTGGCCTGTGAGAGATTGTGCTCTGCTCCATCGAAGCCGCCATATCCTTCCGCATTGATCTATTCAGAGATCGTCCAAATATACTTCCTTTCATGGTTCTAAGAGTTCCCGCGGAGCTCTTTGGACGTGCTAATGCAGTGTCTTGAACAACTATAGAAGGAGGAGCAGCTTCTTTAGAAGGGTCGCCAAACAGTCTCGTGTATAGAGTTAAAAGTTCATCACTGCAATTGACTGCAACTTCAGAGCCCTCGAGAACTTCTATGAGTGACAATTGTGTCATTTTAACCTCCAAAAGGTTTTCTTTCTCAAAGTCATCCATTTCATCCACTAAGCCTCGGTTTCGCTCCGTGGACTTTTCGGCAGAGTTTAGGTGGTCACTTCGAAATGAACCATCAAGTTTAGATTCTCCATATAGGTTCTTTGACTCTCCAAATTGGTCAAAGACTCCTTCACAGGATCTCACTGCAGTCAGGAGATCTTGTCGTGCACTCAAAAGTAAAGCCATAAGGTGCCATAACGGTATCAGAGTTCTTTCTCGTGAAAATTTGGTCGCGACGTGTGAGCCATGGCCATTTGGTATATTAGCACGCAGAGGAGTAAGCCCGATTTTCACGACTTCGATCGCTGTAGATAACTCTCTGCGTTCTGCAAGGATTGTGCCCAATGCAAAAAGCGTTTCAACGTCTGCCGTGCTCTCATATTCTGGGAGAAGAGCCCTACGAAAGCATTTTATAGCCTTCAATTGAATGATCCCTCTCGAAGATGCATCGAATGTGAATCGTGCCCATTGTGCATAGCCGATTCCGATTGAACGCCAAGCTATGGCAAATGTTTTTGGCGATATTATAGTGCTTGAAACCATCGAGGTGCCATTTTCAATCAGTCGCTCGGTTCCATTTCGCTCATCGGGGGGATGGTTTTTACTCAACCACTCCTCAAAAAAGTGACCAAGGTCTTTCGCCTTCTCTGCTCCTGGTCTTGAGCCATATCGACATAAAGCCCTGATACACTCAGCGGCTGTCTTTAAAACTGTTTCGTCATCATCTAAACCGTGTTCCAATTCCCCAGTCTTCTCCACCCGAGCTTTCCCTCTTTTCACAATCTCCAAATAGGTATCAAATGCTTTAAATGCTAAATCAAATTCCGCGACTGCAACATGAACAGTAAATAAATGTCGCAAAATCGGCGTTGAATGGAACGTCTTGGTTGCAGCGTTGTATAGGATGTCCAAAACACCCCTACTAACTGCCTCTGCTCCTCCCTCGCCAAGTTCATGTTCTGGCCATATGTTCCCACACAAAATTCTCCAGTTTTGCATCACTACTTCAACGAAAGATTCGACTTCCTCACTTGGTTCTTCCGCCTTCGGAAATTGTACTTCACTCAGTAACAGTTCCTCGTAGCGAATCTCTACTCGCCTCAATTCTGCTCGTTGCAGTAGTTTCGATGATGATTCAGGGTATGCGGTGGTCAAAGCTGTGGTGGGAAATGGTAATTGTTGTTGGAGTAGATCCGATAATGTGATGTAGTATTCTCTCCATACCTGTCGCCTCGAGACTCCGGCATTCAGTGCACGACCTAGCGGCCTTGTTGGGGCCCATTCCCAAAATCTTGCCCAAGCGCGAAAGGCTGATAACGTTTCGGTCTCGAGTATCGGGGATGTCCTTGTTTTGATAGCATGACTTGATAGCATGCAAGATCCTGCCAATAACTCCTCAATCCAAGCATTTAATTCTGTTTGGCCAGCAGCTTGTGGTGCAGGTGATATACTTGCCAGTATAGGTAGAGCGGAGTCGAACGTCTCTAATGCTTCTGACACATGTCCAGTCCTTCGTTGCGAATCCCCTTTAATAAACGAGGCCTTGAGTGCGCACACTTTTGTCCATTCATTTGATTCTTTGTTGGTTCCATCAAGTTGTGAAAATTCCGCTTCTATACTCTCAGGTAAACTTGAGGCTGCCAGAGCATGCTCCCCAAGATTCCAATGTATCCAACCAATACAGACCTGCGCCTGGAAATCATCTTCGACATATTGCCGCTCGTTCGCTATAGCTTCTAGGAGGGGCGGTATATATATGGAGAGATCCGAGGATGTAGAACCTGCTGTCGATGGGCGCGTCGTGGAAGAGGTAGTTGAGTTGAGAGTATGTTGTGTAACTGCGTGTTCAGTCTCTGCGGTCAACGTGAGGCCTATTGCAACCGGTTAATATCGAATATCCGTGCAAGAAAAGAAGTATGCGAATTGAATATCAATTCTAGAAATATCTTGAAAACATACATATCCGCGTAGGTGCATGTTTCCTAACCTTCCTGACAAGCTCTGGCACTGTATCCCAACTACCTTCACAACGAGCTGTGTCCAGGAGCTGAATGTAATGCGCTGCTTTTGTTTGTTCACGCTGAGGTATGTAAGCTAATGTATAGGGCGTTGTAACCTTCTAAAGTATTTCAACTTACACTCATGTTCGCACGTATTCTTGTTTACTGGGTATGCAGTAGGTATATGGAAAAGAATTGGAGATGGTTAGCACATGGTCAAGGAGGTCACAAGAAGAGAAGCCAAGCTCGAATGGAATTGTGGAATTTATGAAATCAAAAAGGATGGATTATGAAACTAAAGGTCTGGAAAGATGATAAACAGGTTGAATCTCTTGATATTGTAGTCAGCTCAATTTATTGTTTAATTTACTGGTCTTAGAAAGATGTTTCTGTTTCGGTGTTCAATTCCAGTTTGTCCCCGACTTTCAATGGGGTTGTTTTTCTCTTGGCAAGCGGAACCGGAAGAATATAGTTCCTTGATCCTATCTTTTCTCAATATAAATATATATACCGGTATCTGTTTTCAATTAGGATTATGAAAACAACTTCTAAATAGCTATAGGAATCTATTGTTTCAATTTTGAAATATATGTATATAAATTGAGACCTTTCCAGACAAGGCTGAGTTCAGGAACCCCTTGGCGAAATATCACAAGGCTACCTAATTAAAGTTTCCTCGGCGAATGAAGGGTTGAGTGGACTTTCCTTGGCGAATGAGACAAGGCTGCATTGAGTATGCACCATTGGAGTCGATGATTGGTCAAATATGCTCTAGCGTATCCTAGCTCGGCGCAAGGCTCAAACCTTAATAAGAATTTTTTACAATCAGAATAATTTTATGATTTGATGTGATGAGGATATTATATCCGATAACCCCCGCGTTGTTTGGAGATACCCTATATTACTTATTATACCATCACAAAACATCTATCAGCATCCAATCGTTCTTTTGCCCCCAAGATGTCTCTTCCATCTGAGCTGCGCATCCTTTGCCTACGCCTTACATCTACTCCTCCACAAGACCTTCCGAATCTCACGCCTACGCTTATTCAATATGTCCTTCAATGCCAAATCCCCCTCTCCAACCCCAGTGCAAATTCAGGAAAGGCGGATGCATCGCAGTCGGCGGTTTTGGTTCACAAATTAAAGACCCAACTGACGACACTGTTGAATGGCAAGAGCGCTGAGGGAAGATTCGCTGCCATTGTCTTGATCAAGGTCGTGGTCGAAGTTGGAGGTTGGGAGATTTTGCGCGATGCAGGATCTTGGGTACGAGGATTGCTATCGATTCTTGGAGTACGTGTGAAATTGCTCCTGTCATTTTTCTGCTACCATGTTTCGCACACACTAACTTTCATATTAGAAACCAGACTCGAGTGCTGCCAAAGAGCTGTGTATTGTAGCACTAACGAAGATTTATTGCATGACCCATCAATATCAAACTTTGGTCCGAGAAATCACTACGCCGACGTTGCCCACCTTTGTAACGTCTTGCTTGAATGTGATATCGTCCAAAACATCGACGAATGCCCTGGATGTATCCCCATCATTAGTAGAGACAGTCTTCCGGTCGTTTGCCATGTTGCTGCCTCGCCATACCACCATCTTCCGCCCTTTCGCATCCCAGTTACGTGCTGTCACCAGACCATATTTAGCATGCACCCTTTGTGATCGAGGTCATGTTTCGTCATCGGTAAAGGAGAGTGCTCGTAAACTGGTGGTCATTCTGCACCAGACTGTCGCAAAGAGCGGCGGGGGAGAAGAATGGGGAAAGGCGGTCCGAGTCCTTGTGCAAGACGTCCATATAACTGCCGACCAAGTATTCCGAGCCGTCATCGAAGACTGGGAATCGACCGTTGGATATACTGCTGAACCTATAAATGTCGATGAAGAACTCTCCGGCGGTGGGCGGACCCCCGAGGATTTATCTCGCTGGACTGGTATTGATGCTGGTGTTGAAAGGCTAGTAGGCTTACTTGAAATTCTGGATGAGTATCTTAAAGGACCTACCCCCTCAGCTGTCACAATCCCAGTTGGATCTATTTTCGATATTATCACCAGGATTTTGTCTATTTCTTTGCCTTCGCTCACGGACTCGAATTCCGGAAGTGTGAGATTGCATCCTGCGATTGACCGTGATGAAAGAGATGGATTGTGGACTGGCTTGCCAAAAGTTTTCATTTCTGTATTGCATCTTATCAGCACCATGTCTTCTACCTTAGAACAAAGTTTTGTGCCTTTGGCTCAGGGAAGTCTCGACTTGCTGATGTGGTCTTTTTCGTCAGGAAAGAATCACCAACAATTTCGTGCATCGACATATTCTTTAGCCTGTAAAATTCTACCGCTGGTCAGCCAAAGTTTGGATAAGTTACGTGTCTCAAAACTTGTTCCAATAATGCGAGCATGCTGTAAAGATCTGGAGACAAGTTATTCAGGCATCAACAGCTCGGAAGCCAATACGTCTCAATCCAACGGGGTGTCAAGTCAGAATGCAGATACTTTACTTCACGGCTCCATATCCACGGTTGTCTTTGTTGATCCGGAGGTTGTTGTGGCGGCCAGTTCCCTTCTACCTGTATTATTATCGGACCTTCCTCAGGGGTATCTCGATATATCGATGCGTTCTCAACTCGAACGTGCTGCTATTCTTGGACGTAATAAAAAGGCAATGTTGGCAAGCATACTCAATCCTTTCATTGGAAAGAATGGAAAGGCACTATCGAGTGTTCTTCCCCACATCACGAGGGAGTTTCCAGCCGATGATACCGTAGAGATTCTTTTGCGCCCTCGCATGCCAATCATACCTGCTGGACATAACACCACAGTACTTGATGGTCTTACAGAAGTCTTCGATTCCGAAGACGATGAAATGGATGTTATAGATGAGGAGATTCTCACGTACAAAAGAGCAGATGAAATTGCTGTCCAAGATTTTAAGTCGATGTCGGGAACTGAAGCAACAGGAATATCAGAAGAAACTACAGGTCCTACTTTAGGTAGTCACAACGGTTTCCCAACAACCAATAAACTTTCTGGCTTCGAGGCAGCAGCTCCAACTCCACTACCACCGCCAAAACAGAGGTTTACTGAACCTCAACCGTTGGGCAATCGCACCATGAATACTGATACGATCATGAGCTACGACGATGCAGACGGGTCGGATGAGGATTCGGATGAGGATGGTAGTGTGCATCTTACAATGCAATTGGACTCTTCGGATAGCGAATAAATACAATCAAGATCAAACTCTCCAATTAAGGATATTACACACTATATATAGTATTGCAAAATGAGGAGTACGGCCTAATCGGTCGCAACTTGCAACAAGCATTCCTCTTTGTGAATTTGGGAATGAAAGATGTAGTAATTGCAGGTTTACATAGAGAATTTTATATTTAAAATTAAATACGATCCGTTTTCACTGCATTGCATGTCATTGGATTGAATCTCTACAGTAGTTTAATTTTTTACAATCATTTCATCCAAATAAACATGCAAATGCTCGCTCGCTCGCTTAATCATAAAGCCATAACCCCTCCGTATGTACTCGAGTATATGCAATCCATTTCATCAAGCAATTCACTACACTGTGCTAAATTATACTGTCCCATTCCATCGATAATACTCGAGTAATAAAAGGACAATTAAAGTATCATAAACAGTAATCATTATTGAATTTTTTTCGGAAGTAGTTCAAAGACTTGGAATGTAATCTTATTTATTTCTTTGCTAATGATTGAAATTTGATAAGATTCTAATTGACTTAATAAATAGAGTGCACCAACTATCCAGTAATAATATGACTTAAGGACTTAAGGAACATTCACTTCATTCACCCAAGTTTTAAATAACAACCTTATAAAATAGAAAATAGCAAAGTAGCATATCGCAAACCCCTTGAATTGTTGAATGTCTACCGCTCAAGCATCGAATATCTTAGATTCTTAGATTCTTAGATTCTTAGTATATATAATCCTACAGACTCCCCAGTTCATACCTAGCACCATCCATCAAACAGCAAACATCAAGCAGAGCCAACCCGAACCATAGATTCCGCATCTTCCACATCTTTCTTGACTGCCCTGGTTACTGGTAGCACCATCCAGATTCTATACAAGACTCCCTGCCTATCCCTTTGCTTTTTTGTCTGTTCAAACTAAACTTCATAGCACGATGATTCTGCCGTGCGATACGACTGGGGTGTTATAAGTTATAACGGGTAATGTCATGTTCGAACTAACTTTGATATGATATGCTATGAGGTAACAACGGCTTGGTGTTAATCAGCGATGATTTTGTGTCCGGATACAAAGAAATGTATGGAGTATGGAGTGTTAAGTTTCACTGTATGATTGTAGAGACCCGACGAGCTGGCTGCTGGGAAGGGAGCATTAAGGTTTGATGTGTTATACTAGGTGCGGGCTAAAAAGGCCGTTGAGAGAGATGTACGGGACTGTAACGTCCTCCCAGAAATCTGGTGCGCCATGATCAAATATTATTGAATATGTATGAGGCCTAAGTCAAGTTTTAGCATTGCTTTTGGCCTGCCGGCCGCGGAATACTGGATTCGATTGGAGACATCGGGTACATCGAAAAGAGCGTATTTGAGGCCGGTGGGAAGATATTGGTTGTGGTACGCTCCAGTGCGTGCGATACCATCGTCAAGGCAAACAAACAAACTAAAATAGGAGTACCTGCTAAAGCCAAAAGAACGCATTGAGGATTTGAGAGAATAAAACATCAACCATCCAATTTCCGCGCAAGCGGGAAAGACCAAACCCCCAAAGCTGGTACGCCGAAAGGATGTGATATCAAATTGACGTATTGATAGATAGCAAACTTGCCAACATAGATAACTAGATGAATAAATGGATTTTAAATTGAAATATGCAATTGTTTACAATAGAGATGTAGTTGCAATAAAAAACTTCATGAGACTTGGTATCAACTTGCATAACACGAAGCCGAGGAAGTGATATTTTTCTAGGTACTTCCTTCCACATTGGGATCAAAAACACTAGTTGACGTGTCCAGAATCTGACTTCAATACAGTATATGAATTTTGATGATAAAGTGGGATCTAGATTGAATCTTGAGGTTCCCAAAAATACAGTGCTGCATGTATGTGAGGTTGTGAATTGGCTGTGCCCGGTACAGTCCGGTGTAGCATTAGGCGTCGGACGATGCATGCTTCAGCTTGAAGGATCTTTTCTTTAACGCCGCCGGAAAGGTTATCCACGATCGTGTTGTTAAGTATCGTATCGGGGTTGTAGAATGATATGCAGAAGGCTCGAGAAAGTGTGAGGTATTAAAATTGATGATTCCCGGTAAATTGGTCGGATAGTAACCTTATAATATCTGGCAGACAGTAGGGATTAGTCTGGCTACCGTAGAACCCCCTTGTCGCCGTTGTGACTTCTTCGGAACCTTGCCGATTTCGCTAAGTCGGTAGGATCATCTTTTGGCTCACCATGCCAAGAAGGGTATCGAAGATCATAGACTTTATGATCGCAGTGATAAGCAGTAAAAATACTCTCCATTCATGACCTCGAGATTTGGCCGCCGACCGTTATCCCGCGTTGGCAGAAATTTTATATTCCGCTCCAAACCAACATACGGTATTGACTCCGGAGATCTTTCTTTAACAGTCATGTCAGAGTGGCCTGCAGGCTGCATCGCCGTTACGATCGACTTGCAGATCTAGAAGCGTGTGCGAATGCTTGTCTAGTGGGTCTCGTTTAGCTTGATAAGGGTACAGTACATTCCGTCCCTGCATAAACATAACATCGATCGCTTGCAGGTTACAGGGCATCAGTTGTATTGCGAGTGGTTTAAGATGCCAAAACCGGGTTTATGTTTGGTGGAATAACATGGAAAAATCAGGATAAGATGATCTAGCCCTTTTGGTAATTATCGACATGATGTAAGAGAATATTGATAAGATTGAGGATCCGGACCATGGTCTGCTCAATCAAGCGAACTGTACCTTCTTTCACATGGGATGAACGCAAATTGATAGTGGTCCAACAAACATCAGTTCTGGGCTGTTGAGAAATCGTTATCGGTGGCCACTCCATAACTGATCCAGTGAGTATTCAAGACGAGGGAAATGTGTTGGCGACGAAGTCTATATTGAGACCCAGTGAATATTGATGCAAATGTCTCAAAAATCGGTTTGCCTGTTCTGTAGTGGCTTGCGAGGTGAAGCGATTCACAGCGGTTGTGTATCCACGATCGAGATACTTGGCTGTGTTTGCATACGAGAGATGCATCGGCAAAAATAAGTCGAGAAAAGCTTTATGGAAACCCCATGGTGTTCCTAGAGAAAGAAAGTATAAAGGGAAGGCTTCAGCAGACTATTCTCTATTATTCCCATCAAATTCACTCACCGAAGACTCCAATCAAAAACTTATCAAACCTCAAACTTCTCACTCTTCGAGTCTATCAAACCATCAAAATGCATTTCTCCTTGATTGCCTCTACCCCCCTCCTCTTCCTCTCCGCTCTTACCTCAGCTGCTCCAACCTCCATTACATCAGCCATTGAAGCCCGCGCCTCTACTCAAATCTACTACCTCGTCAACTGCTTCAACAACATCACCTCCGCTGCTTATGCTGAGACTGACTACTACCAAAGCAGCAAGTCTTTGTCTCCTCCCGGGCCAACCCCAACCGAGACAGCGATCCTCAATACCGAAGACTCTATTGACTTCGAAGATGGAACCTGGGTAGCCACTACCCCATTCACCATCACTGCCGTCATCGGCGAAGACGCCTACACCGCCACATCGGGTACCCTCGTTGGTTCAGCTACCGCCAGCACCTCTACCAAGGCTTTGTCTTGTATCCGTCTTACAAGATTTGTCTTGTATGAGCCAAAGGTTGACGAGCAATGCTACAGCGACTACGCTTGCAAGATAAGCCTCACAAAATTTCCTCCACAAACGAGTACCCATGAACTAAGCTGACATCGATTAACAGGCTTGAAAAGATTCTCTCAGCATCTCACATTCTTCGTTCAGTGAACGGACGACGATGAATTAGGAGCGAGCTCGGACTTGATTTGGATGATAGAAACAGGGAGATGAGAACTAGTAATGAGTGATGATGACACAGAAAAATTGGACGAATGATGACTTGAGAGATTGACGATTACGATTGGTTAGGCACATTCTTTTGGATATTATTGTGAATGGGAAAGTGAACTTGGGGAAGGGATATAATTAGAGAAAAAACTCAAATAGACAATTTTCCTTTTGCTTTGACCCTCGAGTTCGGATGGATTTCTTTTACGAGTAGTCCAGCTTGGACAATCAATGAAGGCTGTGCAAAAAACGATCGAGACCGAAAGGAACAATTTGCCTTCTCTTTGAAAAATACGGTACTGGAACAGAAGAAAACCTGTCACTTGCCAGGCCATATGTAATAGACACAGATATTGGATACCAGAATTAGGAATATATTTTGTTTTCTTGAAGCTTTGGTGATCCAAAGTAGAAAATCATACTCGAGTACTCCAAGAGAAAAAAGTAAGTGCGCAATAAACACTATTAATAAGTTGTACTGAAAAGGGCCAGGCTTCCCCACCAATAAATATCAAGCTCCCGCAAATACCCCTTAAATTTAATCGACGTTGCCCCACTAGAAAAATTGTTTTAGGATAATTTAACGAATCAAATCTATGAAACGTTCCGAGCGAGCAGTTTTTGTCTTGTTCCACGGACTCTTTCCATGAAGACGGGACGACGCCATGACCTTCTTGGCCGCAGAACTTGGCGATAATTGCAGGAATTGCTTCATGGGATGCAAAATAATGTAGTCAAAGAACAGACGATTCCTGTATGGCATGTATTCTTGTCGCTTGGTTATGACATATCGAGTCATTTTCTGATATATCGACCTGTGATATGGAATTGTTATATTTATATGCTCGTCCTCGTCCACGACACCGTTCCTTTCTTTTCCCTTCTTCACCCCTATTCCGGCATATCAGACCGCTGACATTCTTTTCCGAGCTGGCATTCTTTCTTTTTCAAACATCTTGATAATATATTCAATCATTCATTCGCCCTCCATTCTTTCCGTGTGCATTTTCAGACAAACTATTTTATAATTTATATTGGCGACGACAATGAAATCTTTCTTTTTAACTCTAGCCATGGGCTTTGCGCTCAGTGGTATGGGTTCTGCACTTCCGTTGGAAGGGACCGATTCTCAAGATTCTGGCTTTTTAGCCTTTCTTTCCAAACGAGCCATAGCAAGTCCAGACAACACCTGTGGTAATGTGTTCGAGGGGGCAAACAATAGCTTTTCTTGTGATGCTACTGCAAACACAGGAGGATGTTGTTCGGCATATGGCTATTGTGGCAACACAACCGGTATGCCTCAAATGTTCACAATTGACTTACAGAATGGTGTGTACTAATTTGTATTTCTCCAGACTACTGTGGAACCGGATGCCAAACGGCTTTTGGTACTTGTTCCGGAGCAACAGTACAACCATCGGACGATTCATTCTTATGCGGAGCGAGCAATGGGGGCCTTTCTTGTACCGGGGGACTTTGCTGTTCCACATCGGGATATTGTGGAAACACGACCGATTATTGCGACGTGGGATGTCAACCTACATATGGAGTTTGCACTGTTGGTGCCAGCGAGCCGGCTACAGAAGAGACCTGTGGTCCAAACTTTGGCGGTGCGAGTTGTGGGGGAGATCAATGCTGTAGTGGTGAGTAAACATGGCCGAATGACGCTAGCATTCTTACTGACTTGCCGCAAGTTTCTGGATACTGCGGAAATACCCAAGACTATTGTGCCGATCCAGGAAGTTGTTCACTTGGATACGGAAGATGCGACTCAGATGCCACGCCTGCCGGATTATCAACTCTCGATGCTGCGAGACCACTGATTGGACCTATCACCTATACGGATGATATATATGACTGCGTGCAAACTAAAGTGGTAGCCCTTACCTACGATGATGGTCCATCCAGCTACACATCCGATCTCCTCGATGTCTTGAAGTCATATGGCTACCAAGCGACATTCTTTATCACTGGCAACAATAATGGAAAAGGAGAAATCGATATTACTGCACCATATCCGTCTTTGATTCAACGTATGATTGCAGAGGGACACCAAGTTGCATCCCATACCTGGAGTCATTATTCTCTTTCAAACGTTTCCCATGACCTTCGAATGCAGCAGATGGTCAAGAATGAAATGGCCTTCAATAACATCATTGGAAAGTGGCCAACCTATATGAGACCTCCTTACTCCGATTGCACTGAAGCGTCAGGGTGCTGGGCAGATATGCAAACTCTGGGATATCACAGAGTCTACTTCGATTTGGACACTCAAGATTATTTAAATCCCTTGCCATCGCAAATTCAGAACTCCAAGAATATTGTGCAGAAAGCACTTGCTCTAACAAATGTTGATGATTACTTGTCAATTCAGCACGATATCGTACAACAATCCGTCGGCAATCTTTCCAGCTACTATTTCGATCAAATTAAGGCCAAAGGGTGGAAAGGTGTGACAGTCGGGGAATGTCTGGGCGACACTGACAGAACTAATTGGTATCGTTCTCTCAATACTACCCCCGCTTCAACAACGCCATCTTCCACCGCAGTTTCATCTCAAAGTACTTCTGGATCTGCAAGCGTAAAGGCCAGCAGTAGCTCGGCATCTTCGGGAACAACATCGCTCAGTTCCGTGAAACCATCCACAAGCTCTGTCATAACTCCCACGAGCTCTGCAAAGGCTTCATCCACATTTGAGCAATCGACTTCAGTGGCTGTTGCGACACCCACCAATCCTTCGACCCCAGCAGCAACATGCGCCGTGTCAGCTGGAAATTGGTGTGGCAAAATTCCACCTTTCACCGATATGCTGACATGCCAAAAGTCAGCTGCAGCCTGCTATTCAGACACTTTAAAATGCGCTACGACGGCTGGATGGAAGAACCTTAAGACTTGCGGTACCTTTGCCACAATTTGCGAGAAGCTGACGCTATATTGTCTGAAATGTGCAAAGTCTGGTTGCTCGAACACTGCTCTAGGGTATTAGTATGGCGCAAGTTATGACACCTTAAAGGGACGGCAGACGTAATAAAATAGCGTAGTAGGATGATTATTTGCGAATTTGGACATTTCTGTCATGCATTCTTGGAGAAGTTGAGTCTTAAATTATCTGAAATGTCGTAGCGTTGGGATCGCAATGAAGAGAATGTTTCCAATATACTTTTGGTTCATGCAATCGATTTTTTACCTAATTATTTCCATATGCCGCCTCTAAAATATGTAAAAATATCTTCGTGAATCAAATAAGTGGTAAATGAATATGGATCATGAATTTCGAGTGATGATATGGGAGATAAGATCAACTTTGATAATGCCCTCCATCGTTGACTGGCTCAATTGATAAGTATTTGAAGTCCGAAATTAATCGTTTGCATGATAAAGTCGTTGTATGGCATGGGTAACATGATACACTGGTAAGGAAACCCTATGTTTCTTCAGCCAGTGATATCCGCTTCGTCAAAGAGTTGGTGGACACTTGACTAGAAACACGAATGATTGATGTTTCATCATGCAAAAAATGAACTAACCTGGAGTACCGGTAGTTTAACAACAGATGTAATTGTGGCTGTGAGCCTTTACTTAAAGGTTTTCGAATTGTTCCATTCTGGAACTATTGTAACAATTGCATTCAATTTTGTTGTTCAATATGTTTTCCGCCCTGAAAAAATCTTTGAGAATAGAGACGAAGGTGGAAGCGCCAAAAGAGGAAACTTCGAATAAAGATGCGAAAGAGGAAGGTGCTGGAGATGTTGGGAAGGAGGATGATATTGTAGTGAAGGATTTAGATGCGACGAGAGTAGAAGGGCAGAATGTGCAATTGGAAAATGTTCAAGAGGGAGAGGTTCTGGTGGTCAAAGATCTAGATGCAAGAATGGGAGAGGAAGACGTGAAAGAGGAACATGATGTGAGAGTAGAAGTGGAAACCGAAGAGATCAAAGAGGAAGCCGAAGATGTAAGAGTGGAAGATATTAAGAAGGAGAATATTTTGGTGGAGAGGGATCAAGATGCAAGGGGGGTCGAAACACAAGATGTGAAAGAGGGAGATATCAAGAAAGAAGTTGAAGAAGCATCGACAGCAACAACATTAACATCGAAATTATCAATCGAAACTGGAATTCCATTATCATCATCACCACCATCCTCAGAAATTGGTGATGATATTGATATTGTTGAAGAAAGAGAAGAAGAAAAAGAACGGGAACGAAAACAAGAACAAGAACATTCACAAACGCCGCTTGCCGCCTCGTCAATTAATCCGACCCCTGGCAACGATCGTTGCTTGGTGGGGTCACAGTCGGTAAATGCCGCCAATCCCGATTCAGAAGTAAACAAAAATGAGGAGACCAACACACCCACTTCACCACGTCACTCTCACTCGCGTGCGATTTTACCAGATACAATTGAAAATCACAGTCACACACAGAATCTAGAGAAAAGATTTTCTTCTTCCACAACAGATTTTGAGATCAACGCTCCGAATACCCCACCCGCGACACCACCAAGAGTAGTAAAGCGTGAAAGATCTGCAAGCCAAAGAGAACGCGAGATACTACGATCGAGACAATTTTCCGAGTCAGCGCGGTTACAAAGGTCTGCGGAAAAGCCTGAAAAGAGCGAAGAGGAACTTGGGTTGGGAAGAAGGAGGAAGGGATATCAGCATAGACACAAATCAAAGGGGTCAAACTCAGGCTCAGGGGAAGCATTGAAAGCAGTAGAACCGCTGCATGAGCATCAGCTTGGAAAAATGGCTTTTGCTGAACAGCAACAGTGGATTACGGTGCAACAGAAAACTTTCACAAAATGGTAAGTTGACTCAATTGTGTTTGCGAGGCATGAATGAGTATTTACTGCAGAATAGGTTGAACACCAAGATAGCGCATAGGAAACTGGAGGTGGTGGATTTGGTTAAAGATTTGAGTGATGGAGTAAGGTTTCTGTAATCGACTTCTTCCTTTGGGAATACTAACATATTAGGTCATTCTCATCCATCTTCTCGAATGCCTTTCAAACGAATCACTCGGACGATATGCAGCGAAACCTAAATTACGAGTACAGCGATTTGAGAACGCAAATCTGTCGTTGGACTTCATCAAATCTAGAGGAATTCAAATGACAAACATTGGAGCCGAAGATGTTGTAGACGGAAACCGCAAAATCATCCTTGGTTTGATCTGGACGCTGATTCTTCGATTCACTATCTCCGACATCAACTTAGAGGGTATGACCGCCAAGGAAGGTCTATTGCTATGGTGTCAAAGAAAAACAGCTTGCTACGACGAGGTCGAAGTCCGCAACTTTACAGATAGTTGGAACGATGGCTTGGCATTCTGTGCACTGCTCGATATTCATCGACCGGATCTAATCGATTATGATACTTTGGACAAGAATGACCATAGAGGCAATATGCAGTTGGCTTTTGACATTGGAACCAAGGAAATCGGTATTCCAGCTCTTTTGGATGTTGAGGATGTCTGCGATGTGGCTAAGCCGGATGAGAGGAGTTTGATGACATACATAGCTTACTGGTTCCATGCCTTTTCGCAGATGGAGAAGGTCGAAAACGCTGGTCGAAGAGTGGAGAAATTTGTTAACAACATGCAAGGAGCTTGGGAGATGCAGAGTGCTTACGAGCAGAGAATGAGAGCATTGTTGAAGAGTATCAAGGAGCAGGTTGTTACTTGGCAGGATGCGAAATTCGAGGGCACGTATGTAGATGCAAAGAAACAAGCGACACACTTCAGTTCGTATAAAAGAGGCCAGAAAAGACAGTGGGTTGCGGAGAAAAGTGACCTCGCTGCGCTATTAGGGAACATAAAGACGAAGCTCAGCACCTATAGACTACGAGCTTACGACCCTCCGCCGGATCTGAGATTGAGTGTTCTAGATGAAGAATGGGCGAAGTTGATGAAGGGTGAAATGGCGAGAGGTCAACTGATCAACGAGACCATCAGGGAGTAAGTACTATTTGTACCCGGATTGAATTATGCTAATGGTTATTATTAGTATCAAAAATGCCTTACGAAGATCTTTTGCCGACAAAGCCAACGATTTCGCAACCACTTTGAATACCATGCAGCTGGCAATATCGGGATTAGAGGGTGATGTGGAGGATCAACTGGTGCATGTTCGTCGATTACACGATAACCTTCCGCCTCTCAACCAATTTTTGGATCAAATCGAGGCTATAGACAAGAAGTGCGAGGAAGCGAACATCGAGGAGAATGACTTCACGACTTACACATACGATGAGCTTTGTTATGAAATGAGTTTGGTCAAAAGTTCTGTTGCGAAGAAATTGGCATTTTTGGACAACCAAGTAGTAGCTCGAAACATGACGAATTTGACGCCAATACAACTTGAGGAATTCGAAAGTGTTTTCCGACATTTTGATCGCGACGCTACCAACAGTTTACAAGAGTTAGAATTTAGTGCAGCCTTGGCGTCACTCGGTCTCGTTTTCTCCGAAGATGAAATGCACGACTATTTCCTCGATACATCAAACGGGAAAGACTACGTAACGTTCGAAGAGTTCATCCGGTTTATGGTGGAGGTCACAGAAGATCAAAATACAGCAGAGCAAGTTTTCCAGTCCTTCCGCGAAGTTGCGGACGGCAAACCATATGTCACAGAAATGGATTTGAGACATAGTTTGGTACCGGATGAGGTAATCGAAAAATTGACTCAATTCATACCGATACATAAAGGCCCTGATCTACAGGAAGACAGAGGCATGCCACAATATGATTACATCAGTTTTATGGATAAATTACTAGGGGGAAATGAGGACGATGAGAATGATGGCGCTCTGAATGAGTTATCCAATGGAAGAAGTCCGAAGAGAGCTAGTGGAATCGGCGGAAAATCAAACGGGAGTCACTGAGGGGGGTACGCTTTTGAGGAAAGAAACTTATGAGTACACGAGGAAGTATATTTTGTCATAACCAGCGCATTCGTAAGGTCCGGTGTATCTTTTTTGTATTCGGTAGTTGGTCTGCCTTGGATTTAAGGATGGGTGGATGGGTGGATGCAATCGAATCCTGATGGGAATGGCGAATCCAGGAGTGAGCGTTGGAGTTGAGACTTTACTCAACTTGGTTGGCGTCGCCTGGAAAACATTATTAGAAGACAATTTTGAAGTATTTTATCGTCTTTAGCCTTGGTAAATCGAATGATGTGAGATTTCAATTGATTTAAACCTCCTTCAATACGAGTATATTTACTCAGCCCCTTTATTTACTCTTCGGATATTTGGAAGCTTCTACCCGCAATTTATCGAATAAGATATAGAAGGCATTTGATTGTTAATACTACCCCCTATTTACTATGGCTGTCAACCGTCTTCATTGAAATGTGCTATTCCCATTCACTCACTATTTTCATTTGCTATTCTTGTTCACAATTCCCATTCACTATTCTCATTCACCATTCTGATTCACCATCTCGAGCTCCAAACACCTATCCCATTCACCTTATTATGCCAATACTACTCTTCGCTTAACCCCTCCCTCCCCCTCGATACTGTACAGACCTAACAGTATCCCCAATCATACTCAAATCTTCATTCACCAAACAAACAAACATCTCCCTCTCAACCATGCTCCAATAACGTCGCGGCAATCTGAATAATTAGTAATATCTACCTAATATAGCCCAATAATATAATGCTCCTCCTCATCGTCGACAATACCGGTAAACTTGTTACAATTTGTGCCGAGGATCTGGTTCATTTACCGGTGTTAGGGTCGGCTTTGCTATCTAAACAAGCTCCTACTGTCATGTCCCATCCGACGCATTTACGAAATCTAACCAGGCGGGATTCGACTTCGCCTTTCAGTTCAGGGATAATCACTCTTTTTAAGCTGAAGGGGTCGAATAGTAGTAAATATGTTAGATATTATCAGGAAAGCTACGTTTCGATGACAGCATCGAGTTCGAAAACTATAATGTTACTACAAATTGGTATTCATTCTCATTAAATACAGCTCTTGTTCATACAGTGATATCTAAGCACCCCAATCTAATACTCTGATCTATCAAATGCTACGCTCCCTGAAATCTCAAGATATCGAACCACCAAATGCCGAAAAAGACACCCTTATCCTATCCTATAAACGAATTTTTCCCTGCCTATTTTCCAACCACCATCCAAACAGCGACAGAAGTACTCCCGAACCGGTCAGGCCAAGCAAAAAACCCCACACAATCCACGATTGCGTCCTCATAGAACGTCGAATCTCAATTGCCATAGCACAAGTGATCATATTTTGATCCGGGGCAATAATAGTTTTCATTCGCTCTATGCCGCTCTGTTCATTCCGAGTCCAGGGACTTATTGCACCGTGAAGACCCTTATCTTCGGAAGCACGATTGCAGATATTGAAGAAGAGTCCGGGTAGTTCCAGTCCATCGCTAAGGAGACAGTTCACCTCATGCTGCATCTGAGAGTAGTCTTTCTTAGGGTCAAGATTGAGAGTGTCGGATCTGTCCAAAAGTACGTCGAAGCCACCGGTGGCAAAGCCGTTGGTGGCAAAGTGGTAGCCCGTCGCATTCCCAAAACCAAATTTGAGCGCTTCGGTGTGGGTACCGAGGTTGGATGGGAGGAATGCGAAGACCATGGGTATGGATTCGTGAGTGGATATGCTGAATACGGGATTGTTGCATGTGGAGATGAAGGGACAGTAATACCCTACGTGGTGGATAGATGAACCAATAGTATGGGCAATGTGATGCGGTACAGCTCTCGGAAATTGCATGGGGGTAGTAAACTTCAAGGCAAGAGGAGCTGATGGATCAGAATCGTGTTTCCGCGGTCGTCTATTTGAAAGCTGTGGACTGGCGGAATCAATAAGTTCTGATCGAAGTGAAAGTAAAGAGTCGCTAAAAAGTAATACAGAAGCAATGGTATCGGTTGCGCAATTCGAAGGGGAGTTGTGCTCAGAGAAAGTAGCGCAGATACCCATAACATCCTTGAAAGATATAGACGTCTTTTCAGTCTGAGCACCTGCTGCTGCAAGCAGCCATGCCGGCCCTTGATGATGATACTCATGGCTGCTCAATCCATAATCCAAAGATATCGGAAATTTACTTTGATCATTCTCAGATTGGGTGAAGGGCAGAGTCGTGTCTTCATGGGAGCAATGGCGAACTCCTGCGGTCTTCGCCGAGGAAAATCGGACTGCAATATATAGAGATATATTTAGTAATATCACCACTATCAAGCACTGAACTGCGAGCTTTAGGGATTTCCTTCGGTTCTCCGTAGTCCCTGCTCCGCCTTTCTCTTGAGGGGTCAAATCGAATGTGGTGATGGGTAGCTTTCCGTTGGAAGATACAACACTTGACCGTGAGTGATCCATAATGGACTGGAAGAATCTCAGTAAACTTCTACTGCAGATTTTAACTATGAGAATACAACAAAAGTTGGAAAGGACTACCAATGCTCTTGTACTTCATCCAACCCGTCGAGATAACAGACTGACTGGTAGCCGCGCTGTATGTCATATCACAAGGCTGAGGCAACGCTTACACTTGTAGGATTCTAAAATACTACACTCATATCCTTCAGGATGCAACGCCAAGTTTCCTAATTTCGGATCTGGGTAGATATCATAGTGTTTCAGTAGTGGGGACAGATCTGTTGCTTACTATCATGGCGAACCCCGAAAACCTGGAGAAGCGGAGCATTCTGAAACTGTCAAAAGTACTAACATCACAACTCTATTTTGATTTTGGCATGATCTCCATATCCCCTGCAACATCTTCGCCAGAACCCATTCATCCACATGTCCTTAAGATCATTCGATCCTCAGCTCTATATAGACGTTAATCTTCACAAGGGGGTTTAACGCCATCCGTGATATCCACCGAGGCGCTTAAACTTCGCAAAGGAACCGCAACACTAAATCATTGCAAGACCTCTTGCTAAAAACCTTATGGCCATCCAATCGTATCACTCGATACTCAATAAGAGAGCTTTTCGCGCCTCGTGGCAATTCCGTCATTATGCCTGTGCTTTTTGACAATATTTCGATACGATCGATCAAATAGTATGAGTGCTCGGAGCGCTATATCTTCAAACGTTCTAACTTTCAAGGTGATAAATAGACGCTGTCACACAGCCGCATTTGATAAAAGGTTGTTTACGCCTTCTAACTCAGAAACGGCTTGTTCGTCTTACAACGGATCTCTTTGGATGATTGTTGACTTCTTTCATATTAGTAACACTAAAGGCCTTGAGTGCCTTCGTCATTCTCGAGCACTTGTCTTGTGTTTTACCACCTGAGAGACGACGGATAATGAAGGATTTTGTAGAAAAATGATTGATGTCTTCCCCTTTTCGATTTGATTGTAGAGGTGGGTGGGTTGTCATCAAGAAGGGTGACTTCATTCGTATTGGCAGAATTTGATTTTGGCGGCTTCGCTACATGACTATTCATGCCAACGAAGATTGGATGAGAGGGCATACGAGAAAGTGACCTGCCGAATCTGTTACCTTCAGTAAATACCAAGTAATCAAAGATATGATTATGTACTGGCTTTCGTTCAGTGTTGTGAGACAAAATTTGGGCATGACTGACTAGTTGAGATTACGGTGACCGTAGCGGATCAAAAATGTCGTTTGTTATCGTAGGATGGATCAAGGAATGTCGATTCCAACATTATTTGCGCCGACGATGGAAATACTCATACATACCATTCAATGGACAGCACTACCGTATCCCATCAAGCCTACCTCCTGAGCAAAAGAAGGAGATATCCCCAAAACCTTCAAGCAATGCGGATGACCTCTCGTAGGTGATGCAACTCTTTCTCCGTACACAAAGTTTTGGGACTAATTTCCAATGCCTTTCTTTAGGTCTACACAAAATCGCGATCAGCGGCCACTGCATTGACGAATCCGACGATGCGAAAACTACGAATTTATAAACTTGGCCGTCGTACATGCTGTCTAGCTTGCCATTCGGAAGGCCGCCATGATTCACTCGCACATACACCTCAGAGTTTCTGGTGTGGTTATGACTGTATAGTCTGACTACAAGCCGGTTTGTACGATTATCGGCATGGAATGGGACACCAAGGTCACGAATATTTGCTGAGATATTCATGCATCTACTTACATATCGTTCATTGGATGTGGTAGAGAAAGATCTGCATACTATAGTCCATACCATCATTTATATGTCAGGTAATTGTATGTAACTTCTCACACCTGGCTGCAAGTTCAACGTTACCGGCACTGCAACAGTTCTTGTAATACGCTGCATCATTTGGGCCAGTTGTTACTGAGTTTCAAGATGATCCAAAGCATTCTTTCTCGGGTTTCCGACCATGTGTTTACAATTGTATTTCATGCATCCCGAAGCCTTGAGGCAGGCAAGAGATCTTGAAGCTCATTACTCTCCCTTTGCCATAATCTTGCTCGACTCCAATGCAGTCCTACCTAACCTATCCTATCACAGTTGCATCTTTACGGAGTAAGTCATGGAGTGTCCGATCTACTCCGTAGGAAGATCTCGAACCTCGCCCGCGAGTGGGGCCCATTTATGGATAGCACGATTGTTCAAAAACAGCAGGGCTTATTAATATCGTACGGAGTATGGAGTACGTATGATCGAAATCAGCTTGTTGCGCCGTGTGTGCACGTACTGTGTACGGTTACTACGGTATTATCTGTCTGTGGGTCATATGCAAGAAGAAATTGGGGGAACCTACAAACTTTTTAAGGTCAATACTCATTGACATCCCCTGCAGTGTAATGATCTTCGTTCCTTAACTCAGTCGAAGTGTCCGTTATTTGCACTTTAGTATCCTTCTTTCTTCTCATTTGCTTTTAAAACAATTCAATTCACGAATACGTTCCTGTTCTCAGAATGTCGGAGGTCCCCAAATTTCGCATTGCTGTCATAGGATCCGGACCTATTGGAAAACTTCTGTTGAGCTCCGTAACTGCTCATCCTAGAATTGAGTATACACAGTTTGAGGCCGAAACATTACCTCTGCGTCCCGCCTTTGGCTATGGTATTGGCCCCCAAACGCTTGCGACGACGAAGAGGCTCAACCAAGCAATTGGAAAGGAACTGCATGACCAATGTTTAGCAGATCCTGTGTGGATGGAATTCTACCACGGCGGGGAGGAAGACAACCATTTGCATACCATCAACGTTCCTTCGGGAGAAGTCTTTGGGAGGATCGGGCGGGATGAGCTTATGGTGCTGCTTGACGCTTTTGGCCCGAAGGATACAATCCAGTACGGAAGAAAGCTCAAGTCAGTGGAGAAAAACAATGACAAACTCAAGCTGATGTTTGAAAATGGTGGTGAAGATGACGCAAATGCCTTGTGGGCATGTGATGGTATGAATTCTTTGTGTAGGAAGTTCGTGCAGGGCGAGAGTTACATCCCAGCGGTGTATTCAGGCCATGTGACATTCAGAGGAAAAGTCGATAGTAGCAAGATTGAGATGGCCATTGGGAAACAATTTACAACCGATACTTCTATGTTTCTTGGCGTCAAGGGTTGGCACGTCTTGACCTTCCCCATCGACGGTGGCAAGTCCGTTAATATTGCTGCATTCTCAATGGAAGAAGTGCAGAAGAAGCGTGGAAGAAACTACGTAACAACTACAGAGGAGCTACTGACTTATTTTCCCGGGGCAAATTCTAAGGTTCAAAAGTTTTTAACGGTAAGCGGTGATGATTATGTTATGGTATCTAATGCTAACAATCCAACAGCTGCTCAACGAACAACCAGGTGGTTGTGTATGTCTTGAATTGGCCCATGTGCATAAATTGGGTCCTTTCTTTAATAAAAACCTCTGCACAAGTTTCGGCGATGCCGCTAATGGAATGCTACCTCATATCGGCGGCTCAATGGCAACTGGCTTCATAGGCGTTACTACCTTTTTGCATGAGGAATTGAATCCCCGAATCCATGCTCTCAGCGCAGATGCAAGCAATGTCGAGATTGCCGAAGTGCTCATGGAGGCATCTGTTGCATATGAACGTAAGCATAAGCCTTTGGCTCAAAAGCTTGTGGACTATTCGAGAGAGCAGGGGTTTGTTTTTAGTGGTGGTGTGGTGGACGCGGTAGAACTGGCTCGAAGAGCAAGATTTCTATGGAAGGCGGATTCTTACAACTCTACCATTTAGGATGAAACTCTTCACCATGGATGCTGATAACGCCACTTCCGTTTCCAATAAGAAAGAAATACCTCCAATGAATTCCAACTTCGAACAATTGTTGAGCACATATCGATAACCCAGAAACTTTAAATTTTAGGCTGCCCCCACTCCTTGTTTTATTGACCCATCAAAACTAAATATACTTTCCGGGGGGTGAACACTCTTGTGGACAGGACATCCGAGTACAGTGGAACTTTTTACGATTCTCTGTGGCAATTGGTCCACTTCCTACGAATACAATATAATCCAATTATTATACACAAGGCCTCCATTGGCCCCATCAGCCTTGCAGTCCGGGGAGTGGTCCTTGCTAGTTATCCTAGTCAGGATTTAGGAACCCTGGTAAAAGCACGGAGATGAAGTTTAAAGAGTATTCTCGAACTGTGTCTAGAAGTCTTTCTATCGCCATCGGTTTTAGACCTTATATATAATCATTTTGTTTAAAGTCACAACTGTATTGAAAAGCCACTGCAGAATAGTGGTGTAGTACCGACATAGTGGACAGCGATTTTAAACCCCTGTTAGAGATATCCCACCAAGACTATTTCAACGGCTGCCTCCGCTTCATCCTTGCTTTTAATATACCGGTGAACGTCGGAGCAATAAAAATGCTTATAATATTAGAGTGCGGGCTAGAGGATAATCTCGCTTGGAACGAGCCATCCTGAGAACAATGAGACCTGGTTCTTCAGATTAGTCTGCTCCCTGCATCGAGTGGTTTATCTGGCCCCTTCCACATCGCTTAGGGGGGGTGGGCGGGTATTCTGTGGTGCGTTCCGAGAATCATTCACATTGCTGTAACCGAAAGATAGGCTCTCCCGAACAGAAAGGTGCCTCGATATCGTTTCGTCTGATATCAACCAAGTATTTCGCTATTTTATTCGCTACGTTGCAACATTTTCAGAAGTGTATCGTCTGCAAGGTTGAGGTCGACCTAGTCATCAAGTGATTTCATCATATCTGATGAACATCTGATAATCCTTTGGTCGAATGGGAAATATGGCCTATTTGCCCCGGGAGCTTTTCCAAGCAAAGTATCGCCGAGATCGTTTGTCTTTGCAGTTTCGAAAGATTTCCCTCCCCTCCAACTTTTCTGATAATCTGGTCAAAACATGTTCTCACGCGAAGATCCTATACCCAACCACAATACCCACCGAATATGTATTATGCTGTGCTATTGAATTTACACCCTAAAGACTTAGAAATTGGGTCGTGAACTATTATTTCCGAGCACCAATCTTGCGGACTGCATTAGCCGTGATGCTGGCCCCATAACCTGTATTAGTTCTTCTAGTTGTCGACTTCGTCTACGACTCTATCAATCAAGCAGGAGTAAGTCATATAAATTACAACTATCACAGTACATCCAAGAAGGTATTGCGCAATAGAAGCAATAGCGAAGGTCCAGCTGATAGGTCCCCATATAAATGCAGGCCATCCGATCCTGCAACGGGAACCGAGTTACGATCCTGGCGTAGAACATGCATCAAAGCATGATAATCGCACTCGTCAGCTGGAAACCTTTTCATTGCTGTAAAATCAAAGGTCAACTGCTAGTTATTTCATCTTCGTGTTGACATGGGAATCACAAAGATACTACCGGTTGACATTTAGTGGCATGCATGTGAGCCGTGGAATTGGATTTTATGGCCCCCCCCCCCCCCCCGCACCTCGAGTCTCGCACTGTACCTGGATGGCGAACCTTGTCACTGTCAGATAAGGGGTTACTCATGCTGCCAGAAAGTCCGCAACTTTCTGGCAGCATGAGTATTAAGTCCTGCAAAGAGGTCATTTCGGCCCTGCGTGTTATTGCTGTAACCCCTCCACTTTTGGTACAAATATGTGAATTCAGAAATCTAGTATATCACTCAATCACGTCCCCGCAGCACTATGATACCCGCTGGAATCATCAGGTAACAATTCAAGCTGATCGCCCTTCTGTCGGTTGTTTACTCTCTCACACAAGCTCTCCACGATGAGCACAGTCAATGTATCCACAAGCCCTCTGGTTGCGAGCAACCCTCGTGGAATAGTAGTTATTGAAGGTGCTACTATATCACTGAGCTTTGTTGTGATATTCGTCTGTCTACGAATATGGGGTCGATATCGTTATAAAACCTCGCCTGGATCGTCTGCACCATCATTTGGCGAACCACGATTTTGGATGATGGTTTCTGACTTGGCGATCCTCGCCTCATCCGTAAATCCTCTTTCTAACGATATGCGTGAACCTTCTAACTCATTTTCAAGGTGGTTGCCGTTGTTTTGACCGTCATTGCTTGCGTTGGTAAGCATATTTGCGTTGTTGTACTTTGCAGAAAGATGTTGATATGATCCAGGGGTGAAATGGGGACTGGGGCTTCATGCCAAGCTACTGAGATCGACACAACTTGAGACGACACTTCAGGTTTGTCTTCATTACTCAGTAATTGTATAAAAATGTTCTAATTCTACAAAGATGTTCTACCTCTACCAAATATTCTACAAATTTGGAGCTGGCCTCTCAAAGATTGCGACTTGTCTACTCCTGTTGGCCATTTCAACTCCACAAATGAAGAATTTCAACAGGTGTTGCAGGATAATGATTATATACATTGCGGTATACTCTATCAGCTGCTCCATTGTCACAGCTTTCCAATGCGGATACAATTTCAAGAGTAATTGGATTCACGGGAACGACCAGAGCCAATGTTTCTATAAACCCCCTTTCTGGTTCAGTCATGCCGGCTTGAACATTTTCGCAAGTATAGTGGTCGCAGGTCTACCTTGGTGGTTGTTTTCCTTTGTCACTTACAAGAGAAAATACACTATAGCCATGATCATGACGTTATTGGCTATTTCGTAAGTCACTTGCACCAGGAAAAGGTGACCGTCTAACTTTTGAACAGTGAGATTGTCCTCGGATGCGTGCGTTTGGATGGACTTTACACATCTACTCACTCTCTCAATGATATCTCCTGTAAGTTTTCCTTGATGCTGTGATGAATCCATAAACAACAGTGCTTACTCGAATTATTGAAAAGATGGTGCTACTACCGGTATATTAGTCTCCCAATTGGAAGTTAATTTCGGCATAATCTCAGCCTGCATTCCTACTGTTTTGAAGATCATGGAAGATAGCATAAAGCCCTTCTTTGGCTTCAGCTTCGGGTCCACAACCACCGAAACGGGAGTGCATTCCCAATCTCGATCTCGAAATTTAGGAGCGATGGGTAGCCACCTGCCGACGATAGATAAATCGAAGCCTCGGTCCCAATACGAACGATTTGGTGATGATGACCTTGAAATGGATTCGATAAATTCGGGAAATAGCAGGGAAAACATCATTCGTGATGATAAAGTCCTTGATCTAAATATCAAGATTGAGACATTTTACACTGTGGAAAGAGAACTTGACACGAAACCCGAAAATAAGTAGAGAGCTTGTTTTCCCAGTGAGTTGACTGCATCTACTTTGGTAGCGAAGTGAACCTGGAACGGATGTAGCTACAGGATCTAAAGATGGGCACAATTTGGCGATGGACTAGGCTGTAACAATACTGTACTTATTTCCTTACGTCGATGCCCACCAACTTGTGTGATACAAGGGTGATAGTCTGATAGACGGAAGAATGGCAAGGTCGTACGAATTATCGAACTAGGCTGGGCGTGGGGGGCAATGCAGTGAACGGGCAGCCCAACACTACCCCATGTCGATCACCCTAGTCAATACGGAGGTCACTGCAGATGTAAGCGAGTGACAGGGAATATGAAATGTTGGTCCGGACGTTATGTGCCGTCCTGCGTATGGGTAATCTGGATCGGGAAGTGAAGCCGTAATCGATTGGGTATCTGCCCCATGAGCCGAGATCCCGTTATTTTCATGGTTTGCTTCACTTCGCACCAAATGTTTATATTGAAACGAACCTCGAAATTATGTCTGCTAACAGAATTTGTTACAGATAGTTCTGGGCATCTGCTGCACCGGAAGCTCCACAAATGTCAATATTTAATCCTGGATTGGTGCGGAAAAGGCGTCGTTTCTTGAGTTGCATGGCGATTTCCGCAATAAATACTACATTCCTAATTGCCATATCCACCGAGATTGACCCTATCTTATTTGTACTTCAACCTTTCAAATCCTTCTTTTCTCGGGTTTTGTGTGTCCTGCACAGGTGGACGATCATTGACAGTTCAAAGTATCACTACCTACTCAGGAAATAATGGCTCAAGAACCAGCCGCCGAAGTGTCTCAAATGGACGAAAAAGTCTCAGAGACCAGCCATGGGCTAGCGGTTTCTAGTCCGTCCCGATTCGACCGAAAACTTGTTTTGAAAATCGATTTTTACCTTCTCACCCCCCTGCTCCTCCTAAACTTCCTGTCTCTCATGGGCCGAACGAATATTGGTGCCGCCATGGTACAGGGCCTACCGAAAGACTTGAAGCTGGACGCGATGAAAGTCTTCCTCGCAATCACCATTCCCTTGGTACCGCTGATCTTATTTGAGGTCCCCAGCAATCTTCTCATGCGCTTCCTCGAAAGGAAATATAGCTTCTCATATATGAGATATATGTCTATTATAACTGCTCTTCTAGGTAGCTATAACAATCCAATCTACAATCTTTGAAGCGCCAATGTCTAACCAAAAGTAGGTCTGGTCACTTTGGGCCAAGGCTTTGATAAAAGCTATTCCGCACTCTTGGCAACTCGATTTTTGGTAGGAATATTTGACTCTGGACTCATTCCCGGATGTATTTTCGTTTGTGCTTTGTACTACCCAGCAGTACATTTGCAATGGAGAGTAAGCATGGTTATGGTTGCAAATATTGCTTCGAATATTGTGGGGAACATTCTTGCCTTTGGTATTGCTCACATCAAAAGTTCAAACGGGTACCATGGTTGGCGATGGTCAGTCCAATCTTTTCTGCCTGAATAACATAAAAAAGCCGGAGATATAGATGGCTAATCTCTGATTATAGGATATTTATCGTCGAAGGATGTCTTACCATGGCGATTAGCTTTGCATGCTTCTTTTGCAACATTAGCAGGCCCGAAACAGCATCATTCCTCAGCGACGAGCAGAAGGAGATCATCGCCACCGAAGTTGAAGCCCGCACAACAACAGTCGGGATTGCCGCCGAATGGAAGATCTTTTTGAGCAACGGTCTTAACTATATATGGGCTGCATGCTACGTCCTCACCTGTTCCACAACTTACTCAGTCGCCATTTTCTCCCCGTCTTTTGTGCAGGCTTTCCATCCACACTACACTACACCACAAGTCCAAGGCCAAGTAGTCCCTATCTTTATCGTATCCGGCATAGTCTGTCTCTTGGCTGCATGGGCAGCTGATCGAATCAACCACCGCGCCGGTTTTGCCATTGCAGGTTATCTCGTTACAGCTATTGGATTCATCATTCTCCGACAACCAAAGATCCTCGCGCCACGCATCTCCATGCTTGGACTCTACTTCGTCAGCATGGGTACCTTCACATCATTACCTCTTCTCTATAGTTTACCGATGATCAACTCAGCTACTCCGTTTCAGAGAGCTATCGGAGCAGGATTCGTGATCGGTATTGGAAATGTCGGTGGATTTGTCTCCGCGTGGCTCTTTAGAACAAGCGAGGCTCCGCATTACAGAAATGGAATGACTACCTCCCTCATCATGACTTTAGTGGCCCTTGGTTTGATGGCTTTTGCTTGGGTATACATCACCAATGCCAACAAGAGATCGGACAAGAATGCCACAACGACGGATACGGGGTCCGCTATTGATTCCAAGGATAGTCCTGTAGTACGAAGATATAGAGCTTAATTTTATTTGTTTCTGCATATAATTTTAGCTATCTTTGATATGAACTATCGAATTCACTTTAATAATCAATACCCAAATTTGGTGCGCAACCTAAGGAAGAACCCAATCATGTGACGCGGATGTTTCTAGGTTTAGCGTGGGGTTTGCGCTAAGCCTAGAAGCGAACCCCCTGACAGCCGGTGGAGGCCGGCATTGAGTCTGTACAATTTTCCTACAATCACAAAACTGTGACTCAGTTTTCGCTCTTCGTCTTATTCAGTCAATCGACGAATCATCGCTTTCTCTACACCAGCCTCACTTTTTTCTACGCGCCACCATTTTCGAGGCCTCCAGTTCTCAAGGGCCCACTTGCAGCCCCATAAAATGATTTGTTGTCAATCTGGGCCAGCCTGAAGTGGAGATCACATGTTCTCCCCTGTTGGTACTGCCATATCAACTCCTCGCCCATTTGTCGCTTTCAGCCAATCGTACCAACCAGACATTGCATCGTTGTCTCCTCTAAATCATGTACAGCAATTTTCCACACTCGCCTCGCTGCACCCACGAGATGAGCTTCTCCACCTCATCACTTGAGTCACATAAACTCGATCGAAGTTGTGACAATATGCTTTATCATGGATCCTAATTTCTCAACTCCACATCTAACAACCGTTCTTCACTCCGCTCTCACTACTTATCTCACTGCCCTTCGCAAAGAGCAATCGTTACACGAGGCTGGACTTCCTCGTCAAGGCAAAGACATTGAAACCGCTGAAGATTTCGAAAGAAGAGGAGGCGAAGAAGAGAGGATCGCGGCGGTAGAGCTTCTGTTGGGTTTGGAGGAAAGAATAACAACACTCGTTGAGAGGTGGGTGAGTCGAGGTGAAGAGATCAATTTAGGGACTGCAGGGCAGGACCTAATCGGAGAAATTGAAACGGCAGCTGGACTGCGTTTGGAATTGGTCGACAACAGAATATCGGAACAGCAGCGCAAGATCGAACACGAAGAGCCTTATATCAATACTCTTACCGGAGAATGGATATATCCTGACACGGCAGGGCCCTCTCACGATTGTTCATCCCCTACTTCTGATGGATTTGGAGAGATTCACACACCCAAGACAGAACCAGAAGATCCCAACGACGTAATACCAGATTTACTCGAAGACATCGACAATTTGATAGATCTCAACTGCTTCACTCCTAGAACCGAGCAAATTTCTAACGATATGAAGAGTTACCTGAAGCATCTAATGCCTCCTCTGATTCCCCCGACAGGGTCGGGATCGAAACCTCGATCTCGGTCTCAGTCCCGGTCCCGATCTCAAATTTCGTCCCAAAAGAAACCCGAAGTCAGACCCAAGCAAAAATCTCGAATCGAGTCGTCTCAACCCTCGAGTCAAAAGAACAAGTTACATTCATCTCGACCACGGACTTCACGGGCGAAAGTGGAGTCTAGCTCTTCTAGCTCTGGCTCGGAGTTATCATCCGACGAACTCACAGCCCAGAGACTTCAAGCTGAATGGGACCACGAGAACGATCTTCTTCAATCCCAGCTACGATTTGCACGCAACCTGGAGCATCGCAGTCACTCTCCATCTCAGTTTGAGCTCGATAGACTTGAGGCTCAAAGATTGCAGGCTCAAATTGAGGAAGAGCAGGCTGAATCTGACGCAAGACGTGCGGCCCGTCTTGAGAGGGAAACGGAAGAGGCTATAAGAATTGCTGCCGAGTGGGAGAACGAGGACAGCCATGCTGCTGCTCTACAGCGAGAATGGGAAGAGCAGGATAGGAGACTTGGTGAACAAGAGGACTTCGCCAGGATATTGCTGCGGAGGGACGAAGAAAGGGCTACTTCGCTTGAAGGAGACTTAGCTGCAGCGCAGGCCGCTCAAGCTCAATGGGAACAAGAAGTCCAGGAGCAGGAGAACCAAGCGAGAAGAGCGACTAAAGATGAGGAAAGAAGAGAAGGAGAAGCAAGGAAGAGAAGAGCTACTGCTGAAGCTGCCGAGGCAGAGCAGAAGTCGAAGTTGGAGAAAGAGCGAGCAGCTCGCAAAGAGGCTGAAAAGAAGGTCAGGGTTGAGACAGAACGATTGCAACGACAACAGGCTGAGAAGAAAGCTAAATTGGACCGAGAACAACGAGCCAACGAGGAAGCCGCCAAGAAAATTCAACTAGAAGCTCGGAAGAAAGAAAAGTTGCGCGTTGAAGATGCCAAAAATGCGCGTGAAATGGCCGAAAAAGAAAAGCAGCGAGTGACGGATGCAAAGAAGGCACGCGAGCTGCTAGAGAAGGAGAAGAAGGCAAGGCAAGCTGATTGTGTATCATGCATGGAGGCAGGAGAGAAAGCCAAAATGTGTGTATTGTCCTGTGAACATGCATATTGTGAAGAGTGTATTGGGGGTAAGTAGTCAATCAATCTCAAATTCTCCTTGCATCACGACACTGACTCAAGCAGGTGCCTTCCAAGCTGCTCTCTCATCCAAGACACGATTCAAATGCTGCAAGCTGAATGTTCCGGTCAACGTTGCTTCTAGCTGGCTCGATGCAACTTTCATCGCCTCATACAAAATGTTGATTCTCGAGCAAGCTACTAAGGATCCCCGTTATTGCTCCAACAAAGAATGTACCAAGTTTATTCCGCCAGCCAACATACATGGGGCCATCGCAATTTGTCAAACATGTAAACATCGTACATGCGCACCTTGTGGTAATGGGGAACATTCCGGTGTATGTAAAGAGGATAAGGAGGGTCAAGTGTTACAGGCACTAGCGGAGAAGGAGGGATGGCGGAATTGTCCTAGGTGCAGTTTTGTGATCGAGAAGAACGAAGGCTGTTTGCATATGACTTGCAAGTGCCTATTCGAGTGGTGTTGGGAATGCAAGAGTGAGTGGAATGACTGTAAGAGCACTTGCAAGAGAGAATAACGAATGTGGTGGCTGTTTATGGAAGTTGAACGAGGCGATAAATTGTTCCAAACCGTTAGGGCACTTTCAAACTGTAGTCCTTTTGGGCCCCAGTTGCCGGACATGTTAGCGCTTGCAAATTCGCAGTGTCAATCCAGTTATAGTTGCGTTTTTTCCCCCTCGGGTTCTTGTATTTCGGAACGCTGCACCTGAACAAATTTTGCAATGTAGCCCTCCACTTTCCGCTCTCCATCGTCTGATCATTTTGGCACAAAGACTCTTCCTACGAATTTGAAGAGCTGACCTGTGGGTTGCATAATTGCAACCACATCGAAATATACAATCTGATAATGAGGCTATCATTCGAAGCAACACTTTATCCACAATATGGTGTATCAAACACCAGGATGAGTCTAATATTATTTTAGTTGACATCCAAAAGACGATAGTAAATCTGTCGTGAGTGAATCACAAATCTTAAAGTTCGATCTAGATACAAAGCAGATGAAGGGTCATATCAAGATAAGAACTTGCCGGCCCGTCAGTGATCCCGTAAGGCTACCGGCCACATTTAAATGCAGTCGTGGTTTAATTCCACTCATAACACATTCCTAGTTTGGCGACCGATAAGAGGCATCTGAACTTGTATATTAAAATTGAAGGGGTTGAGGGAGAAAATGATACATCTCTGTGATGGCCTTTTCCTGCCCTCCAGTTAGCCTTTTGTCAATCCCTTCATTCTTGATATTTTGCTTCGAAAGATGCTAGTGCCTGTTTGAAGGTAAGGCCGAATCGCCTGGAGAAACATCTTACCGATTCACCACTGGAATTGGTATAGATTTACCTGTTGCACGTTTGCGGCAGATTTTGTATTATTGCGATCTGGGTTCGTACTTCTAGTTTCGAGTATCACGGGGAATACTCATTATTGTATGTCTCAATTAGGAACAATCGCAAAGCAAAGCAATTTCGATCTTGGACAATGCAGAAGAAATTTCTATTTGTCTTAAAGTTGTAGAAATTATAGAAATCGCTTATAAAGACCAACGGCAACAAACTTATATACAAATAAACACCAATGCATCCAACACTGTCCTATCAAACGGTCTAAGACTTTGATCTCCTAAAACTTTTCTCATTCCAGATGAATTTTCGACGGCTTAGAGGCGAGCATACTTTTCAAACGCAAGTATTGCGACACCCGATCCTGAACCTTCACCCAATCATCCTTCACGATCATGCGTCTAATTCGAGATCTCTACTGCGTGTAGCAGGCAGTACGACCAATGGCAGTGATAGGACTAATACACTCATATTTTCCTCCGGCGGCACAGGCAGTACCAGGGGGGTTGTCTCCTCCGTTGTCTGAGCCATCAGCACGATGGGCGCCTCCGCAAATAGCAGTGCAATCGAGGTTGCCAGCTGAAGCGTCCTGTTCAATAAAATTAGGTTCTGTTTTGAAATAGATTGAGATATGAAAGTACTCACCGAATAGACGCAGCAGTGTCCTCCATCACCAAATTCACATTGGCAATAGGTGCAAGCTTGCACAGACAAGGCGCTGGCGAAGAAGAATAAAGCGATGGCGGCGAATTTGACCATTTTGACGATTTAAGAGGGCGTTGGTTGTTGATTTGAGTGAGGTGAGGATTGTGTTGTTTGTGTTGTGTTTGTGTTGTTCTTGTTTATGTTGTTGGAGTGTTGATACAGAAGAAATCCTAAAGTTGCGAGATGTCCATCCTTATATACCTGTCTTTGCATCATTTACTTTTGACCGCTGGATCAAATGAAGCGAGTGAAGTATATTCACCGACGTCTTATTACCCCAAAAGCTGGGCAGTCCACCCTGGCAGCAGCATTATCCCATGTCGCCGTTGTATACATGGTTGTTATGGGTCTTGACTGGCCGCGATCGTTGTCAAAATAAATCTTCCTTCCTTACGTCCCTTGAACCTTATTGACGATGTTTACCTTTACTTTACCGTCTTTACGGAACTTCCAATTACATCAACACGTGTATGTATCAACAGTGACTACCGACGACTGCCGACGACCAGCATCTCGCAACAATGAATTGAATTGGTTTTCACAGTGGAGCAGTGTGACCACTGACAAGAGACCGGAGGTGATCCATGATTGATCAAGAACCTTGGGATGTCCAGTGTCGATGTTGTATTGGTAACGTACGAGTCTGATACCAAATCCCTGATAAATTAAAGTTTTCGTGGGATGACTTTAGCTCTTTGATCCACAAAATGATTCAAAATGATACTGTCAGACCTGCTGAACCTTAACTAATGGGTATCCCAAACCTTATTTAAATGCCATACAGATACAGTGTACAGTGTATACAGCCAAATATCGATATTATGGGACAAACGAATACTGGTAGAGAGATTGAATAACGTGTGAAGAATACTGTATAGAGAATGGGGGGTTATTAGGTCCGATGCATATCTAATTGAATATTTGCATTTATTGTGTGCATTCGTGTCAATCGATTCCGTAGTTGTTTTTAATTATCCAGAATGATTTAATCTGATTAAGACTGATAAGAAAATGAAAATAAAAATGGTTTTGATACACCTTAGATTTAAGATTTAAATCAAGGTAATATTCAGCAAGATACAAAAGATTCAAACTATTTTACCTCCTCGCACCCAATAAAGTGTCGGGATTATTCAATTAATTTGTCTAACTCACAGATCATTAGCATTAACTTCGGGTAACTTATTAGACTCGTCGGTGATACAGTAGCTCGTCGGTAATACAGTACATACATATATCAAAGTTTGATTTAAAGTTGCAATTATATGCGTGACTGCCATGGTGTCTGCCACCTAGTCTTTTTTCTCCACAGATTTGGATGACGATCATTTCTGTACTAGATAGGTACCTCGTATATCTTATTTAAGCATAAACTTCGGCGTCTGAAATTAAGTTTGACGGGACTCGCATGTCAAAGGTTGGCATCTGCAGCTGCTACCGCAAAAGTGGAATCCGGAAGGCGATCGTGTGCTATTTCGGAATCCGGGACACCAACGCACTTTAGATGTGTGGGGATATCGAGTTGATTGATACCGTTGACATTGCGGAGTACAGTACCAACAATCTAAACCTTCGATAGTTTCGAGATTTCCATCATCTCTGCCAAATTGGAGATCAATTCTCAAATTACCTGTAATAGATGTGAAGAAGGTGATGATAATAATGCGATTTTGGTTGATAAACTTATAGCTAAACTCATCTCACTACCTACTCAGTAGCTCTAGAACCAGCTTCTTTTCTCCTGCATATACTTCCACGTGGCTGGTCTCTTCCCCTGTCCCTTGAAATCGACTAAGCTCGAGAAGGCAGCTGCAACCAGATCAAAGTTGAATATAAAGTTTGAAATATTCCGAAATTTCTACGTATATGTACTGAGACAATACCTTTGATCATTTGTCCTTACTTGCTATATACCGTATACTTTTCGAAGAATTCGGATAAGCTAAACAGTGATTAAAACTTAAGGTTATTCTGACAAGCCTAACTTTTGTATTCTTATTAATAGAAATCCTTCACCTGATCAGCAACTATACTATATTAAATCGAAATGTATGGGATTTGATCCAGTTTTCCCTATACCAAGAGAAATAGTTTATCCGAATTTTTCGAAAGTATACGGTACCTCTTATTCAATAGGAGTACCCCATTGCCATTTAGTATTTTTGGTGTATGGCCATGTGACATGTGAAGTGTACATGTACGATACTAAGAAAAGTATTGGCTTCGGACGCCCGAACTCCGGACTTGAGATATGGAATCTCATGCTGAGCTCATGAGTTGTCAATCAGACGTGGTATCATTTCTTTCAAATGGATAATATTTCCTGTTTGGGTAGGTAGACTTGGCTGCTTTCTGGATTCCTTCATTTTTGCTCTCATCTCCTATTTTCTTTTGAATATGACATGTCTTTTACGTACTGCGCAATAGATGTATGCTTTGCAAATCATGAAGGGGAAGTATCTTCTTCTAGAGGTACATCCAATACAAGTTACAACATGGTTGTCAACTCATGGATTGAAAATATTTCTTGTGTACACGAGAAAATTCTATCAATGGGAGTAGATATATGCTTGAGACAAGACTCTCAAGGGTTTCAGCAAACCATCACATTCTCGGCATTCAGTTATGTCTGTGTAAGCTTCTTGAGAAATGCCTCCCCTATTTTGTATCGACTTTTGAAGTCTTTGTCGAACCGTACTTCGATCTGGCAATAAATTGAACAATTGCACATCACCAGCAACCTTCATTCCAGTTCTTCCGGTCCTCGATCTGATTGTCTCGCAATACTCCGCATCTCACTGTAGATATATCTTATCCATAAAATTGGCGAAAGTACCGCAACCAAAGCGAAAGTAAAGGATACATACATGTCGAACTGCAATTGTAGTGACAATGGATTGCATAGACACAATGGCCAATACGCCCGCTGAGCATTAAGTCGTTGAAACCGAACAACACCCACTTCTAGAACTTCGAATACCCAGATCCAAGAGTGAAGAGTCCAGTTCCATGGGGATACAATATAATCATTCGCTCTGCCAATTTGAGGAGCTTTAAGGATGTGTTCATAGCGAGATGTTACTGAAAAAGACCATGGCGAAGGTTTGGAGTCCAAAAGCCTGCCACGAATTTCCCTCAGTCCTCCAGATAAGGTACTTGCCTAGAATTGACCTAGCCGGGAGCATGCCGCCACGGTATGAGAGGGCAAGTGGAAAACATTTCTGGACCAGAAACCACCGATTTTCCAAAGCTTTCTACGGCATTTGAAGACCTATACACTTCTGACGAGTATTTCCATTCTGCTTTTCTTCTCTTGTGTGTTCCATCCTTTAATTTTCCCTGTGATTTTCTTTTATTTTTGTATTAAAATAGGTCACTCAACAGTAAGTTCTCCCACCGAGATTAGCACTTTTCGGAGCTTACTACTATAGATACGTAAGTTTCTGCATTTAATTCATCAAACAGCACAAAGAGCAACCAGCTCTTTCAGGCCTGCTGGCCCAATGGTAAGGCGCTTGACTACGAATCAAGAGATTGCAGGTTCGAGCCCTGCGTAGGTCAAAACATCTTTTTTGCGTGTGGGTTTTGCTAATGGGGCTAAAGAAGAGGGGAGCTTTAAGTAAGCGACGTCTAGCATTGTACTTTTTTTCTACTTCTAGCTTGGACAACCCTGCTTTTTTGACTATTGAAGCCTTTCCACGATCAGTTGCTCCTCGTTAGATCAAAAGAATGAGTGCGGCGGATCTGTTAAGGATCTTTCTTTTGGGATTTGATTGTAAAATTGCCCCTTGTTTGCTGGGAGTCTTCATTTCAATCATTTATTGCGTTATTCACACCCTAAGTCCTAAAGTATAGTGGATTTTTGGGATAAATTGTTCCAATAGAACACAAACGCTTTCTGTATTTAAAATTTGATGTTAAAAAAACTTTGTGCAGGGTTTGCAAGTGGTGCGGCGTCGGGGTACTAGGTACATGGCAAGATGCCGAGTCTTATCCGAAGCCGGTACTACAACGGCAGAATCGCGAGTGTGTATCCGAGAAGAAGGGAACTATGTCCCGGTGCTCGTAATATATCCCTTCCGCTCTGCGATAACAGCTTTGATTTATTCTTCTTCGAATTCCCCCATTTAATTTAAAGAAAATTGATGCTACTATCACTCCACAACCACTCCCGAATGTCCCACAGAACATCCAAATCATTACTATGCAGCGTATTTTTCAGATACTCACCAGCCAGGTGCCCCCATTCCTTCCAAATCCTGTCCAATAAGACAGCAGTTATCGAAATCGAAAATAACAGGGTCATCCCTTTTCTCCAAGGTACAGTAGGTCTTCAGCTCATCGCGTGATCACACATTGCCACTATACCTCCATAGCCCCCTCAATAATCTTCCATACTCTACATCTATTACGAAGTCCAATCGGTGCATTCGCCATAATACGTACAGCATCTAACACATCATCTTTCTGGGACAGTAACTTGGCCAGTGCCTTCCAATCCCAACTCGCATTATGGTTTTTGCGGTGGCATGCCTTGATATCGAGATCCCAGATATAAGGTATCAGAGACCCGGAGATTAGTCGTTGGAACCAGAATTGCTGGTTTGAAACTATATGCGATGCTAGTATTTTAGACGACAGGTGTAGGGCGAAGATTGATGATACGGGGAGGAAGAAACATATATGATGTAAGATTTCCGCGGGTAAATCTTCCAGGCGAGCTTCACTCGATGTCGACACTTTACTACACACTGAGTCCTTCTATTTCTTACTGTCTGAACGCTCCGAGGTATTCGAAGCAAGAGTAACTTCTATAAGAATACTCAAAACGGAATCCGTGAGATTGGGTATATCGATAGGATTGGGCGCATAACCACTATCAATCTGTCAACATCAACGAACAGTTTGATCCGAGCAAGGTCCTCACTTCTTGACCATGACCAGCTTCCCAGTCATAAAATCCCTGAAATTGACGAGCACCATAATAATCATGTTCCCATTCTAATCCATTCATACCAATACCAGCTCTCTCTTCAAACCCGACGACGTTACTTTTCCCGTATCATGCTTAGCACCCTGAATACAGAGCGAATCGTAAAAGGTTTCGAGAGTAGCAGCGATTGCATTGGGAGAAAGCATTTCATTGTGAGCTTGAATATATTTATCAACAAGGACGAGACACATGTCGTGGATGGGAACTACAAAATCTGGATCTTTGGTGGTCAACCCTCCAAATACATAGTACTGGACGGTATCAAGATTAAACTCGTTTCCATCGAAGGGTTCGAATTGTGCATGATCTGAGATGAGAAATCCGTCGATATTTGAATGGTTTTTATGTCCCGCTCTACGTCGTTGTTAGTTGATGAGTTAAACACAAAAAATACTGTAGGCGGACTTTTACTCCTGGAAGGATATTGGCAAGCTTCTATTACCATACATATATCTCTGCATGGATCGCGTTCGAGATATAAGTCGATATGAAGTCAGCTACTATATACTAGTCGGTGAACAATCAAGATTAACCGAAGGTTTTGAAGAAACAACCTCGATTTCGGTTTCAGAAATAACAGAGGCCCAGTATGCATCTGGAGATGGTCCTTCAGATCCCCATCCATACATTTCCGCCCATTCTTCTGCATCTACGAGACCAGTACGAGTAGTATCATCATAGATATCAAATTCCTCAAAAGGACCCCCGCAAACTGGACAGAATTGATGGGGAAGACCCATTTTGCACGAATTATGCGATAGTCTGGATGTTGATGGAAAAGAAAAAAATGGTTTGCGAAATCCAGCTACATATGGGATTTGTAGAGGATGTTGATGTATTGACGTGAAGTGTCGGGGGCAGTGTTGTGGCACAGTGGATGAGCATCCTTTACAGTACTATATTACATGACTCTTCCATCAGTTCTCGAGTTCGAGATTATCATCTTTGTGGCGCAGTCAAAAATGATGCCTCTGCATGATCCGCAATATGTTTTATTAGTTATCTAGCCGGTATCGCGAAGGATGAGATATAACTAGATGGATGGAAGAGGAGAAGCGAGGAGGAGTTTGACATTTTCGGTTGAAGAGAAAGATTTATATAGATAGAAACCTCAATGGGTAAAGCAGGACATCGAGACGAATCTCGATGTTGTGGGAGCGCTTTTGTGAAGCCAAGTCGCGCACTTTCATTCTCTATTTCGGTGTTATGATTATTTGCTTCTGATTTTGTATCGATACTTTAGATTGATATATATTTAGAAAGGGAGTTGATATGTAGGTAACAAACATAGTATTGAACTATAACCATGCCAAACGGGTCATCTTATTGCTCTAGCTAAAGAGGAGATGATTTGCTTATTTCCCCCAATATTTGAAGGAAAGCCATGAAACAAAGTGCTAGGCTAACTACAGCCTAGAATCACCCAATGAAGGAAGGAATAGACTTTTTGACCGACACAGAGCAATCATAAAAAAAGGGGAAAAAAGATAAAAGAGATGTTAAACTGTTAAAAGATATTAAAGGCTTTTTTGGGGGGTATAGGTCGAGTAGGTAAAGAGAGAAATGGTAGTTGTGATTTTACGGTCAGTTCTTTAGACCAAATTATTACAGGAATCCTTCCTCATTTCGATAAATACCCCTTAGTCTATCAGAAACTTGCGGATTATATTCTATTTAGAGAGGTTGTTATGATTATGAAGTAAGGTGGACATTTAACATCTGAAGGTTTAAAAGCTATTCTTAATATTAGAGCTTCTATTAACAGAGGATTAACTCCCGCATTGAAAGAAGCTTTTCCTGATTATGTTCCTATGACTAGACCTTTAATTGACGTACACAAGTTATCAATACTCGTATTGGTGACAAGCATTCAGCACGAGAGCACAAAATTAGCAAAATTATTGGAGAAGCAATGAGCATAATCGAAACACATGAATCATTAACCAACTACTCTACCATTATTTGAAATATATACATTAGACATCAAAAACACAACCAAACTCAATACATTACACTTCCCACCTTCGGCACCACCAGAATCCCCTCCTCCAACAAGCGTTCCGCCAGCGCAAATATCATCCCATCACATCCTTTCCGCGCAATAATATCAATAGCCACGGGCAAGTATTCCGTCTGCAAAGAAATGGTAGAATTATATGCCGCTTGGCCTATGGGAAATACCATATCGGGGACTTCGGCGAAGTTGGATATGCGGCTTTCGTCCCAACCGGTAGGGATGCCTGGGAGACTGCTCAGATTAGGTTTTTGTTAGTATGATATTATCTACAGATCTAGGAATTGTCGACATGGATGCATGTGTGGATGGGTGTACGTACCTGGTGTATTCATTTCTATAGGAGGTTTCTGCTAGTGTACCGGGATAGAGGAGGATACTTTCGCTACAGCTAATAGGGCTTGCGGTTGTGACTTCTTCGGCGAACCAATCCATGAATATGGTTTTGTTGTAGATGGCTTGTTCGGTTGCATCGACACTGATGTTGTTCTGTCCCCAAGCCCATCTGCTTAATGGTACAGGGTCGATGAAGGGATGAGCGCCATTGTTGGCAGCAGCGTAATCTTCATAGAAAGGTTTTGTAAGAAGATTGTATTGTTGTTGGGCGATGAGTGTGGGATAGACAAGTGTGAGAAGGTCGTCAATTGATGAGTTATTTGCTCCGGACGGGGTTGTTTCGTTCCAAAGAGCCCCAATGTCTAGAGCTGTGGTGCTTGTTGAGTTGAGGAACGTTTCCAACTTGGCAAGGAAATCAAGTAAGACCGTTTCAGCTTCTGTTGTAGCGTTTTCGGGGAATCCGGATGTCCAAATCTTTTTGGGGAATTCAGTGAAGTTGCTAGTGATATTATCTCCATACAATACCTTGGCAGCTTCATGCCACAAAACTGGGTCTCTGGTGAGGAAGCCCGCGGTATCGAGAGTTGGAGACAAAGGCATAACGTTATCCAAACTAACAAGCCCATGGGATGGTCTATTACCGAAACATCCATTGACTTGAGATGGGTTACGAATACTTCCACCGGTATCAGAACCAATCCCGATGTCTAACCAATCATAAGCACCTATTCCAGCACCAGGACCAGACGAAGAAGAGGATGGTGATTGATATCCATCACCCCGGGGGTTGAAAGGACAATGATAGTCCACCCAATCTGCGGTTGGACTTTCCCCATTAGCAAATTGAGACGTCTTCATTTTCCCGACAATAATAGCTCCTGCGTCGATCAAGCTCTGGACAGCAGGTCCTGTGACGTTTGTTGGAGGATAAAGCTCATAATAAGCACGATTGCCATTGCTGGTTTTTATTCCTGCAATATCGTAGATGTCCTTGACGCCGAGTCGGACTCCAGCAAGAGGTTGTTCAGCGGTTTTGGTATAATATAGTCTGGAAGGTACGCCAATAGTAGAACTCTGGACTCCAGGAATGGATGCACTCAGAATAGAGAAAGTTCCGTCTGAGTTCTCGATCGTCCCTTCGGTGAAAGCGTCCTGTACATCCGAATACAAGCGATATGCTTGAAAGAGCTCGCCTGTATTTGGAGTCAAAAAGTATGGCCCGGGAGGCACCTGATTATGCGAACTGCTGAAATGTTTGGTTCCGTATTCTGTACAAATTGAAGATAGCGAGCTAGAGTTGATAGAGCCAACAAGGTGGACAGCTGCTAGGGTTAACGAATTTTCATAGTAGTTGAAAAAATGTACATACCTTCCAAGAACCCAAGATTGAAAACATCGTCGGCGGCAGTATAATTGGTGACTAATGATTTGAACGAAGCAGCCGTAAAACCGCCTTCTAAACTCTTCATCACTGTCAAAGGGACCAAATCAGCTGTGCTTGGCTTGGACTGAATGGTTGTGATAGCGTCAACGCCAACATAGTAGCTGATGTCGTTGACATTAACGGTAGTTCCGGTCTTCGAGATTGAGATAGCAGCATTTGCCAAACTCATCAGAGACATTGCTACAGCAGCTGATTTGAACATTCTAAATGCCATATTTATAGCTGACAAAGGGGAACTTCCTCCTGTCACTCACGATACCTGTCTATCGACCGGAAAACGAATGAAACGCAGCAAATACTTATACTCTTGACAACGGGAAACAAGTGGGATGGCATCGAAAGCTTCGTATACTCATAAGTCTATTGATCTTGGATGATCCCAACGGTAAGATAGCCAAGAACTCCAAGATACGATGATAACTTCCTCATATCCCATATTTCTTCAACATTTCTCAATTACGGCTCATTTTGTGAAGATTGCCCCGCAAAGATAAGACAATGTGAGTAATAAGGTGGGAAGTTATGGAACAGCAAAATCATCCAAAAGCTTTCGGATGAAAGCAACTGCCAATTCATGCACTTGCTATAGAATTGTTGTGGTTTGAAATAAGAGCTGATGTGCAAGGACAAATTCTTCCCAGTGGCTAGCAATTGGCAAACATCTTTGTGAAAATTGTATCTCTCTTTGCGTTCACCTACCGGTAACCAACTCTATCAATATCACCGCGTCCAAACGTCCAAACCATCATATCGACAATCGAGCAACAAAGTCCGCAGAAGTAGCCCATTGAAATGTCAATGTGAAGGGAAAAGCTCCATCTTTGGTGCGATAAGAAGATCCCTCCGATCCTCCCCGAGTTCGGCCACCACTTCCCCAGCGGTGGAGAAAGGCCGGTGAAACTGAGGTCACATGACACAACACACCGAAACTTCGCAGAAGATCTCGAGCGCTATTCACCCCATCCATGGCATTAACAGCGTGCGATATGTATTTTGTACAACTTATCCCGGCAAACCTCCCCAAACTCGAGCCAGACACCATGCGAAAAGTTTAAGTAGAGACCATCTAGCTTTTCAGTAGATAAAGTCTTCCGTCTCTAATCTAAGCGGTACATTCTGTTGTTCGAATTCGAAGGAAGATTGGATGATTCTTTTGCAAATTCATTTCCGGAGTATTGTCTTCTGCACAATTGCTTTCTGACAGCACAATCCGAGCGATTAAAAGAAAGATTAGATCCAAATCTTGCGTTGAATCTTATCTTGAAGAGAAATTTGTTACAGTCATATCTTCTTCACATTCGGAGTTTTAGTTCTTATAGTATCGCTTAAGACACCCACCCCATTTATACACCGGTTTCCGTGTTTATTAATTCTCAACTTCCTATTCGTTCTTAAATCTCACACGTGTAGTGATCACCGGTATTCAACTGGTCCCGAAGGATAAGAACCGAAATATATTACCCGCAGATCATTATCACCTACCCCACCTTCCATTTCCAGATATCATCATGATCCGTCCAATGTCGATAGAGGTCGACGAGAATGAAGGTCTTCTAAGCAAGCTTTTGCTGGGAAGTGAGTAGCACCGGGGTCTTCACCCGTGCATATGAGTGACCAATAACTTACACCATGTGCAGAATGATGGAGAAATTAGGAAGGTAGAAAGTTCTACCACCCGAAATATCTGCAAGTTCAGGGTCTATTTTTACTGAGGGTATATTCGTTATGCAGGTATTCTGTGCAACTTCAATATCGATGTAGCATTTTCCTATCACCGGCTACACGTGCATGGATTTAATGTTCTGCTGTCAAATGCAGTCCAACAGCAATTGGCATTGGCCGGAGTATATATGTAAGGGCAGGACCTACGATTTGAGTGTTTGTCTCAAGGATAAGCATTATTCTCACTGGTATCATAATGTTCAGCCTCGAGGTGGTAACAATTGTAGCGCTGTCTGGGCTTGCTCTCGCTGCTCCTCAGAACATTCAGTACCATGATACGGATAATTCATGGAAGAGTAAAATCAAGAATGTCGTTGTTCTCGTCGAGGAGAATAGATCCTTCGATACCTTCGCTGGTGGTCTTAGCTACAATTCAGCCATTGATGGATTATTGCACCACAATTACTGCAATTCGATGTAAGCTCTCCAGAATCACCAGTGGGACTTCAATTGACATACGAAAAGGAATGTGTCGGACCCTACACAAAAGGCGGACGTTTGTGCTGGACCTCGTGCCAATGATGTCGCGGCAGACGATCCAAATCACAGTATTAGTGGTGTTAACATGCAACGTATGACCCTTCCATTCTTTTAACGCGGTTCGCACTAACCTACTCAAGTCTTCACAACCTGGCATCCAGATGGAACACAATCCGAAAATATGCGTGGTTTCGTGACGGAACAATCCATCACATACGATACCTTCAACAAAACGCGTGCGGCCGAAGTCATCAACTATTACACCCCCGATCAAATCAAAGTCTTCAACACGATGGCCGAAAACTTCGTCCTCTTCGACCGCTGGTTTGCCGCCGTCCCAGGTCCCACTAACCCCAATCGTGCCTACATAACCTCTGGCACCTCGCACGGCCATGGGAAAAACGACAACCTCTTCAACACATATGGACTCCCCGTCAAATCCATCTTTGAACAACTCTCCGAAAACGACATTACCTGGATGAACTACCAAAACTCTACCCTCGGGCCCGGTCTCGGTTTCAACCCTGACGCCGCATTCTACAACTGGACCTTATCATCCGGCGCCCATGAAACCAACATCGCTCCCTTAACAAAATTCTACGAGGATGCGGCTGCTGGTACTCTACCCCAATTTACATATATCAACCCGGAATGTTGTTCCTACCAATCCTACCACCCCCCGTCCCCCATCTCCCTTGGCGAACACTTCATCAAAGGAATCTACGAAGCTCTGCGATCTTCACCCCAATGGAACGAAACCCTTTTCATCCTCACCTTTGACGAGCATGGCGGTTTTGGCGATCATGTTCCGCCACCAACTGATGTACCCGCGCCGGATAATCTCACATACACTGAAACAGCACCGGATGGTCAGCCCATGACATTTGATTTCAAACGTTTGGGAATTCGAGTACCGACGCTCTTGATTAGTCCGTGGGTGGGAAAGGGTATTGTGGAGAAGAAGGGAAGAAATAAAGGAGGAGAGTATACGCATACGAGTATTATTGGGTTTTTGGATGAGCTGTGGGGATTGGATCCTTTGACGCCGAGGGTGAGTTGGAGTAGTACCTTTGAGGGGTTGATTACGAATAAGTTGAGAACGGATACGCCGGTTACCTTACCAGATCCTTTGGTTCATAGTTGAGAAGCACCTGTATATTAGCACTGGCACTGGTTGCGATTAGAAATCTTTGTTAGTTAGTTGCAATTAGCATTAACATATTCCAATGTAATGAGGGTAAGGGATGTATATAGCAATACCCTTTTTCAGTCGCGAATCTGTGTATGCTAGAGCCGTTCCCGTTACCTATACCTCTGTAGCTTCATCTGCATATACTTAAATAACACCGGATTCCAGATATATTTTGAAACCCCCAAGATCCCATTAATATATTGTGCCAAGGATAGAGTTCCGATGTTTATCCAAACCGAACCGATATGCGGAGGCTGAAGATATCGAGACTTAGAGATCGATGAGCCAAGATGTGCCAAGTGAAGTAGTAGGGATACTGTTAGGAATGAATATGGCAGGTATGGATAAAGATCAGTCCTCTCTACAACCTGAAAGGATGAAACCTATGATGATGCATATATAATAATCGTGAGGCATTTTTTACACAAGCATGTATCGAGCATGGATCAAGAGACAGAGGCTGAACTAAGTCCGGGGAATCTTGGAATTCTGTCGTGCCGGTTAGTATCTTTATCCTTGAAAGGTTCTTGGTGTTCTTGGTGTTCTTGGTGTTCTTGAATCAAGTTGTTGATGTTGTTTGGTTTGTGGTGCGGAGATTTCTGATTAGGGCGCTTATGTAATCATTAGATCCTTGTAGGCATTCGGAAAACATCGACCACTGGTTCTCTTCCTCTCCTCTTCCCATTTCCTTGAGTTCTCACTATCACTAGAAAAGTGATGAACATAGTTGATCAATCAATTGTGTCATTTATTCAACCAACGTACAGATGTAGTGACATCTTCGTAATCGATAACCATGGCTTTGGTTGTCGCCCCCCTCCTTCCTAAGCCACATCAAACCGTACCTTTCCCTACTACACTGCATTCTCTCCAACCTCCATATGTACTCCGCACAGCAAGTAGTCTTGCCAACAAGCATCCACCCGAAAACTATTTCTCCGATACAATGCTTGAGCTACCCCTGCAAACTTGGAAACCTGCCATTCTTTGCCAGCTCATTTTGGATTGGTTGGTGGCACTTGGAAAAAGCCACCGGTACATTGTACAGCCATCCACAAAAATGATGGCTTACCTGTATGCACCATCGCGATCTCAGGATCCAGTTTTTGTCTACCCCGCCGCTGACACACCAATCACCTTTAGTTAGGTATAGACTAGTCAATTCTTGTGTCACAACCATCCAACAATTTGGAAGGTGATTCTATGGGTATGAGACTTCGATTGATTAGTCGATCCTAAACATTCTGAAGCGTCAATCGTTGGAATACTTATTATGTAATTCAATATCCAACTAGGCAGAACGGCGCTATTCTATTGCCTATCCTATAGAATCTGGGATGAATTGGCCCCGCTCGCGCGGTATTAGGCCTTTAGTATTCACTATGTAGCTAGACACTAGTAGATGGTCATCATTCAACTTTATTTAAACAATAGCGTCCTGCCATTCAGATCTACATCGTTGCATTCCGTGTATTTAAATCTTTCTTGATCACCTTCAAAAATCTTCATTCGCTTTTGGATTATCTGTCTCCTTTACACGCATTCGCTCCTAAAACTTACTCAACATGAAGACCACATTCGCTGCTATTGCCGGTTTGGCATTTGTTGCCTCTGCTCAGGTTACAGCTCTCATCACCCCGACCGATTCTGCTCCATTGGGATGTGCCACTAGCTATTCTGGTAATTTCGGAATCTCTGCTGTTAAGGTTGGCAATGTAGCAAAGCGTCAGCAAAAGGTAAAAGATTCACATAACTTTTTGGATCTATGTCGATAAACAATTTAACTAACTCATTCTCAGCGTGCCGACGATTCATCCTCCCTTGCCATCACACTCAATGGAGGTATTCTCAAAGATCAGCAGGACAGAACAGGATATATTGCATCGAATTATCAGTTCCAATTCGATGGACCTCCACAAACAGGAGCTATCTACACAGGAGGCTGGTCCGTTTGTTCAAATGGTTCTCTCGCTCTTGGTGGTTCCGCTTTGTTCTACGAATGCTTGTCGGGAACTTTCTACAACCTTTACACCGAGTCTCAAGGTGAACAATGCTCCCAAATCTTGATCCAAACATCTGCAAAATCCGCAGGTGGATCTGGCGCCGTTGGTCAATCTTCTGATGGTCAAGCCACGGCCACCGCTGTCGCAACACTTTCCTCTGCGGCAGTTTCACAGATTTCAGATGGTCAACCACAAGCTGCAATTCCTGCTGCTCCCATAACCCAGATTAGCGATGGACAAGTTCAAGGCGCTCCATCTTCTATCAACAACTCCGTCTCCTACGCTACTGTTGGTGCACCGATCACACAAATCTCTGATGGACAAGTTCAAGGTGCTACTTCCATACCCGCTGCCGGTGCTCCAATCACCCAGATTAGCGATGGACAAGTTCAAGGCGCTACATCTTCTATTGAAGCTTCCGTCTCCTACGCTACTGTTGGTGCACCAATCACACAAATCTCTGATGGCCAAGTTCAAGGTGCTACTTCCATACCCGCTGCCAGTGCTCCAACCACCCAAATTATCGACGGTCAAGTTCAAGGCGCCACTTCAGTCGCTGCATCTGCTACCGGTGCTCCGATCAGCCAGATCTCCGATGGACAAATCCAAGGTGCTACATACACTGCTTCCGGTTCATCAGCCGTTGTCTCCCAAATTTCGAGTAGCCCACTTCAAGCGACTTACCCCGTCACACTTGCAACCACCGCTTCTTCTGTTGCAGGTGCAGTCATCTCTCAAATCAGCGATGGACAGATTCAGGCTGCTACTGTAACCAATGGTACCGTCGCCAGCGCAACAGCTACTCCAGCTACATTTACTGGTGCAGCCAACAATATCCAAGTTGGCCGCTATTTGGCTGCTGCTGCTGTAGGTCTCGTCGCTGCTCTCTTGTAGAGTGGGCACGTTGCATCACACGATCAAATAATTTCCTTTCTTGATAATACTAATTTCTAAATCGAACATATCTATCTTCTTTATGGTGATGAAGCGTGTAATGAGGGATACTGGGAATACGGAATGGAGTGATAAATAGAACAGTCCTTGTCGTATTTTAGTTCGACATATCACATACATAGGCAACGGTGTTCATGGATACGTACGGGCATAGGATATGGCTACCGGACTTCACAACATATCAAATCACATCATATAACTTTGCACGGGATCGAACGGTTGGGTACATTAATGGAAGGTAATATTGCAGATTTTTGGTTAGGTTAGGATATGATTCAATGGGGGATAATGGTCAATACATAAAAGTTAGTAGTGCACATAGTGAATATCAAATAATACATCTATTAACAAATCTTTTGTTCATTTCCTTCAAGTTGTGTTCCTTTCTCCATCAACTTCAATTCCTCAATTTCTAACCTATTGGTACGGTACTTTTATACCAGTGTTTTTTTTACTGGTAAATTTCAATTTACTACACATTGCCCCGAATCTAAAATTCAATAAACATCCATCAACCATCAGGATCCTCGATCATCCATTAATCACCCAATCAATCCACCCAAACCCAACTAGCCTACCCTACCCATCTAACACGCATCATCAAATCATCAAATCATCATCATCATCATCATCATCATCATCAACATCTCCCAAAATAGATAGATGCATCTAGCCAATATCTAGCCTACCGATTAACATAAGCTAGCACTCGCCAACACAAACTAATAATACTCGCTAACACTCGCTAGCACTACCGCGCCAAGTCTTTGTCCCACTACCAAGCTTTTTAGCTTTAGGGATAAATTTCTTGGCTTGACGCTTTGACTCTGGGTTAGAGGGGAGGGAGAGAGGGAGAGGGAGAGAGGGGGAGGGACCGGAAGTGGGGATTTAATGTTTGGTGTTTGTTTGGGGTTTGGATTGTTGATTTTGGTTTCTACTATAGTGTGGTTATTTTTGGAATGAAGTGGAGCTAGTTGTTGGATGGAATATAATCGAGTAGAGTAATGGAGCACGGGTCGGTGTTGTATTATACAATACATAATATATCAAAGTGAACATATCTATGGAAAGTTCTGAAACCGATTTTGTTCTTTGATGTGACTTGTTTTTTCTACCCTTTGCGTGCATATACATCCATTCCTTACCCCAAACACGTATTTTCGGCATGAGAATCTTTCCTCACGTCCGTATGATTTCCTACGGCTCATGGATAATTATGGGGGGAAATAATGAAAACGAAAGGCTGGAAATAATTCATGCATAACTAGATTCATATGATAAATCCTACTTCGAGATAGTGTTGGTACCGAATGAAGCACGGTGGATTCTCTGGTGTGACACAATACTTTCTGGAGTCTTTGCCGAATACTTGTAGCGATAGCATCTTCGCTCTGGTATGAGACTGCCAATACATTTATTGGCCGGTAAGAATTTTTGGTGTCCTGTCTGACAAAGAATACTTACGGATGGAAGATTGATTTATTGTAATTGGTGCCAGACTTGGCGTTCTGCGGTAAACACATTGTTGTTTTTGCAGGTTATGATATTGACGTTATTGGGGATCTGTGTGCTGTAGTGTGGTGAATATCATTGAATTTGAGATGATGGTTACAGGAGAATAAGACGATATTGTGGAAGTGACAGATGTTGATTCATTAGAGACTTGGAGACTTGGAGACTTATCAATTTTGTGTGAGTAATGTTCATTTTAGTACCCGAATCCATGATTGTAGCTGGAATATTTTTATGGCCGATACGCGATATATTAGATCATATAGCTGCATTACAGGAGAAGGATCTAGTGGTTTATGTATGAATTTGTCTTCTTGAGACTGATATGCTGGATATAGACTGATCTGGCTCAAATATTAATGAACTCAAGATGAGATCATTCAGGCGTTAGTAGACAATTGTCACATTAGAGACAAGTGGCCAATATCATAATCCGTACATGGGACCAGTTCGTTTGGCCGAAACACTCAAGTGTTTAATTTGGAATAAAATGTCTTTCTAGTCAGCATGAAGCGAACAGGATGAATACATTTGATTTACACACTCAAAGTTAGAGATTCACGTTGCCATTACTTTACTTGGGCTTGATATGCCTAGCGGAGACACTACAACCCCCCCTCCTCTGTAAAACAATAGCCTGTATCGTACCAAAGGTATATGGTGATAGCATTTGGTTATCAAGAACGAGCTCAATGATTCATGAAGTCAATCTTAGGCTAGGATGAGTATGATTAGTCGAGAGCTTCAGTTCTGAGTTTCTTGTGAAACACCAATCATATATGAGATGGCGGAAACTGAGAACAACACTCAATCATCGCAACAGGACCCAGTAATTCAACACATCCAGAACGAGCATTATCACACAATAACCTCAAATACATCTTTTCATACAAAACATTAGTCACAATAGACTGGTCTTAATCAGAAGATAAAGCTAGATCGTCAAACCTCAATTTAGAGACTCTAGACAATATCTATTGTTATGGAGATAAGCATAGCCGAGATATTTAACGTGGTCGCGACAATGACTTCAGTTTCGAAGTTTACCGAGAAGATCAAATTCACTTTCCCCTATTGTTAAAACTTCGAAACTCGCCTACCGCTAAGCGACAATAACGGCAGAATAATAGAAACAATAGAACATGAAACGTAGGCATCAATAGAACATTATGAGAGCGCTCTAAACAATAGGTTCTGTTGTAATTGTAGTACTATGTTCGGCTCTCGCGATGTGATTTCCAACCGTATCTATATCTCTTCTTGTAACTTCCTCTGTATCTCTTTCCTTCCTCTTGTCAGAACCCCACGCAAGCTGCTTCGAACGTCTAACTGTACTCATTATACCATTACCAACCTCTTTTTCAACAATACTAATACCAAGTATACCACCATTACCATGTCTGCCGTCGCCGTCCCCCCTTTCACCGATTCCTACCTCATCCTCTCAATCTACCCTAATGCCTCCCAATCAGAGGTCTCTAAGGCCTGGAAACGACTCGCTCTTTCCCTCCACCCAGATAAAAACCCAAAAAGAGACACCACCGAGAGATTCCAGCGGCTACAAGACGCATATGATGCCATCAAGACGAAGAGAGCACGCCAGCACCACGACACCCTTCGGACCCAGCACTTGGCTGCTCTGGAAGCAGCAAGAATGGCTGCAGAAGCCGCAGCATTAGCTGCAAGAGAAGCGAAGCAAGCGAGAGAGAGCTGGGAAAGAGATCAAAAACAGCGAAAGCAGCGAGAGAAGCTGAGAAGAGAAAAGGATGCCCATCGGATCCAAAAGGAGAAGAAGGAAAAGCGAGAGAGAGCCGAAAGGCGCATGGCTGCAGAGGAAGCATGGCTAGTTGCCAGCATCATCCAATCACTGCACCCCAGAAGACTATCCCCTATCGAACGAGCTCTCAACAGAGCAAATCGGCACTGGGAGAACCAGAAGCCTATCCTTTTCGAGTTCAAAAATCGGATCCACGCCAGCTACCTAGCCAGAGCTGGTATACACTGCGAGGTACGAAATAACCTCATCGAGAGCATTATGCGACAGCAACACTCGATACATCAATACCGCGGTCAAACGACAGCAACACCGCTTTCTAAAGGCGAAAACCTGAAGCGAAACAAAGAACTTTTCGCTACTTTCAAAATCCTCCGACAGGAAAGCATCAGTTACGAAAAACAGCAACTAGAATGGCGCCAATCCATCTCCGCGGAAGCTCTCCGCATGATCGGCCCTCGCAACCCATTCCTCGTTGAAAACAACACTCCCGATTGTTTCGAGCCCGCGCGCTGTTTCTGGGAATCCTTTACCGAGATCTCGCGTCCCCTGGCCATCGACGCTAGCAAACTCAGCATGGCCTCCAGCAAGCTTTGGAACCAAGCATTATATGGATTCATTGCCAAAGAAGCCGTGGTTGGAGTGGCGTCCAATTCCGCTTCGGAATCGCACGATTTAGATGCTTTACGAGATATCTGGGGACGGAAGATGGAGGAGGGACCATGGCATGGTGCGCTGGGGGATCGCCTGGGCACGCCGGTGGGAAAGGGGGGAGGGAGGATATTTGCGGACGTTGTTGTTTGAAAACTTCGTGGGGTGAGGAGGAGACGGTGGCGAGTCGGTGCGAGAAGTGCGAGATGGTGGTTTGTGAGACTTGCAGAGTCGAGTTGGAGGTCTTAAGGGAGTTTGAGGAGTGGGTGAGAGAAATTGGAGCTTATGAAGGAAAGAGACCTGAATGCTTCTATGGTCCGGCGGGACAGGGGTGGACTTTTGATGGAGAAACGTTTGTGTCCGAGTACAGTTCGTAATTGTAGATACGTCTTTGTGGTCTTTAGTTTCGTGCGCCTAGTGCGCTGTTATAACCAAGTTGTTCGATTTTCTTCTGGTAATCTTTCTCCAAAATACAACTCGCAGCGAACATGGACTTCAAAGCCTTGAAATATGTATATTCATGTATGTTCTGGCAAGATGTGTCTGGAGCTGAGATGTCCAACAATTTGATTTGATTTGTTTGCTTTGCCTGAAAAGTACTTAGAAGAACTCCTAATCCAGAATCTTAAGCTCCGCGAGTAATATATGCCAGAGAGCAAAAGAAGGGGTACTTGCAATCCTACCGACTCAATACATATTCTATGAATACTCTTAAAGTCATAATCCTCCCAATGTATACAGTCTACGATTAATCCAACTCCAATTCGCCATATTCGTAACCCCTGTGGAGTGCATTCTTAGTCTATCTCCATTGCATCATAATCATCGTACTCTTGAACCTCTCTTATTTCTACTTTGACCGCAGGGATTTCTTGCAATGAAATTGCGTTTGGCGTCCAATCCATATCGTCCATTTGCCGTTCACCAATCTCCTGAAGTGCCATCTCCATCTTGTATCTGGCGGCTTGTATGTCCATGACGCTAAGTTTTTCCCAATCAAACAGTTCGGCCCACAATTTGTTAAACTTATACTGTCTTGTTCGATCGGAAAATATTCCCATTAGGTCTTCTGCCTGTTGTATCATATGTTGAAGCTCGCGGCTGCTACATATATGACGATGAGTAGCGGAGTTTCGTATTCGAACAGCATCAGCCAGGCATAGATGAAGAGGTCTACTATGAGGAGCGAGAGCTGTCAGTGGTACATTTTCTGGAAGAATCCTTCTCCACGTAGACAATTCAACCGCTTCCGAGCACGTCCAATTGTTCCTTTGTAGTACGTCGGGAATCCATCGCGACGCAAAAGCGTAACATCCTTCCTCCATGATCCGTTGCATCATGCCAAGAATGTAATGTTGTACTTCGTAAGGAAGACCAAGGTCTGGGGAGGAATATGCAGGGACTGAGACATTATGCGCGTGAGGCATGGGAACCGGTTGCGTGTTTGGCGAATCCTATATAGAAGTATAAAATTAGCTTACTTCTCTAAGCAAATACATGGAAACCTACCATAGTCCAGACTTCCTGACGATCTGCTGCCCTTGATTTGCCAGGGTAGTTGCGCGGAGCCCATCGACTGGAGCTCAGCCCACCAGGACCCTTTTGTATCTCGTTATATGATAGCCCGCCATTCAAGGCTTTTTCGCGGATGGTTTCATTTACTCCACTCTTAAGGTTACTCATCTCTCGCGAGGGATGGCAGTGAGTAGTAGAAGCTGGTACATTCCCTCGCACAACTTTCACTTTCGAGATCGTTGAAGAGTTGTAGCTGGAGCCATTGAATTTCGGAGGGCGATTTTCTGGGGCCCAGATACTGGTTTCAAGCCCACCCATCTTTTCTTTACATTTGAAGAGTATATCTTGCTGTGTGAGCGTGTTGCTTGTGGAGAACGAATTGTTTCACGGTACCTAGATAAGTGTAATACGGAAAGACAGAAAATGACAACAATAAAATATGAAAATGAAAAAGAATACTCGGGCGGTGAATGGTGAATGATTCATTCACACGCAAATGAATATTTGTACGAAGCTATTCATTTTATCAAGCTGATATTGTCAATCTCAATCACTCTTGACTTTGAAACCAATGTTCAGCAAAATGATGATGTTTCCTTCGTTCCCCCGGCCCACAGATCCTACATTCCTCGGCCGGAACAACAAATATTCCGACACCTAAATGAAACGACAATCTCGCTTTGCATTCACGGACAAAGATTTTGTTAATTACTCCCTTAGATGGGGCCTATTTGGAATGAATCCTCTTTGATCTCATCCGTACTCGATATAATACTGTACTTGATATGTCTTCAACCTCCCTTCGTTGTTCTATTTACATCTCCAGTGAGATGTGAAGTTCTCCCTCCTCCCCCACCCCCTCCTCCCCTTTCATGCGCGCAGAGTATGTATACTGTTTTGACAATTGTTGATTTGTTCGCTCCGGAAGGAGAAACATGCACACCTAATGGCTTGAGAACTGGGCGTAGCCATCTAGGGCTCAACAGTTGTATATTTCGTTGCCCATAGATAATTAATTTCAAGAATGTTTGCTCGTTTCAAGTATCTAAAGTTTTATTCATAATCATAATAACCCTCACAAAAGAAGTGAAAGAGTAAAATACACTTAATGCGAGACATGCATGATGAGGTGTCGAGATCCTCGCTTTTGTGTGAGACTATAATGGGATCATCAACACTATGGGATGGTGGTTTACGCGCGCTCTTTCAAGAATATTCCTTCAAGTTGTTTGATTTTGTTCAGACCAAATCCAAAAGGCTCTAAAGCCGGCGCCTATAATATGCCTTCGATGATGATCACAAAACTCTACTAGCCTCGAAGTTTTTATTTGCAATCTTCCAATTGTCCGAACTTATGTACAGATCAAGCGATCTTGAGCCAGCTCTCTTGCTTCGTACGAAGGTATACGTGATTACGTAGTGGTACAATCATGTGTGGTCATCATTTATCCACGAGGAGTCATTATTTTTGGGCTATTTAATCGGTTGCTGTCCAATTCATATTCTTGTAGATACGGCAAAGCGTGGCTTGTTCGCACCGCTAGAGCTAATCAAGATGAGGACCGTACAAGCCGTACCATGCTTTCCACTTTCTCATGTATAGTTCGTTTGAGTCCCCGGACAGCTTCAAATCCCATCAACATCAAGTCAATCTATGGAGAACAACACTACACAGTAAGCCAAATCCCAATCAGACCTACAAGCTTACGACAGAACACCTTTGTTATTGCGGTCAGCATTCTACAAAGAGTACACAATCAATATTATACAAAGACAACATCCTACATTTACAACATGTCATACATCCGATCCCCTCATTATCAGCGACATTACCAGTCAATGGTGTTAAACCTCTGTAGCATCTATCCTCATTTCGAGACAGATAGTTTTGATCGGGCTTACCATGCCGAACTTGCTTCCGCCATTTCAAAAAATCCAACAACTGGTATGGACTTTTGTTACTACTGGACCGACAAGATAATGTGGCAGAAGTTTAAATATTACGATGCATACGGCGAATTCCCTGGCCGATATAGCGGTCCCGAATACATCACTCAAGAACAAATCAGAGTCAACCCAATATCACCTACCCCACAAACTGCTCAACAAGTTCCAGGAACAGATCCAGATTTCGTTGAAGAGACCTTGAAAACCCCAAGCTGGCCTGATACACGACCTGCTCAACAAACTCTGGAACAAGCCCCAGAGGTCTCCGAACTCCAAAGAACACCAGCTTCTCAATCTGTTCAGCAGCAAGTAGACCTCATCGCAATGCAACCTGTTAAGCACCATGATCAGCAGTCTGAAGGACTAGCTCAGAATCATTTTGAGAAACCCCAGGATCCACCAGCTTCTGTGCCAGTTCCAACATCACAGAAACAGGCCCCAGAATTGTTTGGACGCAAGGATTCACCTAATCCAGAGGCCATTAAGCAGTCTCCGAATTTCGCTTCTGAATTCGATTCGCAAAGCTCAAAACCTTCACCCCTTTTGGCTGCTTGGCTTGCTCTTTCTAAAGCTTCCAATCCCAATTCTGCGCCTACCCTCACACCGTCCGCAACTAACGCACCACTCCCTCCCCTCTTACTCCCCGACTTACTCATCAAAGATCCTACCACGGGTGAAGTTATGACAGTGGAAACGTTCGAGCGTCGATGCATTAGGCGTGGTGCCGATATCGCAGTCAAACATGTCAAAACCGCTATTGACGAGACGGCTCGTATAAGCAAAGCCAAACTCCATGGGATGCTGGACAAGGCACTTACTACTATTGATCAGTAACATCCAACAGTACACCCAACAGTAAAGGGCGAGGTGACAATGCGGGATGAAATTGAGAACTGGATGGCTCGGACGGAATACTATCATTTTCGACCTTAAATCCAACCATATCTTCTCCTATTTGAGCTAAGCTCAACGAGATATTCACAATTTTTACGGCTCGCATCCATAATTACCATTTCGCCGGGGCACCCACAGGAAATGCATCATGATTTACAAGATCTATTTTCTTTTGATTTCGCTGATTGAGTCCCAGCCTTATCTCCCTGCGCAACAAATTGCTTGAGCCAAAGAAGTCATTGCTCATTGCTCATTGCAAGACACTAGGCTTATTGTCTTGCAATGAGCAAGCCAGCGATTAACTCATGTTGTTTAAGGCAAAGAAGGATGGCGCGAGAATACCCGAAATTAGCAACCTCATGTGGTTAATCTTGTATTCAAGCCTTCAATATCAGTTTACTTGAGCAATGTGCAGTTTTTCCTTTCAGAAGCTTGTTGAATTGTTGAAAAGTGTAGTACAAATCGTATATGATACAGCATGAATGTAGCCTACAATACATAGGAAAGAAGTACCTAGAAAAACACATAATTGCCCAAAGGCCTCACTGTGAACATACCAAAACGATCGGTAAATGAACCATCGATGCTCTTTCTGAATTCAATAGGTATTGTCGTTTGCATATTCCTTTCTCAGTTTGGAAACTCATTTCTCCGGCCTTACAACCTCTGTTCCCAGTTACACCTTTGCACCATTAGTTCCCAATCAACCATCACGATTCATCAAACAATGGAGGGCAATACACGAATCAAAAATGTAATGCATGATGATGGTGTGTTTACATTCTCATTCAGACCCCCGAAGATAGAACAGAGTTCTAGAATCAACAAAATGGAAAAATTCAAATCCTTCAACTCATCACCATTGAAACTTGAGATGGAAATCAAGAAAGGGCAAAGGCCCATACGGAACAGAAGGGGCAATTTTTATTTCAAGGAAATCGAACAGGTACTAATGATGATGACAGACTTTCTGCCGAGTTGCCATTGTTTTCATCGTCCGCTCTCAATACACCGATAACGTCAAATCAACATTTTGAGCTCAACCGAAAATTTGAAGTTATGGGACTCAATGATGAGCGAATGGCAATGATTTGGTCTAACTTGCAAATGATGATGGGAGACAACCCAAGGGCGGTTATGGTTACCGGAAATTGCCAGCGGGGGCACAATAATCCTTAGATGGAACACCACCAAGAGGCGATGAATAATTCATAGTTAAACTATTTGATTATTTCAATAATTAGGATAAATCACTTTTTAGATTTTAGATTAATGTCGAAACGATCGCAGAAGTGAACGCTGATATGATGAGGAGGAACTATGTATCTTGTCAGTTGGAGGGATGGTAGCTGGAGTAAACGGGAAAATTGGCTGTAAGAATAAAACCGATATAGTATGGATCGAGTGGGAAATGGAGAAAATCAAGCAAGGTTGAGTGTGTATATTAATAGCATGAGAGACTAGATTATTGGCTCTAGCCTCTAGCTATGGCAATAGAGTATATCAATTAAAAACGGGCCATCGAGAATCGTCTAGTTATTTTACTACACAGTCCAATAAACCATGAATTGCTAAAACTCGTATGATTCTTTCTTTCTTTATGAAATCTTGAGAAGTAGAAAGAGCAAAAAATTCTAGTCTCAGATCTCCCAACAAAGTAGATATCTATTCCATATTATATTAACAAAAGCCAAGTAAACACATAAGTGGCGAAAGGCGGCTTCAATGTTTGAGTACAATGTCCAGACTGCAAGTACATACTCATATAGAAAAGACTTTCATCACTTTCACCACATATATTCGAGTACTACACTATCAAGAGCCTACCCATAACAAATTCAAATTCAAAGGAACAATTTCCTTCGAACGAATATCATATCCACAAGTCTCCCAGCAGACAGCCCTAATTCCCATCGAATGAATAGATAAATAAAATTCCTTTTGAGCTCTAATTGAGATCTTGAATTGAGGCGTGGGATGGGATGTTTTATCGATATCGATATTATAAAGTCAACTTTGATTAGAAGTGAATAGTTAGGTTGGTATGTAGTTTGTTTTGGGATAATGACAATGATAATGACAGTATTGAGACTACTTTCGTACCTAGATCCAGATCCAGATTTAGATCCAGATTCAGATTGAGATTGAGATTGAGATCTAGATCGTATGGCAATCGAGAAATCCTGTTGGGACTTGGGTAGACTGCGGGTTGATGGAATGAAGAGGAGTTAGCGCTACACTGCACGCATGGTTCGAGTTCGAGTTCGAGCCGAAGAGAAGTTGCTAGGTTAGAGTAGGAGTTCGTTTCTACTTCTTTGTATGCATGATGTTTTGTGTTTTTCTGGGAAAGGGTAGTTGAAGATGAGATGAGATCAGAATCCCGAGAAGAGATATTATTAGTTGACAGTATAGATGTGGGTCCAGTAGTTAGCTTCATCTGATATTACGAAAGTCGATATTCATTTATTGACTATTCATTTCATTTCATTACGGTAAAGTCCGTCTTTCTTCCGTAAATGAGAATTTGATTGGAAAATATGGTACGGTTTTAGGCTGCTTAGCTTGATTGTGTGTACCGTTTGGATTCCGGTGGGTATTCATTTGTTGACTTCTTGCGAGATAAACTTGCATGCGACTTTGATATTCTACTTTTTTATCTACAATATTTACATCCATCAAGGATACTTTCAAGGATACTTTCAACTAATAATACATTTGAAAGTAATCACAATATCCATACCATAAACATGCCGCATTCAACCATGGAAACTCCAGCCATGCAAGCTCCACCCATTCCATATGCAACCAGGCCAGTTTCCGCGATGCCACTTTCGCTCATGTCCCTTCCATCTCTCAAGGAGTACATGGTAAACAAGTTGGTTGACGAAGGAACCCATGTTAGTACCATGGAGGACGCCTTGCGAGATTACGACAGCCATCGTCGCAAGATGGAAGAAGTGTGTTCCGGTGCTAGCGAAAGCACCATTACCTTCATGGCAGACAAGTTGTTCTGGCGTGCTCATTGTATGTAATCTCACTAATATCTATTTCCTCCTTTCCTTCTACTTTGATATGGATACTAACGACTCCCCAGGGCCACTCGAAGAATATCCTGGAGAAAGTTGTTTCTTGACTCCACACGATCAGGATGTCATTCATAAGGCATGTGCCAAGATTCGTATTGAGACGGCTCATGCTAGGCATGCAGAGAGATATCGTGAGCAAGTCCAGAGATGTCGGGATATGTATTCTCAGGAGGCTCGGGTCTGGAGCAAGAATCTTGGGGATAAGCTTGCAAAAATGACACAGAAGGAAGAGCAGATCGAGGGACACAATGCAGAGGAGAACGAAGAGAAACTGGGGTTGCAGGCGTTGTCACAACTTAAGATCGGTGATGGAGAAGTGAAGAATTGATACCAAAGGAATGATTTGATTGATTCTCGCATTACGGAAAGGTTTTGCGATTATCTGGTATGATACCTATGTTGAGAGCAATTGCTCAAGACCGGTCAAGTTTACACTCATTGAGAATAAATAAATAAATCATAATTACACTTGATTTTCTGCTCTTATTTTTGTCAACAGTGACCAGTACATAATATTTTAGAAATCGAAGATTCACTATCTAATTTTCTCAGCTTCAACCTATTCTCTTATAAAACGACTTCAGATTGGTATCGCTTCAACTACAAACCCCATCACAAAAGTCAAATACAACAATAAATAAGCTTTGTCTCCACCTCGATAAACTTTTCATTATGGTTTATTATATATCCTGCGCAGACTTCATAATAGCCAAGCTCGTCAGTGATCAGAGTTTCAATCCCGCATACACAAAAGAGAAAGCCACACGAATATACCAGATCTGTTACAGGAAGTACAGCAGAGGATATGTCAAAACCAGCACCGAAAGGATGGTTTACAGAGCTGATCAATGCTTCTGGCACCGATTCTGTGAGTGGTGTAGGATCCTCCTGACAAGACTACTTCTGACATGTGTTTAGGGCCAACAGAAGAATTTCCAGGAAAGAAAGCCTGGATTATACGAGATAAAAAGAAGGATAAAGATGAAGTCATTGTAGCGCAGATAAAGATACAAGCGAAGCAAAAAGACACTCGAAATCGACAGAACAAAATAACAATATCGCCATTGCCACAACCTATGACCAATGCAAGCGAACCACCCGAGATCACCAAACCCCAAGGGCGGTCACAACCAAGGCAGAATACTGAGAATAGAGACTGGCCGAAAGCTAAAAGTGACGCAAAAACAGCCATAGATTGGGGAATTATCCCAATACAACGAAGAAAAGAGCGTCGGAGACAACTAAAACGAAGTCCCTCGAGCAAGAAGTCGGCGGCAAAAGAATCAGCACGAGTCTTGGCCAAACACCTCTTAGAAGCCTCCACATCAAGAGAACAACCACAGACACTTGAGAATGAACTAGATAGAGCTCGACCGGTTCTCCCAACCACGCAATTGCAGAGAGCTTCATTAACATCAGATATGGTTGCGATGAATACACACGAAGAAGACTCAGATCCACGCGGAGAATCAGAGCACTCGTCTAAAAAAGCCATAGTACACTTTGCACCCGCTCCTTCAGGCCAACTTCAAACATTGGATGAGATGATCGAAGAAGAAGGAGAGATTGCCAGGCAATTAAACAATGTGCATGATCCCTTTTTAGATCTCGAGGAGAACAGAAGTATACGCCAGAACGGAGATGAATTGGGGGAGGTTGGAGGTTCCATCAAACGAGCACCAAACGAACGCAAACGCTTTTGCGTGGTACTATAACGCCTCCTCTATGTTACGAAATCAATTCCTGTCGGCTTCAACAGATCATTTGGAGCCATACATATGTTTATTCCACCTTGTTCGGTGGTTCCATTTTTAGAGGCAGCTTATATAATAAAGCTGGCCAGGAGATCGGGAACATGACATGATACTAGGTCAACCCACTCATGACATGAATACATCTCAGCTCAGCTTACTTGACTGAATGTCATTCCAATACTGAATGCTTTTTCTCCCTTGATACGCGAGCACTCATTGCGAGCAAGTTGACGTTGGGAGTTGGATGAATCAATCATAGCAGCATTATGAGCTATCGTTGAAGTGCCTCTCGTGGCAGGATAAAGGGGCGTTCTTTTATAAAGGCAAAGGAGTGAAGTTTCATGATCTATTGAATATAGACTTTCACGAACCTGTTATCTTCGAGTAGTGTTGTGGGTGCACGGAGCTAAAATCTAGCCTATCAGTCAAGATCTCCCACTCTACATTACCCCAATGGCTAAAGACATGGATTCTGACAGTCGAGGGGATGCTAAATCACCGCAATCCTAACCAATCTTGAGAAATTTACACTTATCACTGCACCACTAGAATTGGCCTATCAAATGAGAGAGCCAGGAAAACTCAAGGTCATGTTTAATGACTGAATAAACTATTTGTAATGTTCAAATTTTTCCTATGAAACTCCTCAAAACTTCTTATTTGTAAAACTTCCCAGATGACAATTTTGAAAAAAGAAAATTGAATCCTAAAAGATCCGTCAAATGAACAAATCCCACCAGTAACCATTCTTCGTTTTGCCAGAAACTAGATGGAACGAATTGGACAATCTCCCGCCCAAGAAACGCTTAACGCTTGCAGCAAAGCAACCAGACAAGGATATAGAACTCCTCAGAAATGCAAATGCAACCACATCAATCTAATCCCTTCGTTACCAAGTTACGACTGCTTCAGACGAGTATCTCTGAACCCAAAGTACCATATTCCGCTCTGGGCGTATAAGGTGCACTTAAGCTTGGTGTAAAAAGTCCCTTTCCATTCAATCCCTGACTTTTCCATGCCTCCAACATTACCTCAATCTCTCTTCTTGCATCATCCACGATGTCGTCCATGTTGATATCGATTTTGTCTCTTCCAAAAGGATCTTCGTGCCATTGAGCAATTCCTTCGATACCATAGAGGGCAAATGCTACAAATGCAACGAGGGGGACTGTCCACCAGCCAATCTCAGCGGCCATGGCAAATGGTAAAATGCAACAGAAGAGGGCGAGCGTCTGCTTGGAGTGGATGAGATGTGCAACAGGGGTAGGTGCGAGTCGAATTGTTTCCATGTTACCGTAGGCTGCAACGAATTGATTAAGTTCGGAGAGCATCTGGGAGGAAGAAGAGTTGTTAAACCAGGTCCTAGGGCGTTTTGTTAGATGGCCCAAAATAAGAATTTGAATGACTTTGACTTACAAGTTACAACCAATGTTGATAAATTTCTCGATATAAGTAGCCAGCTGCAACGTCAGACCTAAGCCCATATGTTCGTGACCTTTAAAGCCTGGCGGCAACAGCTTCTTATATTCCTCTGGCCAAGAAAATTCGCCTTCTTCTGTCAATATTGTTCCCGCACTAAGCTCCACGCCCCAATCGGCTCGCAGATGGTTCTTGACCGTATAGAGCATCGCCATCAAAATCTTGACTGTTTCAATCGTCTTGGCTTCAAGTGCTTTGGACAGCGGCTGATATTTTTCATCTGTTGTACCATCACAATCCTTATATGCCGAGCTATCCGTACTACTCTCATTCTGTGGAGTCCCCGAATCGTATTGATGGTCGGGGGGAGCTGGGGCAGGAACGAGTACAAGTAAGTGTCGCGTGAGACATCTAATCGAAGTTGTGAGAGTGCTGAAGTGGCATCGGCCCGTCCAAAATCGATTGTAGGCTGTTTGGTTACGGAAAACGAGCTCCAAACCTACAACAATGGATAGTGAGGGAACCTTGATTCTGTCAGACCCCACTTTCTAACCATAGGCTGTGCAGAGTACTTACGATACTGGTTGGAAGTGTAACATCACTGCTGATGTGCTGGTTCAAATATACGACTATAGCAGATATAGCAGAAAGAATGGCAACAGGCCAGAGGACCTCTGCGTAGAGAATTGGTCAATTTTGTCTCGTCATCTTCAAAGTTTGTCATGTCGTACCGGAGTGGATGGAACCCTTCCAAAATCTCAAAACCAAAGGCCATCTTGTCTCATTGTCAGCTCCTGTCCAGTATTATCCCCCAATAAAAAGTTTACCTTCGCTCCTTCCTTCTTGAAGAACTCGCCAGTAACCAGGACATTTGACGGTTTCGTTTCGAATCTCCACCGAAGTTTAGGAATAACGGCGTTCTCGACATCTTGATTGTATTGACTGAATTCGCTCGAAAGTTTGCTGATCCGACCTCGCAGATTGGTAAGAGAAGAGAGAAAGTATGAAGGTTAAATATTCACTTATATGAATGAGTACGATCATAGGAATTGCTAAAACGCATATACAAATAACATGGGGGAGTGGACCCTCGATATCTAACACAGGGGTATGATCCTAGCAGATTCATGATAACGGGGAGATGGCGGCTAAAGCGACAATATCTGGGAAATTTTAAAAAGTTCTGACCGTTTGGACCATGAATATTGAATTTGGCATTGAGCTGGATTTTGTAGATATACTTTTGAGTATTTATCGAAGAAATTATTTGTTCATGAGGTGAGAAGAACTAGAAATACAACATAGGTTTTATGGTCGTAAACCTTCTGAATCATGCGCCCCCTCAAAAGCCACTCACTGATGTACAAAGTTATCATATCTCCATCCATCTGGACTCGTTCCTTTGTATCGTGTCATCACAAATTCGTTCATTACAAAGCTGGTTTTCCTTGTTGTGAGCCGAGCTGTGCGTTCAACTGTCCTGCTGTGTCTGTGCCCGAGGAAAGTAGCTATTGCAGAAGATGTTAGCATGAAATATCCCACTCCAAATTCAATTGGGATGACATGCCTCTCCACCCATCTCCCTCATCTTCATCTCCTTCTCCATCTCGACTACTTGTTGCTCCTCCACGAATGCCAATGCCCATGGAACTCCCAATAACAAAGCACTTGTGCTCACAACCCATAATGTCTTGCCTCCAAACATTAAACCATATTTAATCCAGCTTGTGGTTGTATCCACCCCGTTAGAAATAAAAGATCGAGTGGATGCTGGTACTATGTCCTTCAAAGCACTTATGCGATCTGTGAAGGTTTCCTCATCTGCGACATTATCCTCTTCGTCAGAGGAGATCTCGGAATCTTTAATCCTCGTATATTAGCTAATTGTAAAGGGAAGTCGCAGTCAATGGAGGCTAACCAGTATCAGTGTAGTAATCATCCTCAGATGGACCGGCTTGCTTTTGCTCGAAGGACTCATCCTCAACTTCTGTTAATTCAACCATCGTTGCGAAATGTATAAACTTTAGATTCTGTATTCGTGGGAGAAAGGAGGGTAATGCCGTGTAGATTGTGGTATATCGGTTTTGATTTGATTTGATGGTGGTTTATACCTTTCAACCTTTGTCTTCTAACAGGGCGGGCAGACGGGCTTGATGATTTTTTGGTGCCGCCACGCTAAGATGACGCTAGCGACAAGGCTGGTCAACGACGTCAGGCTGCCGAACCCCCAAACCTCTGCTTTGATACATTTTTTGAACAACATCAATAATTCCCTGATTCTCGTCCTTTGTACATTCTTTAGATTTTCGAGTAAATTAATACTGGTGTTCGAGTCTTCGGGGACTTGATTGGGGATCATTCATTATATCCCCTTTCTGTCGTTCAAGCGCGAGTTCTCGCAGCAATATCAACGTCGAGGACACCCTGGAGGCTTTCGCAACAATCATCAAAATATCTAAACTTGTCAAATTGCGACCACCATGGCTGACTTGCATCCAATTGTTATTCCACCATTGGAACATAAATTCAAATCCGTGACCTACACATGCAGCGGAGAAGGATTGCGCAAAGATGATTATTCTTATGACCCCTACGCTGAAAAGCTTCTACCTCCAAAAAGCCCTAAGCCAGGTGGTACCAAAAGTATCGAACCGAAGTCAGCAGGATGGTGGAAAGCTCAATGTGCTTTTAGAGGATTGAATCAATCTGGATCTATAGCCGATCTGCAATTGAGGTTGAGAGAAGCAAAGAAGAAAATGTCTCCAGAGCTTAAGGCCGCAGAAACGCAATTAAACAAGGACTTCAAGAAACAAAACAAAATCGCGAGAGATGGTAGCTGGAAAAATCTCAAGACAGCCGAGGAGAAGGCTGAAGCCAATCCACAGAAGTACCTGGGCGAAGCATTTCCGAAAACCGCCACAGGACGGCCAGCAAATCTGGATATTATCATTGTCAAAACTGAAAATCGAGCCGCCTTAGCTGAAGCTGCAGATAAAATGGGATTGGAGTCCGTGTCAGTGGATGCCCCTTGGGTAGGCAATGTACGACCCTCACCAGATCGCTGGATTGTGGTGGGAAGAAGTAGAGATGCTGTTTGGAATCAAATGCGTGATATTGAGCGGGCAGCAGCTCGGTCCAAGGAAGATACACCAAAGAAAATTGGAAGACAAACCCCAAAGTCTAGCTCACCTAAGTCAGTAGTAACACCGAGATGGTCTGAATCTGTAAGTTTTGATGTCTTCTAATCTCTAAGCTGAGGTTGGTCATTGGGCAAGTACAGTCGGAAAGAACTTTCCATAGACATCCTATAATTCTTATTCGCATCAGTGTGCGAAATTGAAGAAGAAACCTTTATTTTGATTGAAATAGCTTGGCTCTCATCTTTTTTATGTACAAATCCCTTTACCTCAAGCCAACCCTGTGTACGGTGGGTTTGGCTTCCGCTTTCTTCATACTGTTGTCCAACAGATTTCATATCCCATTTCATTATTGTAAACACAGGACTAAGCCTTGCCCATCTACCCTAGATACCTCCAGCAGTCCGAACGAAACAGACAGCAAGAAAATCTGCACCAAGCACAGGCACACATGACAATTTGTTTGCCGAAACCGAAACTTATGCAGCACGCTCGGTTTTGCCACTGCCGCGAAAGAAACAGACGGCTAGAAAATTTGCACCAAGCACAGGCACTCATGACAATTTGTTTGCAGACGGTGCTTCTCATACTATGCGCCCAGTTGTGCCAGAACCACGAAAGAAACAAACAGCTAGAAAGTTCGCCCCAAGTACTAGCACACACTCAAACCTGTTTGCAGATGATGGTGGTGATGAACCTGATTCTAGACAGCCAGCTGCAAAGAAGGTACGGACATCGGTCGGCGGTAACCGAACCATTTTAGATTCTACAGAATCAGAAGGCTCATGGGATGTTCGTGGCTCCTATGTGATTGAATGCCCAGATATTGAGGACGAGTGGGGAGAGAAAGACTCGGAACTTACCCTTGATATCTATCTCGAAAACAGAAACGGACGACAACAAATGTTTGCCATGTTTCATTTCATAGTTGTCGAGGTATTATTTCCATCCTATCCTCGTATTTGGTATCCACGAATTAACCTGATAATTAGGGAATTATGCGCTTCGAAAGACCCATTCCTGTACCAAGGTCCCAAAATGAAAGCGGAAAGAGAAAACGCGAAGATGATTACATGGATGAGGATGGAGATGTTTTAATGAGCGACATTCCCCGCTATGATGCGAATGATAGCAACCCGAATAATTACACAGAAAGCGCATTCTTCCTAAAGGCTAATGACAAGCCTACAGCTCGGCGACCTACCTGGCGATATCGTTGGAGGGGGGAAGAGACCGGTGAAGGGGAGATTCAACTCGGCTCTGATAGAACGTTGGAGAGCATAACTTTTACCAATAAGGGCAAGGAGCTTTCTGGTACGTTCAAGTGTGATTTTGCTGGAACATGTAATTTCACTGGGTTGAAGGTTATGTCGCGTCCACACGATTCACGGGTTGATCCCGAGGCTCAATGGGTAAACCGCAGCGAGGCTGCCCATGAGTATGCACGACAAGCAAGGTGGAGGTGAAGGTGGTTATAAATGGTTGTACCACCCGATTCTTGTTTGTAATTTATGGCTAGCACGATGGATATATCATGGTTTGATATAATAGCTTGTAGAACTATTGTATCTAGGAGTCATTACAGAGTTCTTCTAGATATTTGAAGTCTTTGTGCATGGTATTCGGTCATTGTACCGGTCACCGGGTTAAGCCGGTATCATAGTGTAAATAGACGAGCTGCGACGTAGGAACGGAGGTGCCCTAGAAAAACGATTCGAAGAGCGCAGCGAGGCGAATCGTTTTTCCGGCACCGAGGGGCCGAAGTCAAAGCTCGTCCTCCGGAGGTATATTAAATATATTAAGCTTATATTTATATAGATTGAATAGTATTCTTAAATATTATCTCTTCAGATTTTGTTTTATCGATTGTTTTGAGAAGTGTACTAATATTGAAGATTGACCTATAGAGTTATCATAGGAAACACGTGACTTTTTCACAGAAATGTTCATTTTCGTGCACTGACCAATGCATCATAAGAGTGTTTTATAATATGAAAGGTTAGATTGTAAATAGGTGGTAATCTTCAGCTGATTTGTTAGCTACGTTTTGGCGTTATATTCCAAAAAGGGGGTCCCGCATTGCTGGCAACATCGCACAAGCATAGCATTCTGCATCGACATCCCAAATACATCCCACCATTGAAATTACATTTGAAGTTTATTTGATTAAGGGTTCTATTTGCATACATACCCCTAGATATTGGATCTCGTAACCATCCCGGACAACTGCTAATAAAATGATGTTATTTAAAAATCACAGACAAGAAATGAAACAATTAACAAGATGTAGATCATCGACATCTCATGGAATAACGTTATTATCCACAGTGATATTTACTACAATAAAATAGGGAAAGTTTTATAGTATACATAGGTACTTTGTTACTACTGTACTCGACAAGAACAATTTACCGCCAATCCAATTAATCCAACTCAATGAAAACTTCATCTATATCAACTCCAATCATTGGTCAGTCTCCTTCATCTATGCGGTAATGAAGCACAACTGTTACACTTTCAGTCGCATGAACAATCACCCCATTCCTTCCTATCCCCAGAGAATACTTATCGAAAAAGGCGGGGAGAAAGGCTCAATTTGTACTCAAGTAAAGTAAAGGGGGAATTCTTCAAATCTTTGAAGCGTACATATCAACAATATATATTCAGATGTTGAAGACGTTGAGAACGAGATACCTTACATGATCTTTCTTATCTACCTAACCCAACCCCTCATATCAGATATCCAGCGCGCCCAAAGATGATCTTCAAATTCGCGACTAGAGGCATTTAAGCGCGACCCGAACTTCTAACTTGTCGCATTCTGGAAGCTTTACTGGAATCAATAATTACCGATAAACAACTCTACTACTTTTGCTTTCTTTGCTTTTGAGATTTTTGGATCTTTTTGGAATTTTGCCATTTTGTTCGGCTTCCAATTGCATTCATTCTGGGAGCTTGCAGATGAGCTGCATTGCAACATATCATGTACCGGTACAAATACGATTACCCCTGAATCAAACTGAATGTTTAGACTGGAAGACTGGTAGAATTACCTGATCCACCAACCAATTTAAGAGGAGATTCGCAAGGAAATGTCGCTGAATGGCTTGGATGATGCGAAGGTCAAAGAAGCATACGATGCTGCGGTAGCTGAGCCAGGAGGATGGTATGCTTATATCCAATATCTTGTTATATCTAGTAAACTGATATCGTGTCTCGGTACTGTAGGTTTCTTCTTAAGTATGCTTCCAGAGACGAAATAGAGTTGATGGGCCGCGGGAACGGGGGAATTGTGGAAGTAAGAAATAAGATTGGACAATATGAGGAACCATCGCCGCTGTTCGGGTTTCTACGATATAGGCGACGGAATGTAGTCATTAAATATGTACCGGATGGATGTTCGAGACTGGTTCAAGGTGGGCTTCCTAGTTGATCCCTCGCAAATTTTTCTCTTTTTGAATTCTAAAATCTGATAATCTGATAGCTCGCGTCACTGTTCATTTTAATGCTGTTACCGAAAAGTTTACTCCACACGATACTATATTCGAAATAACCACCGCGAAGGAGCTGCGGGATACGACCCTTTCTGCCGCCTGTTCACTACATACTGCCTCTGGATCGGTCTCATCTTCGACTAGTTCTTTGCGCCGACGACGTTTAATGGAAATTGCAGAGGATGAGGAGGAGGATATTAGAATAAAAAGGCAATCCACAGTTCAGGAGGAACGCCCCCCTACTGCACAAACTATTACCTCAACATCTGGGACCCAGCCAACAGTTGATCCGACCACCCTACCGCCAGATCTACCGAATTCATTTACTTTCTCTTCTATGGTTGCAGAAACGGACAACAACGATACATCTCCTCCTCCACCACGTTCCAAAGCATTTTTGAGTTTCGATCTTGATACCTCTCCGCCGCCCCCAAGGGAACCGCGTGAAGCTGAGTTCGGATCATCATCGCCTATCACAACAATTGACGAAGAACCTCGAAAATCATCCCAGTCGGCACGACCTGATTTGTACCGCCTCCCATCTTACGAGCTTAACGGCAAGCCTAAAGTCAGACTTGGACCTCGCCCTTCCCTCGATGTAGGTAAGACTACTACATCTGGAGGAACTCCTACCTATCGTCCAGTGTCGACGCTTCCACAGGGGTTGAAAGTATCTACAAAGGGGGGGTCGAAAAAGGGGCGGGCGAGTTTAAACTCGCAGGATTCTGGAGAGCCTCCCAGTATGAGTTTGTCACCACCTTCCATTCCTGAAAATGGAACCCTACCCACGTTTTTTCCTTCCCGCCCTCATACAAGTGGTGGGCGACCCAACACCAGTTCTGGGGTCTCGGTTCGATCAACATTGTCAACAAAGTCAGCCACTCCCAATGCAAAGGTCCCAACAATTACACCGGAGAAGGCAAGACTTATGAAGGCTATGGAAATGCGGAAGAGGCAAATGAGTGCATCTGCATCTGCACAAACATCTCCCACTTCTCCAAAGTTCTCAACATTCAATAGAAATCTCGAGATACCTTCCGCGCTGAGCCCACGGATATCACAGGGCGCCCCACAGGAAATTCAAGACACCTTAGCTTTGCTGACTGACATGGCCAATGCAGACAAATCCGCCGCGATGGCACTTGATACCGGTTCTGCTCTGAAAACGGACGATTCAGATGCTACAAGAAGCGACTCCTATCCAGTATCCCCTATTGGACCTTCAGAAAAAGCTGAATCAACAAGAGCATCTTCTATTTCGGAGTCGACAGAAGAAACCGTTCATGAAGCGCCATCCACTGAGGCAGTGACCAAAGATAATACTGCTGAGAAACTTCCCCCTTTCAATTTGTGGGAAGGTACTGAAACCGAACCAATTGTAAAGATATCATTGCCAACTTCAGAACTAGACGGTGAAATCATGATGTCGAAGGAGTTTGAAGGTGCTGAGCAAGTAGCTACCGGTCTTAATCATTCCGTATCCCAACATACGATAAAGGATAATACGACGGCTACCACGGCTTCTCATGGAGAAGAACAGCAAGATGCCAAATCTGAAGCTATGTCTGAGGTCATACCGGATTCGCCACAAATCCCCATCACAATGTCGAGCGCTCAAGATTTGCGGGCTGCTGCAGATATCCAACCTGTTTCCACTGAACCTTTGCAAACTTCTGCCAGTGAACCCATCTTCAAGACATCTGAAAAGACCTTGACGGAAAGTCCTTTCGATCCTGGATATAGTTTGTCACAAAAGAAGAAAGTCCGCAGCATTGAGCCAATTCGGACTAGTTTTGATATGAGTGGTCCTAATTCGGAAGACAACTTCTCCTCGGACGACGAGCTCATGGATGAGCTGCAATCTGCTGTGATTCAGGATGCAAAGCCTGTGTCGGTGGCTAAATCACCAATCAGTCCTTTGTTTCCTCAACCGACACAGAATGAAATCAGAATTTCACGAACTGTCTCGAGCCCGCTGCAATCAGTCAATTCTAATCCTCCACCCCTTACTGCACGGCCTGGTGGTGACCGACCTGTTTCTCGGCCCGTCTCATCTTCTGCGAACTTACTAAACCGCTTAAGCATGCAGCCTGTTGCTGCAGCTGTGGTTTCTAAAAAGGTTAGTGTGGGATCTGGTGTTGCGAACAGGATTAAAGCATTCGAGAAGTTTCAAAATCTAGCACCTGAGTCTTCTGCAACTCCATCCACATTAGGACCAACTCCGAGTGCATCACCTACCTTCTTTTCTGTTCGAAGAAGTAGTGTTCTCGTTCCATCGAGAACTCCTTCCATTGCAGAACGCACAAATGTTTTGACCAAGCATACACCAGCCCGTAATATTTCACGAGAGGGATCGCCAGAGGTTTCTAAAGGACGTGATAGGTCAAGTTCTATTCAGAAAAGAGTAGCTATGTTGAAGCCTACTCCCACTTCTGAACTCAGGGCGACTCAATCTCGACCTGAATCGGTTCAGGTCACGGCGCGCATTATTAGAGACCCTAATCAGCCATTTCCTCGAAAGCCAGAAGTTGGCAAAGATCTTTCAAATTATAAACCTCTAGCATTAAGAGAATCACCACTGATAATAGATCACCAGAAAGCCGTTGCTAGTCCGAAAGAGAATTCACTCGACAGGCGTTTATCAACGTCATCTAAAACTACCATAACTACTAATAATGAGAGGCGATCATCTATTGCAATGGTCAAAGACCTCATCAACGACCGTCGTTCTTCAATCTCCGAGCGTCGGCGTTCTACTACCACCATTGAACCTTCGGCATCTTCTCCAGCCGTTATGTCGCCATCACAACTTTCTTCCACTCATATTACATCTCCTATCCGTAAATCACGGCCATCGTCCATCAGCAGCCGCCGCAGTATTGAGTATTCCGAGTTCTCTCCACCACCAACAGCTAGCTCAACATCTTCCGGGAATGACGACAAATCTGACAAAAGATCTGGTCGTGCAGGTCGTATGATGAAGCGCATGTCCTCTTCTCTAACTTCGAGTCGCAAAGCTATTGCACATGCTATCTCACCTACAGTCCGTGAGGAATCAGAGACACCAGTTTTCCCTGATTCGGGGACCGTTCCATCTCAACCCTCTTTGGCAGCTTCACCTACGGTTGCTCATGATATTGGCGATGTAAACGTTCAGTTTCCTGATAGTCTTTTATGGAAGCGTAGGTCCATGGTAGTCGATATCCAAGGACTCATTATTATCACGGCTGGTGGAAATGATAAAGGAGCAACACGAAGATTTCATCTTGGTGAATTCAGAGCTCCTGAAATTCCAGATGTTGATATGCAAGAACTGCCAAACAGTGTTGTATTAGCTTTCTTGGAAGGCGGTGAGCTGCAAATCGCATGTGAGGATCGAGCTGGCCAAGGACACACTTTGAGTGGTAAGTTAACCTCGACCTTTGGCTTTGATCATATTCACTAATCCATAACTAGTTTTACAAGAAACTCACGGACACTGGGCAGCCTATGGCCAATAATAATTACAATCGTCACTCCCTTGAAGAAACATCTTTCATTTTTCAATTCTTCCCTATACGACTTTGATAGTCACTATTTGTTAATATACCTCGACATTCTTTGACTTATCATTCCAATTTTTTATCATAGAAGGAAAAGATTCACGCAGGACTTTATGATGTATGGAGGCTCTCCCTGAGCATGAGTGTTTTTATATTGCATTGCATAGCATGGCATTGCGCTGCGTTGCGTTGCAAAGAAAACAAGAGGAAGAGGACAGAGCGCGCAAAGAGAGCGCAAAGAGAGAACGAGTTGAGATACCACCACCAGGACTTTAGCAGTCAAAAAATTTCTTTTTCCGTTTGTACCTAAAACCATATGTTTTGTAAATCTTTTTTTTTTCTTCTTCTTTCTTCTTCTTTCGAGATAACCCTGCAGCATACGAATAATGCGAATAGCGCAGACTTTTTTTTTAAAAGCACCAGAACCAGGCCGATTGTATATGGATGGTGTGGTGTGGTGCATTTTTGGGGGGGTGGGAGGGGAGGGGAGGGGAAGGGAGGGAAGGGAAGGGAAGGGGAGGAGAAATGGAATGGAATGGGATAGGATAGCATAGGATAGGATAACTATTACAATTACAATTACATTGTGTATCTATCTAGTTGTTGTTATTTGTTACTTGTTGATGTGTTGATATGTTGATATGATTTATTGATAGGAGATGAAGTGATATGAGAGTGAAACGAGAGTAGAAGGTTTGTGTTTAGTGAAGTAAGTAAGTTATACTCGAGTATAAGTGATATCTCAACTATCCAATTAATTAAATAATTCAATCTTTTCCTTGATCTTGATCTCATTTTTCTTTATAGTAGGAAATATAATTATTCGTTGATGAATGAATGAATGAATGAATATATATAAGTAAATAAATATCAATATACTCCTTGACTCGGGGTATAATAATCTTATTATAACTTGAAGAGATTATAGAATAAGTAAACAAAATTCATAATGGATAATGAATAATATTAGCAAAGAAAATAATATATCTGTCAAAAAAAAAAAAAAAAAACGTCTATCAATGTTTCTCCACCCCTCTCTCTCTTCCATATCTACATCTATATCCACCCCCAAAACCGTTGATCATTATTAATGAAAAATCATAAACCCCTTCTCTCCCAAAAACAAAATAACAAAATAACAAAAAAAGATATTTATCTCAAGTGAACTCAAGATCGCAGAATGCGGCTTCTGTGGATCGAACACAGTGCCTCCAGATAAACAGATGGAATCTGTGAAAGGATCTGAAGTTAACTTCAGTCTGGCGCTCTCCCAAGTGAGCTAAAGCCGCTTGGGTGTGTTTGGTGTTTGTTTGTTATGGTGCTGGGCTTTTGAGCCATACTATTGGGTTGGAGCTTGGAGGGATGTGGGAATTTGGAGGGACGTGGGATGTGATAATGGGAGGGTTGGGAAGGGAAGGGAAGGGAAGGGGGTTACAGAAAAAGAAAATAGGGAGGATAGGAGGATGGGGGACGAGTGAATGAGTGGATAGAGAGTGTTGAGGAGAGAAAAGAGATATATAAAAAAGGTGGTAGAATAGAATCTAATATAAACCAAACACTGCCCCCAACTTCCACATACGACCACAGACTGAAGAGAATTGGGCATCCCGTCCGCTCTGCCATACACAAGCTTCAGATCGGTAGATTAGTAGTTGGGTGGGTGACCACCAGCGAATCCCTACTGTTGTATGTTTTTTTCTTTTTTGGCATTCTCTGTTTTGAACTTTTGTATGTTGTTGTCGGGTAGGAGATGTTGGAGCGGAGTTTGGGAAAACTCTGCGTATGGTTTGGTTATTCTCCGCTCCCCCACCATTTCTTTGGGCCGTGCATGTGGAAATGGACGGAGTGGAGGTTTGCTTTTTTCTGCTTCATACAGTAGTAATTTTGTTTTATTTTAGCCTTGGTTCTGTTCTGCCATTAACTAATTATAATGTACGGCAGGCAATTCAATCCAAAGCAGTGAAAAGCTTGAAAAATACCTAGAGCGTTATTAACTTCTGTATTAATAGAAATCATAAACTTCCACCCCTTCCCACCAAAGTCCCGTCCTTTCTGCCAGATTACAACATCGCTTATACAAACCACCCACCCATATATGTACCCCAGCCCACCCCACCCCACTCCATCCATCCATCCATCCACCCTGCAAAAAACCTCAAAAACCCTACCCAAAAAAAAATCTACCCCTCTAAAACAAGATTTACATCGAAAAAAATTCAACAAAAGGTTATTTTGACCTACGCAGGGATCGAACCTGCAATCTCTTGATGCGTCCACATGCAGGTTCTATCCCTGCGTGTGTTCGTAGTCAAGCGCCTTGCCATTGGGCCAGCAGGCCTGAAAGAGCTGGTTGCTCTTTGTGCTGTTGTATGATGAAGTGGGTGGGTTCGGATATATATATCATTATATATGAACAATAGGAAGAAAAGGGAAGAAAGTGATATATAATAAGAAAGGAGAAGGAGGGTGTATAGTATAGTATGATATCACAGTATTCTTTCTTGTGTTATATTACTGTACTACAGCCATAGAATTCCATATAAATTCCTAGTACTCATAGTTATAACCTTATAGTACTCAATCTAGTTCTTTCATTCCTACTCGAGTATATTCCAGATTATATTTTAGCTTTTATATATACGAGTATAATCAATACAATCAACACAATCAACACATTAACTAGGTACTCAGTGGAAGAATCAACTCAACTAAATCGATCTTCGAGAGAGTAGGTACTTGTTGCATTGCCTATCTACTTCATAACCTACTCCAAGGCTCGCCATCCCCAGTACCAGAAATATATTCTACAATATAATTGCAAGCCTGCCTTACCGTATGCATTATAAGATTACATCTTACCTTATCCATACCGGACCACCCATACATATGTATTGCATCTTTTGACTTCTTTAAAAACAATTTGTCATATTATTCCATTTTTCCATTTCATCTCCAATTTCACCTCTCATTCCCAGCAAAAAGTAATTAATTAGTACGAGTAGTACGAGTACTGTATGTAAGAACCTAAAACCGTATCCATATCCATATCAATATCCATCCGTCCTCGCTGAACAATTTGAATAAGTCCACACTCTCATAAATCCATCCATCTATCCATCCCAAAACCCACAGCATCAACAACCAACAACTAACAATCTCACTTCAAACTTCAAATTTTAATCCCATGAACAAACAAATTCCCATCCATCCATCCGTCCCCATCCCCATCCCCATCCATCCCCCTCCTCTCCTCACCTCACCTCCCCTCTCCCCTCTCCCCTCATTTCTTCCAAGCCTGATCCGCATCCTCATGAATATCCACACTTTCAATCCCCAACCTCGCTTCTCTCTTCTTCTGCGTATCCACACCAAATCTCGCATCTCTTTCTTGAATTTTATCCCATGGTACCTATATGTATTGTAATTTTCGTTAGTTCATTGAACCACTCTCTCCCCCATCCCTATCCTACCCCCCCCCCCCCCCCACAAACAAACAAACAAAAAAAAACACCAAAAAAAAACCCACCTGCCCACTCTCCGTAAAACTCCCCATCAAAACCGGTCTTCCCAACGGTAATTCATCACCCCTATCCACCTGCCAAAAATGAAATGTTTTTCCATATAATCCCACAATCTCCTTCATTTCCTCTGTTTCGGCCATTGTCCATACTACATCTGGAATTGTTGGGTTTGGTAGAATTAGGATGCCTGATTTGACCTTTTTGGGGGGATGTTAGTGAGGGTTGTTGTGTACTGGATAACTCGGTGTCGTTTGATTCCCTGAGTGAAAAGGAGGGAGAGGAAGCAAAGAGGGTAGGAAGAAGTGTAAACATCACAATCTCTTCTCCATCCCTCCCCCAAAAACCCCAAACCCCCCCACCCCCCCCCCAAAAACTCACCTCAAACTCATGCGAATGCCAAAGTCTCCTCTCCTCCACCCCAAGTTTCTCATAAAGTCTCCTCGTAATCATATATTCCACACCAATCAATCTTGCCGGATTCGTTGGCGCATCGTAGATGAGACATTGCCGGACCTATTTTGTGTGTGTTCGGTCAGTAAGTCAGTATCGTTAATTGGTTTGTTTTTTGTGAGATTACGAGAACTCTCGTGTTATGTACTGTAATCCCATTTATAGGAGAATAATAAATGGGATTCCTGCACTCCATGACTCGGAAACTCGCGTGTGCATGTAATTTCTCGTTATGAGATGAGTTTAGAGTTATGGTTTTTAGTGTGGGTGGCAGTGATGACTTCGTCACTGGTTTGGTAGCGGTACTAACTCGCTAGTGTTTCTCTTTCAGTCCCTCTCCCTCCGCCCTCTATCACACCTCCCTCATCTCCCCAATCCTCTCCCCTCTCCCCCCCAAAAAAAGAAGAAGCCCTCCCTTCAATACCATATTATACTCACATCAGCACTCAAATGTGTGCAATAATGATTAGCCTCCACACTTCTTCTCTTTCCCATTCCCTTTCCATTTCCCTCTCCACCCATCTCACCCTTCCCATCCACTCCATCCCCATCCTCCACATAAACATGCAGCGCATTCAAATGCGCACAGATTGCCTTGACTGGTGTAAAATCTTGTGTCATTCCTGTGTATATATATTTTCACCAGTTAGTTAGTTGATCAAGTCATTTAGTCAACCCCGATTTCATTCCAACACCATCCCATCCCTTCTACATCCCCTCACTCTCCCCCTCCTCCCCAACTCCAACCCCCCGCAAAGAAAAACATCACTCACCAGCCCCCATCTCCAAAGCCCTATCCTTAACACTCAAATCCGAACCAGGCGCACCACGCGTAAGAGGTTGATGCTGTTGATATGTCATTTTTGCACACGCCCTATCCTATTCTTATCCTATTTCCTTTTGATTTCCAATTTTCCTTCGACTTCTAATTAAATCAAATCAAATAATCAAATCAAGTCAATCTTTCAAAATCAGATCAAAATCGAGAAATCGAGTTATTAAAGTTATCAAAGTATCAAAAGTATCAAGAAATCCAAACTTCTCAAGATCGAGTCTTAATAAAAACTTTCAATAAAAAATTGTATCTAGATATCTCACTAAGATGTATGTATACGAATAACCCCCAACAAAGCACATGACCCTGATGCAGTGCAATAACATATGATTATGGTATGATTACAATAGAAAGGAACAAATGTTCCGAAATCAAGAAAATCAAGAAAATCAAACCACACAAAAGAGTCAAGATTACGTCATAACCAGCACACAACCTCCTGTTGTGCACCAAGAGTTGCATTGAATGAGATGAAATGAGGGGAGGGTATATACTATACAAAAAGAAAACAATTGCAAATTCACCAATGTTATGTTTCTTCAAGAATCAGACTGGGGGGATTCTTTGGAATTGGAACTTGACATGATTGTAATTGTATTGGAAAAGAAAGGTATGCTGCATGGTCAATCTGCTTGAATGATATATGCTTGAATACTTATATACTTGCTTGATCAAAAGCCACAGCACAGCAAACAAACATAGGTAGTAACAAACATATCAAATCTTTGCCATTGGTTCTCTATAAATATTAAACAACGTCAGCATGCATGCATCTCATCCCATCTCCTCATCCCATCCCATCCAAATCATCCCCTCATTCCTTCCAAACACCCACCAGAAAGACTAATACAAAGACTAATACTTACATCCCAGTCCCAGTACTCAACTCAACTCAACTCACTTAAAATTATTCTTCATCTCCCTCAATTTAGCCATCACCTCCACTGGCTCCGTTTTGCCTGTAGCTTTTTGAATTTCCGGATCCTGTTAGCCAGAATTAGTATCATGCCTTATCCCTTAGCCGTAATACAAATGATTGGATAAACTTACATGCATCCTCATGAAAACATTATGTTTCTACAGCATCACATCACACTATTAGCCCTCTCTCTTTCTCTCTCTCTCTCTCTCCTCTCTCTCTCCCCTCAAACAAATACTTGATACATGAACAACTCCAAAAAATAAAAGAAGAAAATAAAACACTACCTTCTCATCCCCAATCGTAAACTTCCCCTGCGTTTCCTTATTCTGATCCGCAAAAGTTTCCAATGCTTTGACAGCTTCACTTGTTGAAACCGATACCGCGAATTTCACATTCGCGGTTGTGTATTCGTGACCGGGCTATATTATATATTAGTATCGTATCTAGTAGTTTCATACGACATATATGTAAAGAATGGAAAAGGAAATAAACTTACATAAACGACTGTATCGTCTGGTACAGCTGCAAGTGTCTTGTTTAGCGCTGTATGCATTTCCTCGGCCGTTCCTTCAAAGAATCTTCCACATCCTATAATTTATTATTTCTGTTAGCCCTCTATGCACCATCCCATGATCATCCCATCAACCCTTTCTTCATCTTCCCCAATCCCCTCCCCTCCTCTTCCTCTTCCTCTCCCCTCTCCCCTAACCCCCAATCCCCCTCCACATCTCCACATCTCCCCAACCCCCCCCCCCCAAAAAAACTCACCACCATGAAACAAAGTATCCCCCGTAAAAATCACCTTCCCACTCCTATCCTCCATAAACCAACAAATACTATCCTGCGTATGACACGGCGTATACAACGCCTTAACCTCAATCTCTCCAATTTTAAACCCCTCTCCATTCTTCGGGGTACTGGTTACTCCCTCGCAATCTTTACCGCCAATAATGGGTTTACCTGCGAATTCTGGGTGGGCGAGCTGGAAAGGATTGTGATTAGTTGTATTGTGTTGTGTTATAAGGTGGGAAGGGGGAGAGGGATAGATACCAATTTATTATTTCCACCTGCGTGATCCCAGTGACTGTGTTTCTTTCATTAGTATATTTATATTCATATTCATACTCTGCTTGTCTCGATATCTGTCACTCACTGATGTGTATTAACAATTGCCACTAAATTGATCTTCCCATCTTCGATTTGTTTCTTTAAAACCGGTGCGACCCTATTGATATCACGCATTAGCCATCAATCCCATTCCTCATCCCCCCCCCTTCCCCCCTCTCCTCCCCTCACCTCCCCCAAAACCTCTCTCTCCCCTCCACAAAAGAAAATCCCCCATCACACTTACTCCCCCGCACTAGCCGGATCCACCACAACCGCATCTCCACTGCCCTCATCAACCACCAAATACGCATAATTATTCGAGGTGCCCTCCCACATGGGGATACTTTGAATATGCATTTTGCGTTTTTGTATTTGTATTTGTTTTCGTATTTGTTTTTGTATTTGAATGTGTGTTATTCGGGTTTGTGTTCGGAATCCTGTTTGTGTTTGTATTTGTCGAGTATTGTTTATGTTGGAGATGGGTTTAGAGTTCTGTTGAGATGTATGCATGCATGCATGGTTAGCAAGGGCTCTTTGTTTTATCATTCATTCTTCTGCGATTGTGCTCCCCCCCGTCTCTCCCCTCTCCCTCCTCCCTCCTCCCTTCCCTCTCCCCTCCCCCTCCCCCACACAAACACAATCTCACTCAATTTCACTCAAAACTCACCCAAACAATTCCCCGCCTTAAACTTAAAAGATTTCCCGTAATCGCACTTCTACTCCCAATTCGAGCCGTTTTCGTAAACAATGCTTGCATTTGCTTTTCCTTTCTCTTTCCGAATCTGATCAGATCTGATATTATCACCAATTTCAACTTCACTTCACTTCGCTCCAACTCCTCTTATCTGTGATTAATAATCAATGACGGAATGTGGGTAGGAGTATCACCTAATCGCCGAAACCCACATTACACTTTAAGAAATCATAATAATCGCTAAAGCTATCTTCATTGTTTTATAAACCTAATCTCATATAAGAAAACGCTGTTTCGTACCAAAGATTATGGTCGAAGAAAATCCCATCCATCACATCATGATTCATCATCCCTCTCACCAATATTATTACTACCCATCCATCGTCTCCTCCGTTTTCATCCACCCAACCCACTGAAACGCTGTGGTATCTTAATAGTACCAAATTTATCGGCAATCAGAAAGTAAATAGAAATCATCAGGTATCACAATGAAGTCCATGCAAAGAAAGCAAAAACAAATGAAAATCCTCCTCCATTACATCATCGAGTTGTGCTTTTTTTTTCTCCCACCAAGCCCCAAATATGCAAGTGGTATCCGCGGTAGTGGTATCTTATGAAGAAACAATCCTGATCCGCAAAACAGATAAAAAGTAAAAAGTAAAGAGTGTGTTGAATCGAGGTGATTAGACTCTACCTTGGAGAACTGGATTGTTAGCTCCCAATTGAGTGTGTCCTCCGTTGTTCGCGACGTTCTTTTGATTTAAAGCTCCACCGCTGGTAGCAGTGTTGCCATTTAGAAGACCAGTACCAGTGGGGTTAGGATGTGCGCCAGCGTTGCCAAAAGCCTGGTCAACTTGTTGATTGAAGCCTTGCTGAGCGCCTTGCTGAGTACCTTGGGCATAACCTTGTTGAGAGTAGCCCTGTTGAGTACCTTGGTTATAGCCTGATGGACCAGCCGAGGAGCTGGTGTTGCCGAGATTTTGTGGACCTCTAACACCACCTTGAGCAACAGAGTGTGGCTTTCTCTCGATCTTCTTTGGAAAGGGCACATTGGTTGATTTTGGGGCAGAACCAAATCGAAAGATGGTCGATCCCCATCCACCACCAGTAGTGGCAACTTTCTTGTATTCAGTCGCCTTGGATGAAATTCCACCTGGTAAGCTGATATTGGGGAACATTGAATCATCCATGGTCATGGCCATCTTGAATTCTTTGTCTGACGCAGCCTGTTGAGCCTTTTGAGCCTTTTCTTTGCCCTTGGTAAGCTCTCGTTGAACAGCAGAAACGTAGTTGCGGTAGATGTTAGAGACATTCTCTGGGTTCTTCGCCGCCTCTTCCTGAGCTCGATCAACTTCAACCTTGATCTTGTAGGCAAACGCATCAGCTTCCTCAAACTTCTGCTTAATAGCTGCCTCGACAGCCTTTCCGATGGCTTTGGTAAGAGGTCCGACCATCAAAGACTTTCCGAGGGTGAACAAAATCTTGTGCTTCGATTGCTTGATCTTAAGCTTGAAGTGCTTGATGTCAACATCGACGCTGTCAACTTTGAAGAAATTCTGTCTATCTCTTTTATCGGCAGTAGATACCCTCATCTTGAAACTGAGTCCAGTGCCACCGAGGAAGATATCAAGAACACCCTGGTCATGGTGGATAGGTGTACCGCTCTTTCTGTAAAAATAGTAGGAGACATCCTTCAAGTCCATCTGAATTCCGGAAACGTCAATCGTGACTGATCCTCTCTTCTTGCTCTCGAAGCCCTTGCGGCCAAAGCGGAAATTGCTCTCTATATTTATGATTAGTCAATACTCATAGAAACAGAGAGGAAACTATCACGTACCATGATCAATATTGACCAAGTTTGGCATAAGGTTGTCGCTCTCAATAACCAAGTTCTCAATGACGACTTCCGTCTGAGGATCTCTGTATTCAAGTCTGGGGATTGGCATATATCGAATGCTCTCGATAGCTGCAGGAATAATGACATTGGTCAAATCTTGCACCAAGTGCTTTTTGAATGTCGGCTTGCCATTTTCATCATTGCCCAAATCGTTGAACAACTTCTGGCAGGTATCTGCAAATCGCTTGTTCTGTGTATCATTATCGAATTCTTTTGTCAAGAACTTGACTTCATCAAGGATACGATCAGTGTGGGGTCTGTATCGATCTCTGAGAAGGAAGTTGCCTCTGTCATAAAGCTCATTCCAATGTTTGGTGGAATCGTCTTCCATGATGTAACCTTGCTCTTTGAGGCATCTGCGGACGAAGTAGTTCATTTCCTTGAACCAGCTCTTTAGCTCTGGATCCCTGTCAGCGTCTTGATAGATAGCGTTGATAGAGTCGGTTAAATCGTCAGTTGATGTGTAATTTGCAAAACGCTCAAGAAGTGTCTGCATCATGTTAACTAAATGATACGTCTAATGTTTTAAAGGGGCTACGAACCTTTAAATCTCCCTTGGCAGTATTCAAAGAAGGATTAGAATGTGCATCCCTAACAGCCCCGGATCCTTGTTGACCAAGATTTTGTGCGTGTCCTCCGTACTGCTCGGCCAAGTCGAGAAGAGTAGTGATAGCTTGCATATCTGTCAACAGTTAATTTCAGAATTTGGTAAATAGCTCCATGTAAACCTACAGTCTGAATGACCTTGGATCTCGACCACCATCTTCTTGAGTCTGTAGATGAGTTGCTCGCGACGCTCCTCGGGCATCTTTTCGTAGAGGTAGTTCTTAGTTCTATCTCTGGTCTCGCGACCTCGCTGCTTTGTCTCCTCGGGTACGTTCTCAGAAACACGTTGCTTCAAGGTGGAAGCCGCAGCTTGAGCACCAGCTTGACCATCAACTCCAGAAGCCGTGTTATTTTGCTGATCACGACCAGCCAATTGAGCGGTATCTGTTGGATCACGAGAGCCACTTGGGTGGGCGTTTTGACTGGCGTCACCAACAGCATCTCTAACATCATCTCTGCCAACAGGTGCATTCTTCTTGAATGTCTGCTTCATCTGATTCTTGATATTACCAGATGATATATTTGGATTCTCATGCCAAACATTATCATCGGCGGGACGATCAATCTGCTTCAATTGATCTTCGGAAGGGTTAACCTTGCCGGCAGCATTGGTGGCAACATCACCAGCAATATCACGTAAGAGGACGACAGCATCGTTCACTAATTCAAGCATTAGTAAATTGACACAAACTTTGATACATTATTTATAAACTCACAAAGCTTGCGAAACTCTCCGTTGGTAATGATAAGTTGACCAAGAGTCTTGATACCATCCTTTACCTGTTTGCCATGTTGTTGAGCAGTTGCTTGATCGACTGGAGCTCCTGGAGCTACTGCTCCACCGCCATCAATGCATTGACATTGCCAAATAAAATCTTGAATCAGTTCGTCGCTATTCTTGGTAAGAAGAAGGTTCTTTGCTTGCTCGACGACCGAACGAAAGTCTTGGACTAATCCCTGACCCTCCCTGGAAAGTTTCTTGGATGGTGAGGCTAAAGCGCGCGAGGCAAGGAAGCTGTTGAGGGTAATATCGATTTGTTCATTCTGCACACGAGAAATATTAATACAATTGCGCATGCAAACACGGTCATGGAAGTAAAGTACTTACAGATGGAACCTTTCCAGCTTCGAAGGCTATACGAATTTGTTATCAGTAAGCCTATATCTCCATGATATGCTAGTAAAGAGAGAGAACAAAACAATACCTTTGTAAATTCCGTAAATTTGTATTTTACGTTGAATATCATCTTCCTTTTGCTTTTGGTTGGTAGGTCTGTTGACAGACATGATTGCGGTTTTGATTAAATTGGGATATTGGGGTATCACGAAAAAGAAAAAGATTGAACGGAGTGCAGAAAACTCGAAAGTAGAAAGAAAAGATTCTCTCTTTCTACTCGAGTACAATAGTCGTATCAAGTGTACCGGTATGAAACTTGCAGTAGTTGGTTATAGGTGGTATGATTGTGAGGTAAGTCGTCCTGACTGAGCAGCAGCTTCGTATTTATTTTGGCAAGCAGCAATTTGATTGATTGATATTGATTGGCTCTTTGACGAAAACGGATGAAGGTGAATGACGATGTTGATATCAAAAAACTGTTGGGTATTGAGTATATTGATTAATTAGAATATGGGGAGATTGGTTGGTTGGTTGAGTTGAGTTGAATTGAATTGAATTGAATTGAGTCGAGTCGAATTGTATTTGTTGTGAAGAATATGAGGAGAGGAAAAGGAAAAGGAAAGAAGGGAGAGAGAATTCCAAACAATAGAAAAGGGAATTAATTCATTCTTTTATTTCAATCAATCGCACTTGCCTCAGTTTTGTTACCTCGATGATTCAATTTTATTATATCTGACTTACCGTTCTTGCCTTGTTTTTCTTTTCGTTACCATGATTTTACTCACATTTCATCTGAAGATTTATTTGATAAATAAAGAAGCCTTGTTTGTTCTTACCAGGTGCCCCCATGTAAAATTGATGTGACAGGTGAGGTTGCTACGTCACTTTTTTTTTAGTATTACGCATTCTAACAAACTAACTATTTTAATTGGCGGGCACTAAACTATAGCTTTATATAGATTAGATTGAAGATCTTCAGATGAATATATATGTATATAAATCTAATAAATAACTCTTTGTAACCAAAATCAATCTCAATGCATAAAACAAATGAATCCCTTTTGAAACATCTAGATCTGGCCTTTCTATGTTCTCTTCTCTTCTCTTCTCTTCTCTTCATCCACTCTTCAAATGCGTCATGATTTCATTTTCGATGATTATTCATTCAAGCATTTCCATTTCATCCCATTTCATCCCTTTCATATCACACCATTACAAGCCAAATTCAAATAAATTCTTTGACTGCTTGCTATACGAATAAAGAGATCTCTTGACTTTTCACCCAAAATCGTAATTCCATTTCTTTGTATTTGTATTTGTCTTTGTTACTCTACTACTCTACTACTCTACTACTCTACTATTACTCTCCTCCACTCCACTTTACTCTACTCTACCACTTTTCCCTCTACTACTCTCATAACACACCAATCCATCCGCAATAAGTAAGCTCATGCCATTCTCCTCTCCATCTTTACTATGTATGCACGATTGATCAAATCCTGACGTACCTGCCTGCACCACCTACCTGCCTGCACCTACCTGTATCCATATACCCATATACCGAGCTCATACCCCTTTTTTATATCCACTCTATTACTGCACCACATTTCACTACCAAATCAATCATGATTAAAATATACTAAACATAGATATAGATATTACTACTATCTATCCGAGTACTATTTATGTAAGAAAATCCCGCCATATCATCGATTTTCATCACGATATATCTGCTAAATATCTATTCTGCTCTGCTCTGCTCTCAAATCCCTAAATACCGACTGACTGACTGACTAACTCCTAATCTGAAAATCATCCATGCTTGCCTCTCGAATTCCAAATTCCCAATTATGTCCATGAAATCATCGATACTTGTCCTCCGATTCCTAGTACCGATGATGAAATCTCGCTATTATCTTCATCATCATTATTTACTCCCAGATATTGCTCCTCCCATATTCATCATAATCATATGACGGAAATACTCGCTCCTCTTTCACTACCATTTCTGCGCCATAAATACAATCTCTCTTATCCCCCTTTCCTCCCTTCCTCCCCCCTCTCTCCTTCCAGTGTAGCCCTCCCTCACCACTTCAATAACGGCTCCCTGTTGTACTAGCATTTTGAGCCGTCTCCAATTGTTGTTTCCAGATACGATACAATTCCTTAATTTCTTTCTCCTCCTTCCACTGATCCACAATCCCATTAACTTCCTTCTGTCGTTTCTTCGCGCTCATCTTATCTCTCTGAGCAAGTTTCGCAATGGTAAGATGACCTTTGCTTTCTAGACTACCTATGACCCACTGATTGAGTGCATATTTCAGATGGATGAGTGTGTGGGCATGTTCCGCATTTTCTTTGCAGACACTGTACTAAGAGGTTAGTTCAGATAATTGTTGGAAATTTGGTAGGTAGGTCGTGGTAACTTACGCGCCGACCATGTACTCCTTGTCCTGCGGTGGTAGAGGTTCATCTCTACTATTCAAACTTCGTGTATCTTTCTCATCATCAGAATCTTCTTCCTCTTTATCTTCTTCGCTACTGCTATCATCCTTTTCTACTTCAGCCAAGCTCTCCTTGTAGTATGCGGATCCCCTCAAAGAAATCCCCCACGTTGGGATGTGCTTCCTACGATTACATGCCTCGCATTTAACCTCGCTCAAAATATCAATTGCTTCTCCGGGAGCGAGTCTCCTGCTGGAGAAATCAGGACGTGCATAGAGACCTTTGGTGAAGTCGCGAGTCCATGAAGTAGAAACGAATTTGCTACCGCTTAATCCACTGTACGCATCCTCAAGCTTATTCCACGCTGATTTGTAAATGGGCATAAGATTCTGATTGAAACCGGGATTAATTTTATTTTGAACACACCATTCAACCGCTTCTTTGAAATGTTCCTTGAGAGGTTTATGAGCTGCGGCGGTGAATTGGAGGGGAATCATGCCGTAATCTGGAACTCCAATGAGGCCATCATCATCGTCGTCAACGAAATCCGAATCGTATTCATCCTCGTTCTCTCGTATAGGCTTCTTGGGTGACTTTCGCTTGCGTGTATCTTGTACCTCCTCTTCTACGTTTTCATCTTCCTCATCTTCAAAAGTAGTCAATGCATCACTATCTGAATCATATAAGCCACCAGCCTCGTCTTCGGACTCGGAATCCGTAAGAACAGGGTTGCTTTCTCCAGCACGCTTCCGTTTGAGTATTTCCAATTGTTTTTGCTTGGCAGTTCTGTGCTTCTTAGGCGAACGTTTTCGGTTGGCTTGTGGAGAAGGAGCCGGGCTGTCAGATTCAGGGGGAGTGGGCTTGGATAGCTTAGTCATAGGTGGCAAATCATCATCCGAGTTACTTCCGTTCAAGACCTTCGTTTTCTTTACGGGCGACCCAATATCACTGTCCTCATCGTCAGAAATTATCGCCGGACGCTTCCTCTTCATTGGCGAAGTAGGGGGCTCATCGTCCGGGTCATCTGAATCACCTTCAAGAGTAATTGGCGGGGCCGTTCTTGTCGCTTGTCGACGTCTAGTAGACGATGGTAGTATATCATCCTCAGAATCATTTTTGGCCTCTTCACAAGATTCATCGCTGCTTGGAATTGGCACAGCTAATCTTTGACTGAATAGGCCAGGACGTTGAGATGACTTAGGCTTAGACTTTGATGTAAATACATCATCGTCACTTGTGTCTGATAATGTCACCGATCTCTTCTTGGGAGTACTCTTAGAAGGAGTCGGAGGTTTTGGACTATGAACTAAGGCTTTTGGCGCTCTGCCTCGATTGCCGGATGAAGGCAGAGGTGCGTTGTATGTGCTTCCACCTTGTATAAAACCTCGGCCTGTGAATGAGCGTCCCCTGGATGGACCGCTTCCAGAACCTCTTCTCTCAGAACTTGTGATTTCAACATCCAACTCATCGTCCGTGGTTTCTGTCGCAGCAGATTCCTTCTTATTCTTTCGTGATGGAGCTTTTGCCTCCTCGACCTCAATCGTAGACTTATCTTCTGAATCTGTGGGCTCCTCAATAATTGGTTTCGCCTTTTGTGAGCCTCGTGTGCTTCGACGTGATCCACTGGCCACTCCAGAATCTACAATAGTATCATCGTCTTTCTGAGAGCTTTTCGCAGGCGTAGGTAACGATCCAAAACTGATCTTTCCATCCCTCGCCTTTTTTCCAAACTTTCCTTTGATACTTGAACTTTCCTTCAATGGTGAACCTGAAGACATGCCGCTGCGTGTAACTCTTCCTCCACTGCTCGCAGATGCGCCACCATTCGTTTTCTCATATCTAATCTTCGCAGGCGACGGTCCTTGACTTTTCGTAGGTGAACCTGAGGGTTCCTCAGCAGAGATCGGATCGAAGGTCAAGCGTGTTTGCTTTTTGTGCCGACCCTTTCGTGCTATGCTTGAAGAACTCATCGTCGCAATTTCGAATACTGCGGGGTGGTTTTGCAATTATATTTTATCGTTTGATCACAAATTTGTAATATTGATTGGGAAGGCAAAAGGTGAATCTAGAATTGCGATAGCATATCTTGATGGGCAAATAAATATCGAATATTCTCGAGTAGATGTGTAAAACAATGCGACTGCGAATGCGACTACTGTGTATTTCAGATCGTGAGGTGTCGTGGATTTTTGTGATGGCGTTGCAAACAAAAAGTAAAATGAGGCAAAAAGTGACGCGGGGAAGTGGAAGGGGAAACGCGCCAAAATCAAATCACCAAAGCACGTGTCTTTGGGGACAAATGTGGGGATAATTGCCCCCTAATAACGAAGATCCCTCCTATATACAAGCGAGTTTTAGTCCCATTTAGCAATCAGCACTTGTATATTAAGAAGTCAATTATATCTAAGTTCGTCTCAAGAAAACCACCTGATTTATGACCTTGACGGAGCTTGGAAAGTAGAAGTAGGATGACGAATTTACAAAGGCGTATTAAATGTTGAGCAAAGATAGAACAGCGATACCTTTTGGGTATTGTGATGATACTTGATTGAAGATATATCTACTGGTCATTGTTCGGTAAACTACAAACGGATACTTGGTCGATTAATCCATTGGCAGTGACCTCAAGTCAAGGTTGATTCTGGAATCATAAGTATGAATCAAAACATGTTCAAAGGTGTAACGTAGATTTTGCGGGCAGCTTTCGGGATGCCTTCTCTACTGTATTTACAGTATCTCAATTTTTATTAGTACTTGCGAAATGCAATGCAGGGCTTCTATTTTATTACGTTTGATGTTTTCGGTACGAATGGAAGTCTCTTTTTGCCGGAATCTTAACACCCAGTACTCTATCTATGTCCAAGGGTGGAAGTCAATGGTCTCGATTTGAAACTTTACTCGCTTATCGTAGGATTTCGAGTGTCATTCCCTATCGTTTTCGACTATTTCAATTTGGATATCAGAATAGCATTGTGTAAAGAGTTTCGGGCGTATGGCATATAATCATTCATCTGCTCTATGTACTAAAGCATTTTCGTCCAAGGTTTTGCAATTCCTGTTTAATTTGGTCTAGATACTGAAGTATACATTCCAAATCTCAAAAGGTCGACATACAATTGTACCTGCATCACCTCATTAGCTCCTTCCTCCCCAACACCTCCCACACCCACCTTCCTTTCTTCTTTCCCTCTCAACACCTTCACAGCAAGCTCCCAATCGACTTTATAATTCAATCTACACACGAATTCAACAAATCTCCAACACCTAGTGTAGTGTAGTGTAGTGGTCAAGCTCCTCGACTTTCACACTTAACAATAAAAGATCTTTTCGCTAATATGAAAACACAGCCCCTATTTTCGTCGACGCCCTGATGGGCAGTTATTAATTATACTAATCGTTAATTTACTAATTTTGAGATTCGCCTATTCCCCAGTACCTACTAATGTCTAATACTAGAAATAATGTCTAATACAAGAGATTCTCCTATACCTGCTAATGTTAGCAGGTCTAACATTAGTAGATCAGCGATACTGCCCCAACAGCGGGCCATACGGGTTATTAATATTAGACTGGAGGTAAGTGTATATCTTTCTTATTAAAGGAAATCGAGGGGCTTGATTACTCACTTTTTTTGTGGTGTTTGACTTAGTAATTGCTGTGAGCGGGAGGGACCTTTATAAGGAAGGTACATCTCAGGCGAGGAACTGGAAGTCAAAGCTTCATCTATTTTACAGATGTGAAGTGTTTATAAGTATACATGGCATATAATGGGGATCTTCTCGTGGTTTTGAATTGCCTGACTCGAGTATGTATTCAGACAAAATTCCGTGGATGTGGTCTTTTAATTCTAGAAAGGAGAAAATTTGCTCGAGTGCTCTGAGACGATCTGTCACATTCAGGAAACTATGAAGGAATGAGTAGTCCCTGAGATGCTTTTTTTTTTCGTGTTTTTCTTTTCTTTAGTGGTTGCCATCGACTGAGTGAATGCCATCAAACACAGTAATCATATTCTTCATTTACTATAAACAAAAGTAAAAATACAACTCTTTTAATAATATGGGATAGGCAAAAGGATGTTTGATGATTTCTAGGTAATTTGTTGTATGGTGATTAATCGGTGTTAGTCGTGTGAATAACGCCATATTGATGTGGATAAGTCCTACGATGGGTGCCCGGGCCATTTCACCAAGGAATCAGTTTACTGTAAAGACACTCATATTTTGGCGCCATAAGTGGTAGAAATTGTTATCAATTGTAATTTAACGCAGTTGAACTTGGTTCTGGAATCCCGTGATTCAGTCTTCTTCGCCGTTGAGGTGACTAGTGACTTTACTAATGTTGAGATTTGTTTTCATAATCTTAGATCTAATTTGGGTATTGCAGTGAGAAAGGAAGATTGATGATGAGTAGAGCATGAAAAACATAAAGTGGCACTCCTGCATACTGCTGAGATTAGAAGTTGATGTGTCATTGAGAATTTGTGATGGTTATCTGACTGTTCATTTTGGGAAATCTCTAAAGAACTCATACACCAGGTATATCCATGCGTTTTATGAGAATATGAATCATCGGATCATAATGGTTCTATACTTGAGTAAATAAGAAGTTTGGGTGTTTTCGCTTGAGCTTGTCTTTCTTTCTACATCTTCATATCACACTGCAAAAATATTTTAGACAGCCGATACTTATAGTCTTACTTTACACCACCACAACACCACTCCATTTTATCCACGATTCTACCCTACTTGTTCTTTTAGTTTGGCTCGTCTTCCACCTTAACTTTCGAGACAGACTAAGTAAGTTATCCGAAATCATCAACCATTGTCTCCAATCATTGACGCCAATAGATATTCTACGTAGAACGCCTCAGTGATCTCACCACTTCAAGCTTCAAAGCAAGGCACAAGCACGATGGCAACCTATAATGATTCTCTCACAACGGCATTGGACGAAACAGAAAGCTACAGTAGAGTAGTACGCCGCAAATCCAATAGCAATGAAACGAATTCCAACGAACCAACTCGGAGATTGGTCACGGACATCTATCTCTGCTGCCACATCGAAGAGCGCCCACTAGATCCCAACCAAGATTACGCGGATCGCAATACATTCATGTTGAAAAGCGCGCTTTGTCGGCGTGAGGAATGTGAGCATTGCACCACGGTCAGGAAAGAATTAGGCGAAGCCAGAAGTAGATATGGCCGATTATATTGGCAAGTTCTTGTCAAGGCGCTCTGGGATGAACGAATTTCGTATGCATGCGACGGTGAACTCCTTGATGGCATGAATCCTCCTGCAAACCCGTTCTGGTGGTTTGGAGCTTTCATTGATGATCAAGTGGCGTTGAGAAAGCATCATAGGAACTAGGAAAATTTGTGAGTTTTGCTTCGACGTTGATGGAGAGAGGGGAGGCACTTTCGACAGATGACGTAAGTCTTACCAGGAGCTGATATGAGGAGAGCTAGAAATATATTGGATTTTAGAGGAGGCTTTTTATTGGCGAGAAAAGGATTCAGTTGTCTCCTATTTGGCTCTTGTGTTTTAAGGTTAACGATTTTTTGAAAGGAAAGGGGTGGAAGAATAATTAATGACAACGCGTGACTTTACTTCAACCAGAGAAAAATGATACCGGTACATGCATTTGCAACTCGATGATCTTTCCGATGCTTTGACGAAGGTCACTTGACCTCTTTGATGTGTGTCTTTAATGCGTAGATAGTGATTCCACAGATCTTGGTGAATGCTTTGGTAGTTGGCAAGGCGAGCTCAGATCTGGAAAGGAAGGTTTAAAAAACATCACACCACCAGATAAAGATAAGTTCCTCAAGACCCTGATGCAAAATCAATGTGATGACTTGCTCACAGTTCGATCCAATTCAATAGATTGCAGAAAAACACCAAAATGTGCCACCATCTAATACAAACTTCCCCGCGCTTTGCCTCGAAACAAGACCAGCACCTCACTTCAAACCCATTCATTCATTCACCTGCATATAGGTATCCATTTGAACCCCAAACACGACCCTCCCCCCACTAACAAATGGTGATCTAGAGAAAGACCACTTCGGCCTCATGGCCCAATAATAAAGTTATACATTGCAGTAATGCCTCCAATATCAAAATACAACCAGAATCTCCAATCCTCATTTCGGAAAGGAATTGTATACCTGGGATAGATGTAACTGAACTTACTAATGAATTATCTTTTTTGTTTTTGCAATTTTGGGATTGTGATTGTGGGATTGTGATTGTGGGATTGTGGCGGTTGGTATGTTGTGTATTTGTTTGTTTGCTGTTGAGGAGTGTGTGTGGTTTACGAGCACCCGAACGCGTTTATTGACGCGAGATTTGGAACGGAGGTTTGGAAACGTGGTCGTATGATGTCGATAAGATGCCTTAGTAAATAGGCGGATTTGGATGTAATTTATCGAATCGTTTATCATCCATCTCAAACTCGTTTACAGAAAAGCATTCGTATGGCGCGTATATGTGCCGCGAAGGCCACTGTTAAGATTCGTAGAGCGACATGGCCATCTACACAAGATTCATAACTAGTATGATTAATTCTCACTTTTTGTAATACCATATATATATAAAGAGTTTGACATCTCCCAGTTAGATTGTTTTCTTCTACATATTCAATCTGGGTTTCATCGAGCATCTGAATCAAAAAAGAGACATCAACCGCTTGCAATACTGTTTTACTACAAAGTATACAGCGTCTCTCCATCTCCGACTTGAAAAGCTATCCAGCAGGCCAAAAGTCCTCACCTCTTACAAGTTCAATCAGTGCAAACCTATCATAACTCTCGATTACAAATTAAAGCTGAAATCGAGGTTCAGACTCTTAACCCCACAAACTAAACGACGCAGGCCTGAATCTAACAAGCCCATAAATTCGAGAAATTCTACTGTAACAAAAGTTCATCTCAAGGTAATCCTAGGAAACGAAACATTAACCGAGTGCTATGCGACGTCCACCTCTGCGATACAACCAAATACCGTAATTCGCGTCCATACGGAAGAGGAGAGAGAGAAAAACCGTTCCATGCTCAAACTACAGAAGACTCTTTGTCAAAAATGTGATATTTGTGCATTGGTGAAGGATACGCTAGGACCAAGGAACGAGCTCGAGTTACCATTTGGGATGTCTTATTGGGGATTGTTGTGTTATCCGCTTGCATGCAAATTGATTGCTTTGGCAAGATACTCGGATGGTGAAAGAGTAACTCCTCGGGTTGAAGGATGTTGGTGGATTAAGAAAACAATCAAGGAGCAAGGCGTGTTGCGGGAATGCCATGAATATGAGTTTTCGAGTGGGGAGTATGAAGGTCCCCTTAAGGCAGAAGATGAATTCGGGTACAGGCAGGTGAAGGTGATAGAGTACCCCGAGACACTTGACAAGCAGACTCAAATTGGGAGAGGGTATGGTCATGGGCTATGACTATCAGGGACAAGCAAATGTGGGAGGTGGAATTTCGAAAAATCGATTGGGGTACGAGATGTTGGAAATCTAATGGAAGGTTACTTGACAACATTCATGTTGAACATCTGTTGAATGTGTCATGCGAATCAGCAGAGTAAGTGACACCAGATAGAGCATGCAATGACGGCCAGCTCCATCGGACCAACTTGGCCTCACCTCACATCAAATTCACAGACAAATCATATCAAGCATCCAAAGAATGTACTCATAAAGTAATTATATTGTGGATTACTACCCCTCCCACCATAACAATCCTCCATCACCCTTTCTCTACAAAACTCTCTCTTCTACACCAAAAAATGTCTCCTAAAGGAACCAAACACAAAACTCAAGAATGAGTCTCATAGCCAGGATACCTCAAGGAAAAGTCTCGAAGAATCAAAATCGTGACCCGGGTTTTATTCTTGCTCCATTGTCCACACCTGCTCGCTCTGGGTTGAGACTTGGCACGCTCTAGCAAAATGTTGAAGCGATGTTGGGGGCTTGGGGTTTTCTGACTTGAGAAAGAAGGATGGGGGATGAATGTGATATGAGAGTACGGGAAAGGATACCTACCTGCCTTCATGAGAGAAACTATGTTTCAAGAGTACCTTTATGGATAGCTGGAGTATTCTCGGTGCATGAATGGATATCGTGTTGTTGATGAAGAAGGAGAAACGAACTGGAGAGAAAATTTTCGAGGTTTTGACGTTATGCACTAGCGTATACGCTAGAGAATGTTTAGTTTAGTTCTGGTATAACGACCTGCAATTGGTCAGACCGACAAATCCACTTCAGCCTCGTCAGTAAGGAAGGCACTTCGCGTCATCACGGGCGAACTTTATCAATATGGTAGGTAGGAATCACGTCGCGGTTTTTCACATTGGCTTTCCAGCCCAGCCCAGCCCAACCCAACCCATCTCCCCAACAACATACCCAATACATTGTGCAGGCCTCTCAACATCCTACACCCAACACCCATACACAAAATGGTATTGCCCCTCCCCTTCCCTCCCCTCCACTCACCCACTCCCCTGCCTACATCAAAAACTAACATAAAACCCCAGCCAGCCCCCTCAGGCAAACCGCGCTCCAAGCTAGCCAAAGAACACAAGCTTACTATCGATGAAGAAATCGAGATCAAAGAAGCATTTTCCCTATTTTCGCAGAAGATTGATGGAGAAAAAGAGGCCGTGATTGCTACTGGTGATGTGAGGAGGGCGTTGATGTATGTACTTTATTCTTACTTCTTTCTACGTTCCTAACACTATTCTACGCATATTGCAATTCGGTCTCTACATACATACATACATACTAAACCTCACTCAAACAGCGCACTAAGCCTCCCCCCGACCCCCGCCGAACTCCGCGAATTCCACAGTATACTCGATCCCGAAAAGGAAGGCTACACGGTGTACCGACATTTCCTAGCCGTGTGCGCCATTAAATTTCATTCGCGGACGCGAACGTCGGATTCGCATAAACAGGATGTGGATGATGCGTTTCGACTTTTTACCGATGCGGGTCAGAGGGGAAAGAAAAACGGGGGTGAGGAGGGAGATGATATGGAGAAAATTACGTTGGCCTCGTTGAAGAGGGTCGCGAAGATGTTGAAGGAGGATGTGGATGAGGATTTGTTGGTTAGTATGTTGTTAGAGGCGAATGGGGAGGAGGGGGCGGCGAAGGGGGTCACTAGGGATGACTTTGAGGACGTTATGAGGAGGGCGGGAATGTGGAGATGAGGACTCATTTGATGGAGGACATGGCATTTTTAGTGCTTGGCGCACATGGAGTTCTGGGGCTATGATTTGGAACGGAATTGATATCACCATGTGTGGAGTTATACACACAAAGGAGTCTTGCATGGCATTGTTTTATCGCACTTAATTCATTTATTTAGCTAATTGTTTTGTATGAACGCCGACAAAATTATGCAAAATCCAATCTGACCCGGCAAGAAACCTTTCCACCTCATGAATGTTTTTATTATCTGACCATTTGCTGATATATTTGTGACGCCTATTCCCATATAATTTCCTTGATATCATGAAACAGCAAGTCAACCTAGACCGCTGGAACCTTCGTCTGAATTCAAGGCGCAGTGGCCTCGGTCTGTGCGGACTCGGATGTACTTTCCGCAGGAGGGGCTTTGAATCCGACGTGATCTGAGTGCTTCTTGTAGAAGAAGTTGTCGGGCTTGGGTTTCAGTTCTTGGGGAAGCTCCTCTAATACCGTGGCGAGTAATGCATCGACGGATTTCTGCTTCGAGGCGTCTCGATGCCAGATGGAGATGAGGTGGGAGTTGAAGCGAACAGAGAGACCGACACCACAAAGTTGATCACCTATATTTTTAAATATTAGTATTACTTTTGGGTCGTGTTACATCTCATAGTATTTGACAGTTCCATTTATGAAATAGAACACTTGTTCATTGAGAATTTAAGCGCTCCAGAGGTCAACACTTGAATGTCTGTGACCGTCTTCCATGTTCAAAATTTCGATTGCCGTTTAAAAGGGGCTGGCATTCCATCAACCGAGAAATTGGGGTAGAAGCTTACCTGATTCCAAGCACCCTTGAAGCTTCTCTCCTATGGCCATCAATTGCACTCTAGTAAAAAAGTCTGGGCCATTTTGCTTGGGAATCCTAAATGTCCAACTGCCCCCATTTATGTTTCTTCTATCTTCCCACACCGGCTGAAACCCTTGCTTGAATAGATAAATCGACTCTCTCATCTTAATCTGATCGAACGGGGTATTGTTGCAATAACGCCAAAAGTCCTGAATCGATTCGATTTGCGTGGGAAGTTTGTCGAGAGTAGAAGTATAAGTTCCATCTGCGGCTGGCTTTTGATCTTTTTGTTGTCTATATGGTACTTCGTTAGCAAATTGTATTGAACCAGTACCCCGCAGATTCCACACATTCCACAGAGAGAGCACTGACCTATCGAAATATATATTCCAATAATGTTGTATAGGCAATGGACGCATGGCCTTTAACATATTCTTCTTTGCATCATCGCGGGCAGGCGATCCAGTATCGCTTGGTCCAGATGTAGGAATTCCTCGTGTAATGAGTGATGGGCGTAACGCCATATTGTAAAGATAGTGTATGTAGGTAGTATTTATTGGAAGACTTAGTCACTGTAGTGGGATATTCGAATGCTGCTACCACTTTCAAATATAGATGGCAAGATATACCAAGAGATAGACGAACCAAAGGTGGGATGAACGCAAGTAGAGACAGAGAGGAAGAAAGAGAAAGCAAACCTGTTGTGGAAGAGACAAAGGATGAAGTGATGAAGTGATAGTGGCGCCAAGAGAATGCACAGCAGATCACATCTGAAGCAGTGGATCTAGTATGAAACCTTGAAACAGGCGCCCGAACGGTCTTTCAAAGAGTAGATGCCCCTTGAAATGTCAATTCGGCTTTCACATTGGCTCGATTGGTGGTACAGAATGCAGGCCTGATATGCGGCGCGGTCCGAGAAAGTAAAACACGCCCGGTGAGTGGCTCAAGTTCGGGTCACGTGTGGTGGCAGTATTTTGGCGGTCTGATAGAAAGTTTTTGATGATGGTTTTTTTAATAGGTGAAGTCATGGTCCGTCCCTAAGTAATTGCCAGATTAGATTTTAGAGGTTGAAAAAACCTTTAATATCATTATCATAACATCCCAATTGAAACAGTGCCAGAGGATTCTTTTGGAATTTTGGATTATACATTATACTCTAGCCTTCTCCAAGATAAAACTCTATCATCACATAAGCCTGTAAGTACCCTGGCCGACTCCAAGTAGATAGATATCATGTATCAAAAGACCAACGCTTATAAAATATATAGTTTTCACACTTCACTTTTGGTTCTTTTCTGTCTCAGATTCTATCGCTGGCTCCTGCCACTAAACCCTACTATTGAGATAAAACCGTTTGGAACATACCTAAACAAATCTTGCCTCACCCGGATATCTCACCTGACACCACCACCATTGTTCAAGTCCAGACTCAACAATCAACACACTCACCATGTCAGCAAACACATCCACATCCAAACCATCCTCCACTTCCACCACAACCACTTCACCCTCAGACTCAGAAACCTCCTCCCCAGCCCCCTCATCCTCCTCCTCGTCATCCTCGTCATCCTCCTCAGAAGATGAAGATGAAATCCCCCTCATCCGCCCTCTCAACGCCCGCCCCATCATGCGCGTATCAGCCCTCAACAATTTCGGCGGTCCATCAGGCCTCCACACCCTTCCTGATTTCCTCAAGCAGATGAAAGAGGCAAATGAGGAATTAGCGAAGAAGATGAGTGAAGGAGAAGAGAGAGGCTTGGAAGATGTGAGAGAGGGAGAGAGTTACGTGGAGATGAATTTGGGACTGGGAGTACTGGAGGAGACGAGGGAGGGGGGTAGTGCGGGGGAGAGCGGTAGTGAGAGTGAGGGGGAGAGTGAGAGTGAGGAGAAAGATGCAGATGGGGATAGGAAGATGAAGATGGGGGAGGGGAAGAAGGCGGGGATTGTGGAGGTTTGAGGTGGTGGGATGGGTTGGGTATAGGGTATATGAAATCATCGTTTGGGTTTTCTGTTCAAATTGACATTGGGATATTGTCGTCCGAGATTCGAATACTTCCATTGGGCGGCGCATTTGGCGTTGTATGGAACTTAGAAGGAATCCTAAAAATCCCCTTGGTTTATGGATAAATCAAAGGGCGCTGCTTCTTGACTCCTCGTAGATAGAAACAAGGTATCTAGATAATAAGAAAACCACAAAACTCGGACTCATGATCAGTACGAGTATATGAAAGTGACACTATCATCACAAAATCCAAAATCCAAAATCCAAATAACCAAACCCCAACTCGCTAAAAGTCTATATATACCTAATTCTCCCCCCGTTCTTTTACTTCTCTCGTAACTACTTATACCGAGTATAACAAGTACGTAGTTCTCATTATATCTAAAATCCTTCCAGGCTTTCCTTCCACTAGGTATGTTGCACAGCTACGAGTTACATTTGTATCTTATTGTTACAGGATTTATTTATCCTGACAAATATCATACCATTCATCGTTGGTTGCACATCTACATTTGTATATTATAACTACAGGCTTTATTTATCCTGACAAGTATCAAACTATCAAACTATCAATCATATCACCACCAACTCACCACTAATAGAGTATAACCCCCCCGTGAACCCTTCCATAACCACAGCCACAACTCAAACTACCACCAGAAATACAGTACAGTACAAAAAGATATTAATAAATACTTAACTTAATTAGACTCTATACACCAAGCCATGCCATGCTATGATTCATAACTCTACACATCCAACACCCCTTCCTTCCTTACCCTTGGTATAATAAAATAACAAAAACACCTTAACACCAACGCTTGCGTCATTTTTCCATTCCTTTCCTTTCCTTTCCGTTGTAAACCATACATACCCAATCCATCAAATCCCGCACCCTCCCCATACCCATACCCATGCTTATACTAATACAGCCTCTACTCCCCTACCGAAACGACCCTTGTCATCACCAATCTTCTTCCTAAACATATCCAGATCCTTCAACAAATCGCCCATGAATCCCTGCATTTCACTTGCTCTCTCCTCATGCACTCCAACATCAATAGCTTCATCTTCATCCGAATACTCCTGTTCATAATCCTCTCCTTCCGCAACACTAATGTCTTCATCACCGGCCTTCTTATCCTGCTCTACTCCGTCGTCGTCACCAAAACTTAGGCTGCATAGACTACTGGCTCTTGCACTCTCCACTTTGATTGGATTCTTCAAGCTTTCCAGAGCCAACTTCAAATGTAATCTCAAAGCCTCGTTTTCAGTCGTCAAGTTTCGAATTTTGCCTTCTGATATCATGGTCCTGTCTTCCATCATTCTTTGCATCAGAGCGATTTTGTTCTGGTATTGCTCGAGTTTCTCCTCTTGTGCTTTGGTTTCGGTTTCTTTGCGCGTAGAGTCAGAGTTGGAGACCTGAAGTTGTAAAATGCGAATTTCTTCGGCCATAGCAGCAATTTGAGCATCACGCTCGGCAGCGGAAACATGATCCTGGTTGACGACGGCACGTGTGCGGATGCGTTTGGCTTGATCTGCATAGCGAAGGGTAGACAGAGTTTCGTCATAGTCGGCTGGAGAAATACACGCAATCATCGCGGTTTTACTATTTCCTCCCAATGAATCTTTGAGCAGCCAGGTGAGGATTGAATCTCTATAGGGAACAACGTCTTTATTGCGCTTTCCAGTACGATGTTGTTTTGGATCCGCGAGAGCAGCAATGACACGGCCGAGAGTGGTTAGGGACTTATTGATATTGCTTCCTTCACGTAGACGGGCGCCTGTTGCTTCTGTTGCCTTGGCACGTTCGCTACCGGCGAGATCCACGAGTCGAATTCGGGCCGTACGTTCTGTTGTTTCGTCGGTCTCCATGTCATGATGAATCTGCTTGAGCATAATGGTAAACACACTATGACTTCTGCTACTTGTATCGTTCATCTTGGTACTTGCTGTGGTGCGACTGGCATCTCCCATCTTCATGTATCGCATGATTTCGGAAATATTTTTAACAGGCGCATCGGTCAAATCCTTGATATAAGGTCCTTCGGTGGGGGATTCACGAATCTTAAGGTAATAAGGTGGATGATTTGAGTGGCATGGAACAAGGAGATCTCGGACATGTTCGTTATAGACCTCGAAATAGGAAACACGGACATTATAGGAAATGTTTGGACTTTCATTATGTGCTGCATCGATTCGCTGAAATAGATCCTCGCAGGTCCTTGGAATCAATCCTGGTTGATCTTCCGTGCCCATCATTGTGTAACTCTTTCCTGAACCTGTCTGGCCATATGCAAAAATGCAAGTATGATATCCTTCGAAATTATGATCCAAAAACTCCTCTCCCAAGCTATTGTAAACGTCCTCCTGGTGTGCATAGTGCTCGTCAGATTCGTTGTGACTCCAGAAGGAATTGTCAAATGTAAATTTTTTCTCTTCAATGACTTTGCGCATCTTCGAGCGAGTGTTTGCAGGGTCTGTATCGTTGGGGACAAGGAGGGTGGTTGCTTGTGATGTCGGGTTCATTTCAATCAAACACTCAGCTCCTCTATCAATCTCTACCATTGTCATTAGTAAATTAATTCAGCAATCCTCACTTTCAAGCACTCACCTCGAGGAAGAAATCCTCTAACTCTAACCACAACTCTTACATTTCCGCCCGCATCCCTAGCTGTGGATACAATACTACCTTCCCTTGATCTTAAAGAAGGAGTAGAAGCAGTAGAAACCACACCTGGCATCAATCTCGGATTGAGAGCCATGGCAATTAATGTTTGGTTAATATCAGCAATCTTTTGGCGGAATTGACGTTGTAAATGTGAGTACATGGAAGAAGTACTGTTGAAATCCTTAGGACTGTAAACAAAAAGCAATGACGCAACTTGTTGGCTGGGTGAACCAATGAACAGGGGTTTAGATAGGGAAAAGGATAGAAGCTTCTTTCGCTTCGGTGTTTGTTTTTTGTTTTTGTTTTTGTTTTTGTTTGTTAGATAAATTATCGTCTCAAGTGTAAAATAAAGTAAAGTAAAGTAAATCAAATCTTAAAGATTGTTTACATCCATCCATCATGAAATTTGCGGTTAGTCCCCAATTAGATTAAGCGCTGTGCCACCACAACGCCACGCTTAGAAAATCCCTTCAAATATTTCCCTCGGTGCTTATATCGAAGCCTGAATCCTTCTTCACATGACAGAATGTACCGATAGGAGAGTGTATGTATATAGTATAAAAACTATGTATTGCACTCGCCCGAGGAGCACAACGGCTGTTGTTCAATGGCTGTAGTAGCTAAATGCCGAGTTATGGCATAGCAAGTTCTCACAAGGGGGAGATATATATATTATATCATATCATACCAACAGATATCATTTGCATATTCCGATTTGATATAGAAGCTGATTTGACGGTACATTCATATGGAAATTTGGATGGTGAATTTACCCCCTTCATCAACAATCATTGATGGAAGAGATCTTGTCGTCTATTAGAGCGGCAAATCGCAATCAATCGTCCTGTTCAATGTTGAATCACGAAAGACTCTGTTATCCTCACCACTCCCCCGAGACCATTTCCCAGAGCTGGGAAGGGTACTGTTCTAAGTTCTGCGACATTAGAGTTTGATGTTGCATAGATGAACAATAGTAGAGAAGTTCTGTCATCGAAGCTGGTGTAGTTGGTGATCTGCTAGTGGAAATATATACATTGGATACTAACAGTACATGTAAAGTGGAACGCTCAGGTTGGTAACACATAACACATGAAATGGGTGGTGAATGTTGTCTTGGTGAATTGCTTTTAGCGAATGTTTTTCAGGTGAATGAATTCTAAGTGAATGTAATCTTAGCGAATAATAATGCATAATGATTCTATAAAAGATCGTCCAATTCACTCCAGCCCATAGCCCGAGTTTAAAGATCTTTAAACGCAGATGGCCTTCTAAAAAGCTCATTTCCACCAGAATACCACTCTCGAAAACAGCAGTTCTATCAAATTCATGAATTTTATCCTATCTATGATCTGCCGAAATGAAAGCGAAGTTTCCAAACTCTTTACAGATAGTAAGCGTCTGCATGGCTTGGTTAGTTCCGAGTCAAAGTTATATATGTGTGTTAGCCGCTATTACGAGGAAGTCAAAAATTACATAACCGAGTTTGGATTAGGGGAGAAAGACGTGTATATTTGTTGCTTTATCGAGGAGAAAGATTTCACCTTTTCGAATCAGTGATCATGCTAGATAAAATAATTGTTGCCGTCAGTGTGAAAGATGAATATCGGTGACTCTCGTGTCTAGACTGCCATTCCTTTCGGATGAATCCCATAATTGAACTTTCTTTAGGACTCGACTATAGAAACATCTGGGACGGATGAACGAGAGTCTATGTTAAGATGAATTGCACTTTTGATCAAAAGATTATCCTGCCAAATAGCGATAATGCTGGCCCTTACGATTTCTCTGGAGATTGAAGCTAGATTAACATCGTCTATTTTGACCGAACCAGACTGAACTCTAGAAATAGCTCTTAATGCCGTCTCCAGCCCCATCCAAGAGATGATTAGCATTGCAAGTGCTCGTTCGTACAAACGACATTGACTAATGCCATACCAGTGTCACCATCATTTGTAGAATCTCGCAGCGGCACAGACAAGACTACTACAATGATCGCCAGTACGGCTGTCGGAATATCTAATACGAATGTCAACCATCGTTGAATACAAGCTAGAAGATAGAATGGCTACTGCGAAGTATACATCAGACAAATTCAATCCGCCCTCTTACTATACATCATCTTCAATATTTGGACTTTCAGGTGTTGCATCTTACATGTGAGTCTCATTTTCCCCTCTCTTCCGAAACCTTAGACCAAGCACCCTTAGGACAAGAATTTAGCTTACAATTCATCATTTTTGGCTACTACTGACTGCTATTCTAAGACTCCGGAGAACAGTATGGTTTCCCAAAGGTAGGTCCTCCATATCTTTCTCCAATGTATACGCGTTGAGTTGACCACGGTATCATACTGTATTTGGCAATTCGTCGATATTATCTCAGATTAACATCAGATAAACTAATCGTTCCAGGGAAATTATTTAAGAGAGTAAAATGACTACTAGTACCTCCACGAAGACATATTTTATGGTCCTTTCGACACTCTGCTGCGAAAAAGTCCTAAATGCTCGTAAATAAGGCATTGAGGAGTCCACCGCGACATTATCTGAGGGAAAGTTTCAACTAGCATGAGCTACGACATTCCAATGCATGGCATCACTGTCAATAAGGTGAGCGCCTGCGTAGCCAGTAAAGTCTGATCAATCCTAACCCGGCTAATGATCATTAATAAAGCACAGTTGGGCCTTGCTATACTCCAAGCCAACAAGGTTGTGATTTCTACCAAGCGAATACGTTAAATGCTCGAAGACAAAATTTCAATGAACCCGGATATTTTTATTTCTTTGGCGGAGCTAATAAGCATCGAAGTAGTGATAATTAGCCGTTGTTGAGAAGACTGGGGACTGGTTAGTGGAGGCTTTTCCAAACTCTACGATGGTACGGAAATGCTCCATCTCATGATTATGCATAGGTGCCACGCAATCATTGACCTAATGGAGCAAGCATCTATCTATCCCGACAGAACGGAGCTCAATCAAAACGTAGGGCACAAACCCTGCGTGCTTCACGTTAATCAACACGACTGCAAACAAGGGGGATATTTGAAGCGGTTGCTTGGGCCCTTGAAGCTTGTACTAACTACAGTAGAGGTTCCGTGCAAAAATAATACAGGGTATGGATAGGAGTGATAGGATTATGCGCTTCTATGAAGTACGACTCCTTCGCCCTCTCCTTTCATATGTAGCGCATCCCATTCTCGGCTTTGTGACAAAAGATGATTAATATCTGTGAGACTTCTGTGAGACTTTTTCCACTAGAAATTTGTAGATGAGACAATGTTTAGTGTTTTTGTGTGACTCCTCACACACTTCGTATTTCATGCAAGAGGGAAACTTCGTTTTACTGTTGCTAAATCCCAATGTAAGGTAAGGAAGGGACTTTGCAAATTTGCAGTGAGGTGTTGAAGCTATTTTTATGTTTAGATCATCTGTTGAATAGCTAGCTACCCGAATCATGAAAATGATTCACTACAGAGGATACAAATGGAGTCGTGGTACACAGATACATCACTGGATGACTTGGTGGAACAAAAAGTACTAGGTAATTCTGCTAGATATTGCCCAAAACGAGTCAATGCCTGTTCCGACCACTGTCTAGGGTTGAGTTGAGTGACGATTTTTAATTGTAACTATTCTGCTTTGCTTATAGAATCTCTTATCTCACTTTCTCTATTTGATTGGACAATATTTTGTTGAGAATAGCCGCTACCAGCCGTTTGATAGTGTCCCCAATGTCTGAACTTTGCTTAGACGATAGAAAACCATTGTCCCGGGATATCAGACCATTCTACTCGTATCTCAATACTTGAGTTTAGCGAAACATCAGAACTGCCTTTTCATCTCATACCGGTATATCTTCAATGCTTGCATCTCACTTGTTAATGCTGGAGTTTCTTTGAAGATACTCGAGTAGAATAATATGAGTTTTGAATATTCGAGGTCTGCTGGAACAGGTAGTCATCTCCATATAACTCTATATAAGATAAGAAACTAAACAGCAAATGTTTGAAATGTGCGGACAATCCGCAGTAGTCATGTGAAAAATGCCCGATCTTCGACGGTTAGATCACCTGATCATGATTCACGTCAATGGCGCACGCACCATTCAGCCACCACTTTAAAGCTGTGGAGGAAGATCAAACGCGCCAGCTGATGGATGCAACGAAACATCACAAGGTTCATTATTGGTTACAACTCATCCGATATATTACGTGCTCAAACTTAGTTGTCCCTACCTAGAGCATCTTAGACATACATACATTTCACACTTGCTTCCAGTCTGAAAATTCTTCATCGTTCTTACGTCTTTCGTTGAAGTTATTGCGGTTTCGAACGTATTAGTACCACATCAGGTACTTGTAGTCCTTAGCGAATCTTGTTTTGATGAGCCAACTAGGTTACACAGGTCCAGAATGAAGACGTTTCAGTCTTTCGATATTGATGATGCCAAGGTGGAGGAAAGAAGAAGTCTTCTTCCCAAAACTATTAGACGAACTAAGAGAGTGAAGATTACTAAAGGTTCTCCTGCATGGCCGGGCCTTATTGTTGCTACTGTTTTGTTTGTCTGGTGGACTTGGTTTGTGATATTAGATATAGTTGGATCTAAGGAACCAACTTTTGATGCCGATGATAAAATATATTATGACTTTGAGGAGGTTTGGGGGCTGGTCTTATTTTTCTCATGAACCCTGGTTGGCTGATATATCTATAGATAATACCGAGTGAAAAGCTTAGGTGGTATCCGTGTCATGAGGTCTACGGACCAACTTTCAGTTGTGCCAGGCTCACGGTCCCGATGGACTATCATCGACCACTTAATGAATCGGATGATAACCCTAAAGTTCATATTGCATTAGTCTTGCTACCCGGTAACCATACGGGAGATAGAAATTTCTCCAAGTCACCATTGCTCTTGAATCCCGGTGGGCCAGGTGGTTCTGGCACCATTTTCGCTTTAGTAGCCGGACGTCTGGTCCAGAGCATCGTTGGAGAAGATCAAGATGTCATTGGGTTTGATCCTCGAGGTATCGGAGCAACCACACCACGAGCTGACTGTTTCTCGTATGGTGGCACTTATGATGGGGTGGGAGATGACCAGGCTCGAGGAGACTATCACAGGATCCTCTTCACCGCCACGGGGGCAGGAATTGGGATTGCCAATTCGAGCTCAACGGCATTGCGGCATCTTGATGCACGTGCAAAAACTATGGCGAAATTGTGTGCAGAAAAGGATTCTCTGAGCGGAAAGGATAGCATTTTCCGACATGCGGGAACACCAAGTGTTGCAAGAGATATGCTTAGCATTGTAGATGCGTGGGATGAGTGGAGATTGGATATGATAAAAACATCGCCTTACTATGAACCTGGCGATGTTGATCTTTCTGGTGAGAAGGGCTCTGAAGACGAGTCCGAGGAAGCTAGCCTAGAAACAAAGGGCAAGCTAGTATATTGGGGCTTCAGCTACGGGGTAGGTGCCTTCAACCATTCAGTAGATATTGCTGACTTTGTCCAGACACTTCTTGGATCCACATTCGCAGCGATGTTTCCTGATAGAGTAGGTCGACTTGTGCTGGATGGCGTTGTTGATGCCGATAATTATGTTGCTCCTATTTGGCGAGAGAGTCAACGAGATGCAGATAAGGTTTGGTCGTCGTTCTTCAAATACTGTCAAGAAGCAAAGTCTGCGTGTCAGTTCTACAGAGCCAACGATGAAGTAGCCGATATCGAACAGAGATTCGAGTCTGTTATGAAAACTATAAAAGAGAACCCAATCTCTCTTGTTATGAAGGATACCCAAATACCTTCAATCTTAACCTATTCCGACATCAAATTCATAATCTTCACGACATTATACGGTCCGATGCAAGGCTTTCGATCCGTTGCTGCATTACTTGATGTTCTGGAGCGTAATCTCGGAGATTGGATCGAGTTTGAACCAATCCCTCCGTCATATGATCTCAAGCCTGTTTGTGCACATTCTCAGCCACGGTGGAGTTATCCTGATGATGCACAGCGAGCCATTCTTTGTGGCGACAAGAAGTACCCAGTAAATATGCCAAGGTGTATCTCTTTTTGTAAAGACTAACACACTACATAGCTTAACCAAACATTCTCCGATATTGAAAGCATGTTCGAAGACCTGGCAGCTCAATCAGCATTTGCAGATGCATGGATGACAGTTATGATACAGTGTTCGGGATATAATATCAAAAGCATCGATTCCCCAATGCAATGGGGTGATTATCCAGCACATAGGCAAAAGCCAATTAAGACTGCGTTTCCGTTGCTTTATATTAGCAATAGCGCAGATCCCGTTACCCCATTAATCGCAGGTTTAAAAATGTCAGCAAAGTTTGTGGATGCCGGGTTCTTTGAGCAAGAATCCGAAGGACATTGCACTATAGCTGTGAAGTCCAGATGTACGATCGAGAAAGTTAGGGCATACTTCCGCGAGGGAAAAGTCCCTGACCCTCCTAGACTAGGAGGAAAGGGAACAAACTTGCTCGATGGAGAGTGGGAAAAATGTCCAGCTGATGAGCGGCCATGGCATGAATATCAACCCACTGCCCAGGTAGCAAACGACGATATGGAGGCTGCAGAATTGGGGCGAATGGAGGCATGGGGTGGTATCCGGGATGCTTTTGCACAAATTGATCATTGGGGCGCGAGGGAACTCAGGAGGTTTGAATTTGCATTGTGATTTAGCAAGCTTGATATATATTAGCGCAAGCGGGAGTTTGGTGGGATATACACATAGTTTAATAGAATCAACTAAAAACCATGGAACGTTTGAATCCGTCTAATATCATCCAGAGTTTAAGATTATTGATTAGACGTCATTCCCGGTTGCTATTCCTCCATCGCATTCCCACAGTAGAGAGCGATATCTTCGGGCTTCAACCGGGTGGTTGACTGGCATAACGAGCAGGATGAGGGGGACCCAACACAACAAAACTTACCGGTAATCCGAACCTCATAATTGGTGGAGACTTGATATTTATATATATATTGTCACGTGTGACGTCAATGGGAAGATGAGATTCGAAGTTATAAGTTGTGTATGATGGGGTAGGAATATGAAGGAAACTATTGCATATACTGTTGAAAGGACAAAAGAACAAGACAAGACACTTCAAATCGATGCTAATGCATCGGAAGATCTACTCGTATTCGTACAATCTCCTTCCAAATTAGTTTTCAAGGGATTCTTTAACACCTCAGCAATAGAAGGCCGCACGTACCAACTACGCACTCCACTACGGCGACCTAAACCACCCAAAAAATATTTCGAGAATGGAACCAAAATATTGCCAGTGGCACCAGCATTTGCCCATCCCACTCAAAACTTTCTTTTTCTTTCTTTCCTCCCCATCTTACATTCAAGATGCCGGCGTTTGCGAGATCAATCGTTCCTTTCTTCCAGACAGCACGATCCGCGCTGCGTCAAGGTAATGCTGTCAGTCCTTTACAGCATGCTTTGAGTAGACAAAATGGAGCTGCTGCGTTCAATGTTGCTCGCACATATGCTGCCGCCACTTTCCAGCGCTCAAAGCCGCATGTCAATATTGGTATGGACTCTATTCGATCTGGTTCTGGGTGTTTTCTAATGTTCCGTAGGTACAATTGGTCACGTCGATCACGGAAAGGTACATTATAATCAATGGCAAACCCGTCACTGAGGTAAAAAATGCTGATCAGATCATGGATGTGTAGACCACATTGACTGCCGCCATTACCAAGAGACAAGCAGAGAAGGGATTGGCCAATTTCCTCGATTATGGAGCCATTGATAAAGCTCCCGAAGAGCGAAAGCGTGGTATCACCATCTCGACAGCCCACATCGAATATGCCACCGAAGCTCGCCACTACTCCCACGTTGATTGTCCCGGTCACGCAGATTACATCAAGAACATGATTACCGGAGCCGCCAATATGGACGGAGCCGTTATTGTCGTTGCCGCCTCTGATGGACAAATGCCTCAAACCCGTGAACATCTTTTGCTCGCCCGTCAAGTCGGTGTTCAAAAGATTGTCGTTTTCGTCAACAAGGTCGATGCTCTTGAGGACCCCGAGATGTTGGAGTTGGTCGAGATGGAGATGCGAGATCTCCTCAACACATATGGATTTGAGGGAGAGGAGACGCCTATCATTCTCGGATCCGCACTTTGCGCACTCGAGGGCCGCAGACCGGAATTAGGAACTGAAAAGATCGATGAGTTGATGAATGCAGTCGATACCTGGATTCCAACCCCACAACGTGATCTCGATAAACCTTTCCTCATGTCCGTCGAAGACGTTTTCTCCATCCCCGGTCGTGGAACTGTCGCCTCTGGCCGTGTCGAGCGTGGTGTCTTAAAGAAGGACTCAGAAGTCGAGATTGTTGGAAAGGGAGACCAAATTCTCAAGACCAAGGTCACCGACATCGAGACCTTCAAGAAATCCTGCGACGAATCCCGTGCAGGAGACAACTCCGGTCTCTTGCTCCGTGGCATTAAGCGTGAAGACATCAGACGTGGAATGATAATTTCCGCCCCCGGAACTACCAAAGCCCACACCAAATTCCTCGTGTCCATGTATGTGCTCACCAAGGAAGAAGGAGGACGCCACACCGGTTTCCACCAAAATTACCGCCCACAAATTTTCATCCGAACCGCCGATGAAGCCTCTGCTCTCCACTGGCCCGAGGGAACTGAAGACGCCGATTCCAAGATGGTCATGCCAGGTGACAACGTTGAGATGCAGTGCGAGATTGAGAAGCCTTGCGCCATGGAAGCTGGTCAACGTTTCAACATCCGTGAGGGAGGAAGAACTGTCGCTACCGGATTGGTTACCAGAATACTCAAGTAAATCATCCAATCAATTCCTTGCTGTACGGAAGGAAGGCTAGCACGGAATGACGTGCAAAGTGTACGAAATGGGAGACAAGGGGGGACATGGAAAGGAAAAATCACAGCGCAAATGCAATAAATGCAATGTGCAACGGAAATGAAAGGGAATGATGGAAAATTAGGATGGGACACAAGGGAAGATTGCAAAGAAACACAGCTTTCATTGTATTATTTGATTGATGAAAAGGGAGTTTGTCCATTCAATACTACACTACATGTACATTTATAACCACCTTTCCTCCTTTCTAGGTAGAGTTACAGCAGTCGTAGCTGGGTGGCGTTTTAGCGAAAATGCAAGATAGAACTCCTCTCATTTTCATCTTGGTGATGGTTTGTTTTTGGTGCACCAATGGTATATTGTACTCACAATATGCAATACATCTCGATGTTCGGGTACGGTATTCGGATATGTAAATACTTCTCACGATACTGATGATGAGCTATCTAGCCTTAGAACAGATCGACATGGCATGGAATTCCTACTTTCTGATGTCACTCTGTACCATTTCCGCTTACTTTATCATATGTATGGCTGACCATGTATGCATGCCTCTCCAATTTCAAAAGACCAAATACGTGACATTGCTCATGCGCAAGCATCGCTCTCATCATCATATTCGTCCTCAGCATCAGCCATATCATCAGCATCATTAATCGGATGCAGGTCCCCTTCCCTCACTCGCTCAAACAATGGTATCTTGTTTCTCTTCCCTCAACGATCTTAACTGCACTTCGAAATCTTTCTCTACCCATTCAAAATAGGTTCTCCATGTCTGATATTGACTGCCCTGCACACCCACACCTGTACTTGCTGCTGGGATTCGAGCATGAAGATTCAGTGTCGAGCGAAGAGTGCTCTTGACTGCCTCATCTTGTTTCTCGACTTCTTGCTTGACAGCTGTATCCTTCAATTTGATTGATAGAGTAACGCGGAAGCAATCTGCAATCAGGTCGAGACGTCGAGCTGTCTCATCGGGATCCAGAACGACCAATTTGTTCAACATGAGATTGCAAAGAGCTCGGATATCATGCTCATCCTTCAAACCGGCGATGATACGATCGTAAAAGTCAAGAATGTTCATACGTGAGAATGCTGTCTCCATAAGAGCATATAAAGTCTCGTATGCACTCTATAGTCTATATTAGCAATGCACGACTGCAGCTATGATATGTTTCTTACCTTTCGGACTTCCAGACCATCATCAACCTTGTGTTTGAAAGGTCCCATCATAACCTCACGAATCAAGTCTTCGTTGATCACCGATTCATTCATAACAAGAGGAAGTAATTGACTAAGGTTTGGGTTAATGAGATCTGGCTTGTTGTGAGCAGCAGCGTTCAATGTAGTTAGCGCCAATCGACGGTTCTCCAACTCAGTATCAGTCAGCATGACCTTGAGCATATCGATCAACATTATCCTCAACACCGAGTCGAGCGAATCATCACTATCAGATAAGGTAAAACGAATCGCTTGGATAACCATGGCTCGGATCGAGGCAGATGGGTTTACGAGGTAGCCCTGTAAATTCATTAGCGGATGCACTCAATACCTTTCAATGGCAACCAACCTTTAGTTGTGGCATGAACACTCTGGGATCAATCATTGTCAAACGGCCAATACACTCTGCACCAATAGCCTTGTTATCCTCGGCTTGGGAGGCAGCAAGCAATCTTTCCCAAAGAGAAGTAGTGTGCTTGGTGATGGCAGTAGGACTGTTGCCAGCCTGCTGAAGTATTTCCTTGATAGAATGTAGCAGTAAAAATTCGTTTCCGCCTTTGATCATATTTAATATCTCTGGAAGATACAAAGATATGTTTCCAGCTCCTGCACGTCCCAATGCAATTGCTGCAGCAAGAGGAACTTTGTCATAGGTGGAATTGAAACGAGCTGTGAATGTGGATGGCTTCAACGGCGACTTTGTTCCCAGTTGCAATCCAGCTTCTCCGAGAACAGCCAAGGCTAAGCATTGTTTCGCCTCATCCGAAGAAGAGTTTTGTAGTTCGCCCAAGAAGTTGTCCAGTGTTACACCGACTGAAGATCCTCCGAATACCAAAAGTGTGCCAATAGCTTTGCCTACAACCGTTGAGTCTCCACCAGTACTAACATCCCTCAACAAACCAGACATCAAAGGTTGACCAACTCCCTGTTTGCCGATATTAGCGACCAAGAGAAGGACTGCATCGAGTACAGCGCCACCTAATGTTGAGGTCAACAATCCACACAGAGCAGAATTCAACTGATCGGTTACAACAAGCTTCGCTTCATCCATGACCAGATTAGCCAATACTAGTAGTGCTGGACCTAGAAGATGAAGATCAACTGTCGTCAAAAGCGGCAGAAGCGCATCGATAAGACCTTGAATGGTCGGTGCGTCGAGAGAGCTTCTAGCTGCGGGAGAAACAATGAGATTCTTCAGAGCACCGAGACTTGCCCCGCGAAGCGATCTGTTGGCCTTTCGGAGTTGTGCAGCAAGTTCAAGAGAGACGTCTCGAATCCATGTCGGTTGGAGCTGGTCTTTGGCGGTTGAACCAATCTCAAGTGAACCAACTGCAATAGTATCGATAGCTCTTACAGCAGCAAGACGAGTGGTTTCATTTTTAAGTCTATCACTGAGCATGCTGAGTGCGGCATCTCGGTTGGCTTCTGTTAGAAGCGATGAACCTTCCGGGCTAGCTGTGCGAGCGAGCATGACACCCAGGGCATGTATAGCACGTTGCCGGACTTCAACATCTGCATCGGTAGCAGATACACGGTCAACTATCACTTGGTATAATCTCAGAATTTCTCCTTGCTGAGTTGGTTTGATCGACTGCGATCGTGGAGGTGTCAAAGCTTTTACAAGCTGCTCAGCTGTTCCGATAGCCGCACTAGAAATCTTATAAAATCTATCATGCACAGCTGACGCTACGCATGGGATAATTTTAGGTAGGAACGGCTGTAACACGCTCGAAGAATGGGTTTGTGAAATATCGCCTAGTAACTTAAGAGCAGCAATTCGCAAAGTATTTGCAGTTGCCGAGGCAGCACCGCCACTAGTAATTGCAGTAGACGATGATCCAGATGGTGTCTTAATGGAATCCACGATAGGGTCCACAAGCTGACTGAAGTGTTCGGAGAGCCCTCCAACCTGTACTGAAACCATCCCATCCAGTAAATTTATGAGAGCTTGCTTCGTTGGGATAGAGCTTGTCTTCAGTAGTCTCACTATGGCTTTTACAATCATAGGGGTCAATTTTGCCAGGTCTGCCCGGGGCCCAGAAACAGGAAGCGGCTCAATAGTTGGTGATGTCAGACCAGCAGATCTCGAAATAAAAGTTTTCGTATCAAAGGTAGCTGATCCACTACTCTCTCTTCTACGCTTTCGACTCGGAGGTGCTTGACTCGCGTAACTCAAAGATTCATCTGACGAGAAGTCATTTAGGACACCTTCACCAGTTCTCCCAATCAGAGATGCCATAGTAGCGATAACTTCAAGTCGAACATTCTCCTCGCGTTCATTGAATCTCTGGATAAGGGTGGGAGCGACTTGAGCGTATAAAGTTCCATCCTCAAGTAAATCACCACTGCCTCTGGTTGAAATCAAAGTGTAGAGAGTTTTCGCAGCACATCTTCGGACTTTCCAACTTGCGTCGTCATCGTCGTCGTCAAATCCAGCGTCTGCCTCGAAATCATCGTCATCGTCGAAATCAGCCATATCATCTTCATCGGGTTGAGTTCCTCCCATTTCATCGTCGTCGTCATCGTTATAATTTGGATCATACTTCAAGAATCTGAGAGCTGCTGCGATTGTTTCTTCTGTATGAATTCGCATTTCTGTACCACAAGAAGCCAGAAAGCCATCCAGTGCCACAAGTGCGGACTCCCTCACATCATCCATTTCAGGATTACTTTCGCCATCTTCGGCAGAATTTTCCAGCTGCTCTTGAAGTTCTTGCTCGCTCAGTGCAGAAAGTACAAATGGCGCCAGGGTCTTCAAATAAGGACCGAATCTAGAGGGTATTGATCGAGCCATTGACCCGAGAATAGTAATGTACAAACGTCTTTGTACAGAGGTGAGGTGCGGATTGCGAAGACACTCGATAATATGAGATACAAATCCACTGAGATCGGAATCCGTCAAATACATAGCAAGTAGAGACACAGCAACTACAGCCCGCTTTTTGACGACAGAGTTAGCTCTTTCGGTTTCTAGGATACCGACAACCAAGTTTTGTAGTGCTTCAACTTCTGCGTGTTGCAGTAGAGGGCCAAAGCATCTTGCAACTTCAATCAGAACATCGACAGAATCGGAGTCGATTTCGGGATTTGTGGAAGGGTCGAGCATTCCCGGTGGAGGGTTCGGAAGGTCTTGGCTTCTGGCTGGTTTTTGAGAGACTATACGGCCGACTAATCTTGGGATCAAAACCCTGCTAATGGCAGAGTATGCTTCGAGAACCTCCTTGGAGGGCGCGATACCACTGACGGGTCTTGGGAGAGTGACAACCACTGTTCGCAGAGCCATGGCAGCTATTGAGTTATCGACCGAATTTTCAGTTGTCAAAGTCGAAAGTCTCTCAATTAGAGGAGCAATTATGCTACCGGGTAACTTTGTGACAAGGGGACCAAGACTTATTAGGTCAGTTAAGTTCGACTTAAATCAAAGGAAATTGGCAGACGAACCATTTGATGGCCAAGTTTTGTACCTCTCCATTTTGATCATCCAAGGTTCTGATTATACCATCCACCGTCTTTGCAGCTGTACTATAGTCATTGTGGAGGAAGTCCGCCTTTCCAACCGTCAAGACTTGATAAAGATCATTTAGTGACATGAATCTATAATCAGGATCCACATCATGAAGCTTTGGTAGCAAAGATGCGACGGTTTGCGAGGTCGGATTCGTTGTTATAGAGTTAGAAGCCATCGTCGCTGTAGACCGGCCAGCCCGATGATGAGAAGAAGGAGAGGGATATGCGGCAAGGAATTATTGTGATAGTATCAGACTATCATCTGCCTGTTGGAGAATCTGGTAGTTGTTTGTTTAAATTAATATGCGGCGTGGATAGAAAGAAGCCTTGAGAGAGAGGGAGGCACGGCTCAGTTAGCTTAGAAGCAAGAAAGGGAAATTAGAAATAGAAAATGGGAACAGAATATCTTACTCGGAAAGGTTTATTGAAGTTAGGTATTTAGGGACAACACAGTATCGATAAGTGTTGATGGTTCGCGATGTTATTGTTTTGAAAGTCGAATTATATGATAATCCCCCCACCCACCAAGCTCATCGGTACAAGTACCGGCCGGTATGGCATCGGTGGGGGAATCAAGCTATCTATTGGCTGAAAGAGGACCAACCAATCAAGCTTTGAGTTATAGCTGCCTCAGGTATTAAAATAAAAATAATCGAAGCTCCACCAAGCTTGCTCCAGATGGGGAACTGGCGTGATCTTGTACCAACTGCCAGGATTTTTCGGATAAACCCAATTCAATCATTTCATCGTTTACCTCAACCTGTACGTTCTCTCTTTACTCCTACACATCAATTGATGTGTGCTTGATGTACACTTGATCCTTTCAAGCTTTTATTTTCCAATTGTATTTTTACTGATCAAAGTCTATTAGATTACCTAAATCTTGCTCCTAACAATCTTATCCCCCTCCGATAATGGCATTCTCACGATCAGCTATTTTGCGCGGAGTGCGCAACTTCCGAGGTAGACCAAGCGTAGCCCGCCCTCAGGTCAACCAAGTCGCGAGAAGAACCTATGCCAGTGGAGGTCATGAACATGCAAAGGCAGGTGGTGATGCCATCTGGTAAGTGTCAATTTGTCCTTGTTTTTGAGGGAACTGACTAACCAATACGTCATATTTAGGGCTGCCGGAGCAGTAGCTGTTACTGTCCCAGCATGTTGGTTTTTGATCGCAAACAAACCGGAATCTCACGGTCATGAAGAGCACGGTGATAGCCATGGCGATGCACATGCCGAGGAGCATGAGGAAGAGGAAGAGAAGCCCGAAGAGAAAGAAGATGATAAGGCAGCCGAGTCCGAGGAGAAGACTGAGGATAAGACTGAGGAGAAGTCAGAGGACAAGGAAGAGCCAAAAGAGTCCGAGAAGTCCGATGAATCCGATAGTGATGACGAGGCTAAGGAACAAGACACGCCAGCTACCTCTGACGACGATAATGTTGTAGGAGAAACCGACAAGAACGTTCGCAAGTCAATTCCCGATGCAAAGGGTGGAAATAAAGCTCGATTGGAGAGCAAGGCGGCTATCACGCAAGGCGAGGATAACTCAGAAGCAAAGGAGGGAGAACCATCGGACAAGGTATGCTGCTGCGAGTTGTAGGATCATATTCGAAGCTGACATGTTATTTCTAAGGCTGCTGCGTCAAAGAAGCCCCAAGGCAGGAACTCTCAATCTGGCAAACAAGAAGGCCTTTCAAATACCGATACAAAGCACTCCACCGATATCAACAATGACCCAACCAAAAGCAAAAAGGGTGAAGGTGCCCCCGAGACTGCCAAGGTCAAAGGGACCGTCGACCCAAACCGTCCCCAGGTATAATCTAATTTTAATTGGAAATTATGGAACGGCTGCGCATCCTCAATGCTCCAAGCTCACGAGAGATACAGTCCTTCGTTGGGAGGATATGAGCTATGCTAACGATAATTCCAGCCCGAAGAAGAATCCGACTCTTGAATATGCAAGTTCATGGTCATGATTTAGACACAATAATGTGCCGTGTGCCTTGTCGTAATTGTACATAATGTATCAAAACTCTTCACAAAAGCGTGATGATGGATTTTTTATTGAACGTCATGGACTGCAGTTCTTGTTTCTACTTTTCCTTCCGCAATCTTGTGTTCCAGTAATGACTTGACACCAATGTCCAAGTTGGGCGACCATGTACTGAATAGCAACCCCTGACGGATTTGTGTCAAATTGAAGGACGGAGGGGTCCTGAAAATGAAGACGATTATTGAATATTGATATTTTGGAATCACAAGAATTATTCATGATCAGTGACGATAGCAAGCCAACGTTCAAGTAAAACTGGTATCCCAAATCCCGAAGCCGATTTCTAAGGTTCAAGATGAGAATATGGGAGTTGAGGGTCATAATACTACCTAGGTAAGTTATCTATGAGATCTGGAAAGTGTCAACGGGTGGAGTGGTAAACAAGATGGAAGGAGCGACAAAGCTCCAATGTTCCTAGCGATGTGTATTTTTACCCCTCCACTTGCTTGCTTACCTACCTTTACAAACACCATCAAAATTATTATCTTTGGCATTGAATCATTACTACCATCAGTGCATCGTAAGTCAATGCCTCTACAATACCATCGAGTACTGTCACTAACATAAGCAATGGATAACAGGCTCATTCATTCATAGATATTATTTTGTTGAACATGACAACTCGAAGGGAAAAGAGAAAGGTGACCAAGAATCCACCAGTAACAAGATATAATCTAGATCCAACTACTCCCGTCCATCGACAGTCACTCGCGACGACTCCTGCTATGGTTGAAAACAGGCAGCCCGAATCCACTCCTCAAATACGTTATGCCATTCCCGATCAACCACAAAGACCTGAGCCATCCTTAAACAGAAACAAGTCTGAGCATAAAGGGCAAAGCGATTGGCTGATTGGTTTCTGCCATCATCCAGTTGGTGATCATAACACTGTTTTCGCCGGAATATTCGCTCCTTGTGCTCTATATGGAAAGACTCACTGGCGGCTGAAGAATGTATCTCTCGGTCGAGACCCCCATGACTTCAAGCCTTCTGATGGTTGTAACTCAATGTGCTGGATACATGCTGCTCTGACACTTGCTTGTTGTCTATCAGGCAAGTATATTCTCAAGTCATGGCCCAAATTACCTCTGCTAACCTGCGGAATCAGTCGGTCTTACTGTTATACAGCGTGCCCGAATACGTGCTCAGTACAGGATCGCCGGGTCAGTGGGGGATGATGTTGTGAAGGCATTATTTTGTGGCCCATGTGCCATGATGCAACATGATCGAGAGGTGCGTGCTAGAGAAGGCGATGTAGGGCTAGTGAAGTCTTCCGACCAAATGTCTCAAACTCAGCCCAAATCACCGCAGCCAATGAAATATCCCTTACCACGAGCCACTTCAGCCGAAGACCCTGGAGTAGAATCCAGGATATTCAAGCAAGAACCATCTCAAAAAGTACAAAAGCGTTCTGCAAAGTCCGAGCTTAAAGAAATCCCTGCTGAAGCGATACTGAGTGCTGGCGAATTAAGTAGCCAATACACTCGAGAAAACGAAATGGAGGCAGTAAGTAATCTTATTTTCATGCAGAATCATAGGAATACTATCAACGCTGTCAATGCTAGCGCAGGTGTGGGAAACGTAGATGGCTCTTCATCTTCAAATCAGAGAACCAGAGTGGGCTGTAATAGAGATAGTCTTGCCAGCCTTACAAATTGTAGTACATTTGTAGGTGAGCTGGATTCATCAGGATCTTCGGAGGACGAGGATGATTTGAAAGGTTGCGAGAAGCTTTCTAGGATGCCAGCAAGAGGACACCTCTCCTACGTTCATGACTTCTCTGATTGTTCCGCTACCATGACTGTTTTGGATCATTATGCGGAGGAAGAGAGGGCTTTTCGAGAGGATGGAACCATCCGCTGTCTCGTCCACTCTGGTGAGACAAATCCTAACAAACCTGCCTTGAATGTTGTTACTACACGGTCGACAAGATCTTCTAGTTCAAGCACGATTCGGCAGCATACCTCTCAAGAAGATGCCGTTGAAACATTGTGTTCGGAGCCCGTCAACCAGAATCGAATTTCAAGCTATTCCGTTGTACCTAGAAAGTCGTCTAGTATACGGGACTCGTTGAGACAAAACCGACTAGCAAGCTGTCCAACTATACCCGGGATGTCCACTCTTGGCACATCTGCAAGCTCAGTCAAAAAAGATCGCATGCTGAACTGCACTGTCGAGACAGCACCTCCATCGAGCTCGTCTTCTTCGGTCATGCAATATGACATCTCAAACTGTAAATCGGACATCATGGATGATTCTAACCCCTCAACTCCTCTTATGCAGTACTCCCAATACTGCCATCTTTTGGACGAGAGTACTCTCGTATTCGACTCGCCTATTTCTAGATCACCATCGAAATCTCGAGCTTTCAGTTGTACGGCTCTCAGCCCTGTTGCTGCTCGTGAACAACACCCTTTGGCAGATTGCTTTAACGTATCTGGTGACTTGAGTCCTGCTTCTGTCAAACAGCATCGTGTCTCGAGCTGCTGTGCTTCGATTCCGTCTGGTAGTATAAATACAAATGAGGGGTATGGCTCTCATATGTTAGATGACTGTAACTTCACGACTGAATCTTCCACGCCTATTCCTAAAAAGCAGCATAGGTTGACGAGCTGTACGGTTGACGACTCTTCGTCTAGTCGTAAAAGTTCGTCGGCGATGGCCTACTTGATGGAAGATGGATGCCTGCTTTCTGGAGCTGCCAGTCCTTTCACGCAACATCGTGTTGCAAGCTGCGGCGAAATCAGTTCCGCATCGAGTGGTCGGGCCAGTGGTGGGAATTTGATAGATATGAAGAATGAATTTGAGGATGGTTGTATGTCATCGGGATCATCAACTCCTAAGATACGTCAGCATCGGGCAGTAAGCTGCATCGCTCCTAGCACCATTGCTGAATGCGCGGAGCATTTACTTGACGATTGTGAGTACGATTCTAATTTAGCCAGCCCACTTCTGCAACACAACATCACAGGCTGCGACACCACTTCGGTAGCAGAAGAAGAAAAGGGACGTTGGTTGGAGGATTGTGCAGCAGATTCTAGCCCTTCTACTCCACTCCGACAGCACCGTATTGCAAGCTGCGTCGTTTCTAGTCTTTCAAGCAACAGAGATTCCGTGGTAGAACAGCACAGATTTGTTAGTTGTCCTGGCATCATACCAGATGAGAGTAGTAGATCACCGGACAGATCCCATGATTCTCATCATCTTTCCCATGGCATCCTCGTCGACACCAGTGAAAACGATCAATCCACTCACACGAATTACGAAGATTGTCTACACAATCTGGACGAATGCATTACTCCAGCTGATAAAGGCAAGATGGAAGCCCATGCAAGTCGAAATACCGAGTATGAGAAGTATAGCATGAAGGTTGCTCATCACTTCCACGATCAAGCTATTGAGTTCAATGAGAAGTCCGCTCAAGGGGAAGAGACTCGGAGATCGGAGAGTGATTCTCAACCCACGCTCGCTCAATTTCTTTCCGTGGACGAAGAGAACAATCTCAGAAGTGTTACTCAAATAGACGGAGATGGAACCATGAGCATAGCTAGTCGAAGCAGCATTGTACCCCCCACACCTTACTCATCACCTGCCGCACCGTACTCCCCACCCGCTACGCCTTTGAATATCTGCGGCGCTTATCCCTTCACACCCATCACGCCTCTGAACATTAACAAAGATAAGAAGAGAATACCATCAGAGCAAGATTCGGCCGGAAGTGGATTTGCTAGCTACTTTGGATTTGGTAGCTCGAAGAAGACACAAGGCTTGTGAGTGGCAACTTGGAAGCGATCATCTGAAGACTCTTGGGGCGCTGACATACGTATAAGAGTCAATGGCGTCGGTGGCAGTAGTATTAAAAGAGGAGGAATTGGGAGTTTAAGTAGAGGCAGGAATCTGGTACTGGATGAGTCGGTGCCGGTGGAAGAAGTGGAGCTGGACGAAATTTTGTTTAGAGCAAAAGGGCGGGGATGGAAGTAAAGGTGTAATTATCGTTCGTTATTGGTGATAGGGTATATATAGTATTCGATCCATTCCATTCTTTGGTTCCTTTGGTTCCATTATGTGTTTGGTGAAGGGGTATGAAGAATCCATAAAATAACTTTTACTGTAGTCTTTTAGGAGAAGATAAGAGTACCGCAATAAGATAAGTCCATTCATGGTTACATTATATCGTCCAACTTCCATACTGTAGTATCTTTTATCTTTTGTATACATATATGAGGAGGTTGGAAATGGAAAAAATTAGACGGGACTCTATATGCAATGCATGACATAACCTAGTATGAGTAGATAGTAGGTACATACATACATACAGACAAATAGACAGATAGATCCATTTGTATATCTGTCACACACACAAACATGTGTATATGTATATGTATATGTATACCTTGCATACCTAGTTAGTACCTAGTAATTATTACCTATTACTTATTACTGTACCTATTACCTACTTACTTACCCCATATTGTACTCGAGTACTCGAATATTGCATTGTATTGCTATGCCACAATCATACTTACACGCATTTGGATTTGGGATTTATATCACGGATTTATATCATGGTTATGTATGTTCTTATTTACTTTACATTACATTACAATACTTTATTTCAAATACAGTACTCGAGTACATGTTGTTTTGAATTTATATGAATTAACTCATAGACCCATAGATCCATCCATAGCATCTATCTAACCAACATAACTAACATAACTAACATGAAAAAAACCTTGGTATTCTTTTTCTTATTACATTTACATTTAAAAATTGAATTCTTGCCTCCTTCCTGGTCTGCCTCCCGGTGAGTCCGCCCCTGCCCTGCCCTGCCTGCCCTGTGGTGTGCCCGGTTTACCTACCCTGCTTGTTTGACTTTGTCCTCCTGTGAAACAAACAAACGATGTGATATGATATGATGTGATACTGCTGTGCTCTCCCCTACTTCGAAGAAGAAAATCTAGACGTTGTGTTGTTGACACTGGCACTGGCAGTAGCAGTGCCGATTCAAGATACGTAAACTAGTAGAATGTAGAATGTAGAGAGATAAAATTACAGAATTTCTTTCCCCCCCTCCCCGCCCCCAAGTCTCCTTGCCTGCATGCCAGCCTGCCCAATGGTTTGAGGTGTATGATGTATGATGTATGATGTATGATGTGAAGTTGCGAATAGTTAGTTGCCAGATTTCTAAAATGATCTGGTGTGGTGTGATGTGTAGGTTTCTGGCTTTCCTGTGTTTTGAAAATGTATGGCTTCCGTAAGTGTGGGAGATGTTGAATTATTGGTAGTTGATGGAGAAGTTGGTGGTTGCACAATGGAGGAAGAGAATGGTGGTCGCGAAAACGAGGGTTATGGTTGGCGGAGAGATTGTTGGAGGGATAGAGAAATGAAGTGTGCGATTTGGTATAAAGGGAGTCTAACCGACGGACTGGTAAAGGAGGAGAGGTTCGCCGACATTTTCGATTTCAGGAATTGTACATTTGAGGTCGAAGGCTTTTGAGAGGACAATCTTGAAGATCTGCAGTGGAGAATTTGTTAGTTGATGATTCAACATTTAAGTAATAGGGGATCGACCACGAATGGCTATAAAGGAATGAAGTGTGAATGGTCTTGCCTTTTGAACGTTGATGCTATGGCTTGTGCTACTGAAAATCAGACTTGCGCGCATTGCTTTTGCGAATCTTCGAGCCTAATGTCACTTCTGTTAGCATGTCTCAAAACGCAACAAAATCGAAATTCGGTGGAACAAACCTGATTCGAGATCTCCTCTTGGTCCTCTCTCGGAAAGTTCACAAAATGATCATATTTCGTTCCAACCAAAAACGGAATCGCCGTCTTATTGAACCCTCTCCCCTGCCTGTACCATTCCTTGATACTGTTCAATGTACTCTTTCTCGTCAAATCAAACATGAATAGTATCGCCACGGCATCATTGCAAACAAGCGGTAACATATTCACAAACTCCCTCTGTCCTCCCAAATCCCATATTGAGAATGTGATCTCGGTGTTACGTATGGATATAGTTTTCTCCATGAAATTAACTCCCAGGGTTTGGATATAATCTTCGTCCCAACTACCTTCTACATATTTGACCATTAAGGAGGTTTTGCCGATTTGTGCATCCCCTACCATGCCGACTTTGATGACAACACTATTCTTCGAGCCCCGTTGTTGTTGCTGTTGTTCCGTAGTAGCACTCGTACCTGAACCCCGTGAATTTTGTTCTTGGTATGCATTGCCATAGTTGCCGTTTCCCGATAAACCAGAAGCTGGACGTGAGAGTGACGCAGGGAAGGCTGTGGGAGGAGTGGGATATCGACCATTTGTCGGATCTTCCTGTGGAGGTGACGCAGGGTATTCTTGTGGATATTGTGATGGGGTTTGGAAATCTGCAGATGCAGAGGATGCAGATGCAGCATGTCGGCTGTTGTGTGTTGGCGTATGTGCTCTCTCCTCCATTCCACTCATAGCATCGTCTTGAGGTGGGTCGACTCCCTGGTTCTCGTATGCGATTTCGCCGTCCATCGAGTCTACTGCGTCGTGAAATTGAGCGGGAGAGCTCACTGAGAAATTCGAGATATCCAGTTTGTCGGTTTTATGGGCAATTATGAGGATGAATTTGTAAGGTTAGGGCTGCTTGAAAGGGTGAGATCTCGGATTGGCGGCTGAGAGAAGGAGATCAACACTGGGATGTTGTGGTAGATCATCCACGCTTGATTGTAGTGTAAGTTATTTTGATAATCGAATATCATACAATGAGTATAACTGTCGTAGATGATGATGATGATGATGATGATGAAAACAAAGATGAAGTCAAGATACGACTACCTAGTAAGATTCACTGAAAGATTTGTATGGTATTTGTTTGGATGAAAGTGAAGTTATTCGGAGAACAGAACATCCAGGGGGTTCTTATAACCTGGTACAAGGTAAAATATCAGGCGGTGGTTCGGCGCTTGGGCGTGCAAACCAGAACAACCAGAGACAACTCTCAAGACTTCTTCTCTATATCAACGAAGTTTTATTTATGTTTATAATATCAAAAGGATGAAAAAAGTTAATACACGTCGACGAGTACGCGTGTGAATTGCGTATGAATTATGTGTGAATTTCTCGTCTTATCAAATTAGGAAAAGTACAATTGATATGATATTGAGTCTCTTCCAGGTGGGGGTTTCATTCGATGGGTTCGCGATGGGCTTACTGTACCTATTTGAAAGAGCCTGATTGTCGGGTTTACTTTGGTACTATTTACTACTCCGATTGGTTCAAGCTAATTAATATTTATATAAACAATCCTTATTTTTATTATCTCACACCTCTCTCACACCTTACCATGATTGATTGATTGATTGATTGATTGGAGTTTGCTTAACTAAAAGCTCAACTCCACGCCAAATTTCGACCCCTCAAACATCATTTACACATACAACAATGGCATCAATCGCACGCAGTTTAAGGCCATGCGCCTCAAAAATTACATCCAGCATGGTTAAGACTGTTCCACCATGGGGATCTTCATCTTTTGGAGCTGTTCGGGCTTTCTCAGTATCTAGAGCTGGTGAGTTCATCTTCTTATCCAAAGCGCTCCAACTTATCGTCCTCTATCATGGAGAATTCATGCGCAGACGCAAAGTGAAGATATTGAGCAATTGTCCTTGCCTACGAGACATGCTTAAAGGAAGCTTTGGCATATTTACTTCTGTATCTATATATATATCAAACATGGGCACATTCATTGAAGTTCAATTCCTACCAATATCATACTTACCCGTTCTAACATTCTCTCTCCTCAACCGCAGCTTTCGCCAAAAAATATACCAAAGACCACGAATGGATTCAACTCTCCTCCGACAACAAGACTGGCACGATCGGTATCAGTGACTATGCCGCAAATGCTCTCGGTGACGTCGTATTTGTCGAGCTTCCAACCGTCCCCGTGGATGTCGGTGCCGGTGATGCCATTGGTGCTGTAGAGTCTGTCAAGAGCGCATCCGATATCAACAGTCCTATTACTTGCAAGATCGTGCAATCTAACAAGATATTGGAGGAAACACCAAGCACTATCAATAAGGGTCCTGAGGACGAAACCACCGCAGGAGGCTGGTTTGCCAAGGTTGAGATTGGAGAGCAAGGAATCAAGGATTTAGAGGGGTTGATGGATGAGAGTGCTTATAAAGCGTTTACCAAAGATTCGGGAGCGTGAGGGGTATCTGGATTGGTATATGATAGGAAATGTGGGCAAGATTGCTGCATGTATGGGTGGGACATAGATGGTGGATTCAACTCAACATTGATGAATGTATATTTGGGAATGGAGTTTATTCAACAAACAGAAAAGGGTTGAAGTGGAATAATATTGGATTAGCTACATACTTATATGTATGCAGCCTTTAGTCTCCTCTGAACATACTCGGAGAGGCTATGGATGGTCCAGCCAGCTGATCTATGTAAATTTCATTTTGTGTAGCCATGTCCCCATGAGAGGGAGTCGTTTTCGTGTTTATTTATGCATTACCACCCTCTTTGATGACGGGACGATTGAGGTTAATAGCCTCCAGTATCTTGGCAGCACCCTTGCTAACCAAATCTTGAGAGAGATTCCAACCAAACTCATCGGCATCCTTTGGTGTTAAGATCTCCTCCAGTTTTTCGGCTTCCACACACTCTGAGCCGTCAAGACTAATAACAACAGCCTTCATCAACAATTTTCCTTTTTCAATCCAGGTCGTCTCAACTCCAATTGGTACACTACAACCACCCTCCAACGTTCTCATCAAACTTCTCTCTGCCAATCCGGCCAACTGAGTTGGTTCATGCTGTAATACAGAAATCATCTTGTTGATATCCTCGTCGCCATCTCTAACCTCCAAAGCTAACGCACCCTGTCCCACTGCATGCAACATGCCCCCACCCTCCGTCTTACTATCCAAATACTGCGTAATCCTCTCTCCCCAACCCATCCTCAGTAGTCCTGCCGCCGCCAAGACCAAACACGCATACTTCCCATCATCCGCATCCAACTTATTCAACCTAGTTCCAATATTGCCCCGCGCGTTCTCAAACTTCAACTCGGGATACTTCCTCGCGATCTGCGCACTTCTCCTCACACTACTCGTCCCCACTACACTTCCAGCCGGTAGCTCCGACAAACTCTTATAACTACTCCCAGCCTTCATGATCAACGCATCCCGAGGATCTTCTCGTTCAAGAATTGCGCCAATTGTACAATTGTTCGGTAATTGCGTGGGCATATCTTTCAGACAATGAACCACAATATCCAACTTCCGTTCCAACAACAACGCCTCCAGTTCATGCGTCCATAAACTCTTAGCGCCAAAATCATGCAAGGCGGTTACTTGATTCTTGTCGCCCATCGTTTCCAATTTGGTGATCTCAAAGTTTAAATGCGGATGAGCTCTCTCGAGCGCAGCTTTCACTAGCTCCGTTTGCACCATGGCGAGTGCGGATTTGCGGGTGCCGATGTGGATGGTGGCTGGTTTTTCATTTTGGCCTGTTTCGCGTTCGGATTGGTGGTCTAGGGCGCGGAGGGGTACAGTGTCTTTGGAGGACTTTTCTTGGGTACTGGTGGTGGGGTCGAGGATGGAGCGGGAGGAGGTGGATGCTTTTTGTTCGTGGGTTGCCATTTTGAATTCGGGGTGTATTGAAGGTAGCTGATGTTTTCAATGTAGATTTGGGGTTATTGGGGTAGAAAGAAGTAGAGATGTGGGTTGAGAAGTAGAAGTAGAAGGGAAGCTGGATATAGCTCCTTCGTAGTGGGGGTATTTCGAGTAGCTTGGTGAGCTTATTGCTCACTACTCCGTAACCTTAGACCCCTCATTGCCGCGAACAGGCGAACAGGGATGCACGTCGCACAGTAATCTATCTGATCGGTTCCACAACAAGTGAATCTTGCCCAAATGAAATTCACCAGAAAACACAACGTTGACAGTCGACCACATTTACTACATTCACCACTCTTTGGCAAACAATGAGGTTATCAGCTCATAAAAGGAAGAGAATTATTTACATCGATCTTACACAACAAACGAGCAGTATTTTAGCCTTACCTTACTCAAGTACCGGTACTCTTTTCATTTCAAATCTCACCAAATTCAAAGTATGCAGTGTACTATTCTGTTTGCACTCGTTATGATCTAGATATCAGAATGCCCATATTAACGCTTCAAAACTGCCACCCTTTACCGATCCTTGTATATCATCTCATCACATTTCCACTCCTTCGTATTAACATTATTCTTCTGTAATCTTCTTCGCAATCTCAAAAACACTCTCAAACTCTGCAGTATCCGCACGGCCTAAACCGCACTCTGTCGCGATACCGAAGTCTTCCACAAATTCGCTTGCAGTCCTAATCCTCAATCTCGTTCCTTCAAGATCATCCTGATGCAAAAGACCCAAGTACAACTCCGTATCATTCTTTTCCAGGTATTTCAATGGTTCAAAATACCCGCGATCAACACGATCTTTGGGTACAGGCATATGAAGCCAGTTGACAGATCTTCTCTTCCTTGTTTCAGTCAAAACTCGATTCGCGATGTCGACTAATAAGGTCATATCCTTGGGTTGTGTGAAGTGTTGATGTCCGAGATCTCCGTAGCAGAAATGGAAGCCCAATTCGACGGACGGGTCTATGGCTTTTGCTAAATCAATAATGCGTGTGACGATACAGTCTCTCAAGGCCATGATCCACTGGTATTCGAGTTAGTGCTCGCCTGAAAGTATACATTGAAGCTTCAGTCATGAGATTGTTAATATGAAGCGAGATTGGGGACATGTAATGACGAAACGAATATACTTACATGTGGTGGGGGTGACACGATTCCCTCGAGAAATGCAAACTCTACAGCAACATCCCACTGAATGGCCAAATCTTCGGCAGGAATCTCATCTTGGATGCGACGAACAGCTCTTAATAAAGCCTTTGTATAAATCGGTTCCAGTGCTTCTTGATAGGCAGGTTCAATCGATACATGAAGGACATTAATAGGCGTAGGAAGCGACACCTGGAACCTCACCCCCTTTGGTATAACACCACTATCACGAAGTCTACAAAACTTGGCGTACGAATCGATGGCAGCATCATCATATCCAATTGGCATAAGTTTAATCTTCTCCGGAGCAATTGGGATCGGGCCTGGATCTTTGGCCAGCGAGAAATACAGAGAACGGACGAGGTAAGGGTATCTGTAGAACACGCTTCGTTGCCAGAGGACGAAGTTTCCTCGATTACCAGGCTCGCCATCTGGAATACGCTTCAACTGGGTGGGGAATGTGGTGTTAAGTCTGCGGAATACTTTGGATGTGTCGGGGAGACAGATGCTACCCACGAAGTGCACGTTCTTGATGGAAGGAGATATCGATCCCATTCTCAGAGGTTCGCAGCTAGTGCTGTTCGATACTCAGGAATGATGTTATGGTTATTCGAGGGGGTACAAATGCAGAACAAAAACTGGGCGAGAGGAACTGATGCTATTCGTAGTGACTCCAGAAAAACGGTTAAGTCAAACGATGAGAATTTTTATTTATATCATTCCACATTCAAAGTCTTCCTCATATATATACATGTTAGGGAAATAGAAGGGAAATATAAGCTAGTACTTTTTGAGCTTAAGGCACAATACCGCACCTCGATGACTTCAAAATATCATCTGTGGGTGTTGGTGGTTATCTCAGTCACACCAAAATTGAGGCTTATCCCGAAGTTTACCCTCGATGTACCCCCCCCCCCCTTTAAGACATAGGGCTTGTAAGCGGGGATCTGGAGGGAAGGCCTTCGGTGACAGTGATTGGAAATATTGGCTGACATTGGTTGAGATTGGTTGGTATTAGAGGATATTCAGTACGTATACTCGTACATATCTTCCACAACCCCATGTCAGTCAGACTTAGTGTGTACACAATGTCTTTAATCAGCCTCATCCATCCCATTCATTCATCTCTTTCCAATCCGATCCAATTCTCAAACTTCAAATGTAAAATCTCAGACTCACCAACGCGGCACAGGCTTCATTCAGCCCTGACCGAAAATTCGGAAAACTTGCAGATTAAGGTTACTTGCAGATAATGGATAACATCACATTTACGAGCTCAGATATATATAAAGTTAGTTACTAAAGAATAATTTGTGGCTGGGCGGCACGTACTATGATGACACGGGATGGCATGGAAGTTGGGAGCTGGGAGCTGGGAGCTAGGACGAGCTAGGACTTTGTTGGAGGTTCCAACGGTTGGTGGCGGAGGCTTGGCATGTACTCGAGTAGTGGGGGGTATGTATTGATATGATATGATATGATTGGTGTTTTTTGAGGGGGAATGGGGGGAGGGGTTGAAGAAAAAAAGGGAAAAGAATAGTTGATTGATATATAAGCGATTTGAACCATTAATACTGTAATAACCAACACTGGAAAATTTGAGATTTGAGAGAGGAGAGGTACTGTAGTTGAGTTTTGAAGGAAACTCGGGTGTTGGTGGTTTATTAAATGGTATGGTTGGTTTGCATAGATTTGCGTACAGTAAGCTTATGAGATGAGGGGAAGAATCGGGCTGGGGAGAAGAGACGATCTTGAGTCATTGGTCTGGGGGAGGAGAGACGATCTTGGTTCATTGGTTCGGGGGAGAGGAACTAGCGTGGATGAATGATGCATGGGTGATGCGGATGAAGTGAAAGAGTGGAGATAATTAGAGATCAGGAAATCAGGAAATCAGAGTGAAGATTGTGATGGGATGGGATGGGATGTGATGGGATGATTGTGATTGTGATGGGATGATTGTGATGATTGTGATGAGATGTAGATACGGTATGGACTAGGACGGATTGGGATTGGGACTGGTGCTATGGCTATGGCTATGGTGCACAAGATAAATAAATATAAGCGCGGTGTAATGTTATAATGTTGTAATGGTGTAATGTTGAAATGTTGTAGTGCGATGTTAGTTGTTGATTGTTGATTGATGATTGTTGATAAGATATGCGGCGCAGTTTTCAGTGGGTGAGTGGGGAGTGGGGAGTGGGGAGTGGGTTTGGGGAAGGTGAGGGAAAGGTGATGGAGAAAGAGAGGGGGGATATGAGAGAGGAAAAGAGGAAGGGAATGGTTATGTTGTGGTGGGGGTGGTGGTGGTGATGCTGATTGATACGAGGAGGAGGCGCGGTATGTGTATGGGTATGGAGGGAGGAGTGAGGCTGAAGAGGCTCGAGGGTTTAAAGGATAGAGAAGGAGAAGGAGAAGGAGAAGGAGAAGGAGAAGGAAAACAGTCACGATGTGATTCGTGGTGTTGATACAACGTGGATGTGGCATAGTACGAGTGAGTGAGTGAGTGGGAGAGCGAGTGATTGAGTATAATTGGGGAATGAGGAGGGACGCAAATCATGATAATCATTGAGTATTGAATTGAATAGGATACGAAGAAACGTGACATGACATAACCATTTAGTACCCGGGCGAGATCAACCAAAGAAAGAAAGAAAGTATCTTCCTGATTCTTTATTTATCTAACGTTGATAGCGATGTATATCTGATTTTTTAATACTTATATAATTACATACAATATGCGTAGTTGATTGGATGCGATCATCAAATCCTAAACACAACCAATACAACCAAACATACTAGTAGTGCGAAACCCATCTCATTGCCTTTTTTGAAATGATAAACTCGCCAAATAAGTTAATTTTGTATGTTATATTATGCGTGACGTAACATGGTGAGCGAATATGTAGAAGCAAAGAAACACTTAAACGGCCGTCCAAGCAAACTTTACAGATACGCTTTGACTGGTGGTGTAGACGGTTGCTTGGGTGCTGCCGGATGGGACGGCGGTGGCGTAGAAGGTTGCGGAGTCGGAGTAGGTTAGGTAGCCGCCCGAGGACTGTGGATGGGAGGTGGGGTGGTTAGTGTGGGTTTGGTTCGGGGTGGAGATGGGATAATGGGATAAGAGGGGGGAAATAAAATTGAATGAAATGAAAAGGTAAAAGAGAAACTTACTCCGAAGACGGTGGATACGCCGGAGCCGCAGCTAAATTTACCACTGGAGATACCGCATGTGCCTTTGGAGGATTTGAGGGTGAAGCCGGATCCTGGGGGAAGAGTTAGTGAGATTCGTTAAGTGGTATGTATGAGGGATCGGGTAGAACAATGTATTAAGATCTTGGAATTAAGGTTTTGTGATGCTGAATTGGCGAGACTTGTGAACGTGTAGGGGGGAAGTAGAAGTAGAGATCTTACCAGAAGCAGTCGCAGTGTAGGTGGCACAAGTACCACTGCTATACCACGTGCCTGCACCAATCAAACATCCAGTATTGCTACTTCCAACATACGCCTCCAAGTAACCCGATCCCGAAAACGAGCCCGTTCCCACTGGTGCAATTGCAGTAGTGGTAGGAGTCGCCGAACCCGATTTGACACCGTATTTAATACCGGTTGAGGGACATGAACCACTTTGACCAACGGGGGCACTGGGGACGAAAGTTCCGGTTGCGACGGAGCCTCGCACTTCGAAGGAGTACCAGATTGCGTCTAGGGACGACGAAGAACATTGGATGGTAGCCGGGTAGCCGAAGCCGGCGGTGATGGCGGCTTGGATTTGGGCCGAGGTGTAGGTTTTGCTGGCGGAGGGGACGATGCCTGCATTGGCTAACCACTGGGATCATGTTAGTCATTTATTGATTTTGCTTATGTGGCGAATACAAATTACGTACTGTATATGTAGGAAGGATCTTGAAAAGATCAACAGCAACGTTGAAGAAATCTACGACTTCTGCACCAGTGGTGTAGCTGCTATAACAAGAGGGCTCAAGGGTACTGATGCAAGTTCCGTGCTTGTTCCACTCGTGTTCCCAGAATACCTCGTTGGTTGAGTCGTCGCTGACCCAGTAGGTATTCATGTATGAGAGCAAAGATGTTTGGCCAGCGGCGGTGAGAATATTCGTTATGCTTGAATATTGGCGGCTGGTATCGCAGTTTGAATCGTAGGTACCATCACAGTGATCAGGCCATAGACCGTGGATAGTCCAAGAGTTTGCAGGACCTTACGGATGATAAGTTGCTGGTTTCCAAGTGGTTTTTGGAAAAAGAAAGATGTATGCATACCTGTGCTAGGATTCGCATCCCAAAATTGGGTTTGAACCATTTGACCTCCAGGAGTGTTGAAGCAGCAGGTATTGGTAGAAGAACCACTGCAACTCAATGTTGGATTCGAACATACCAATGGAGTCGCAGCTAGACTGGCCGCATGTGCAGCTGGTGCTAGAAGCACAAATGGTAAGAGAACTTTAGATATTGAGAACGTCATGATTGCACAAGAATTAAGTATTCGGGAAAAGCGAGGGAAGTCGATGCTTCTATCTCACGCAAAGAAGATTCCCTACTTCCATCATGGCGGTAGATATAACATTTTGCTTGCACTTGCCATGATAAGCAATCTTCCCCAAAACGTGCCGCACTCTATTGGAATTGGATTGTGATGGAGACGTTCTCTTAGAAAAGAAGGTGTATAAAAGAGAGAGGGTTGGAAGAAAAGGCAGTATGGGATGCTCATAGGTCAATTTGAGATATCGAACTACGATATTTTCAAGGTTCCTAAAAAGGCTAGAAATGAAGCTTGATGCTAGATTGATCCCCATTTATGCTTATCCTCTGATCGGCAGTCAATTGAATGGACATGAATCTTCAATCCGTAATTGATACGAGTACCTACATTACGTTTCCTTACCACCCGGCTATCATTCGCTCGTAGAATAAATTTCTCTCAAAGCCTCAAAGGGGAGATGTTGTGCAGGATTAGACATGAAGACTGTTAGATCCTGATGATGGAGTCTATTGAAGATAATGAAAAATTCCCTATCTTCCCCTGTGATGATTCTGATGGTTGTCGTCGTAAGTTGTTAAGTAATATTTGGAAGGTGGTGGGATATGGCTACTAGGGTTTGTATGTTTGTATGTGGGACCTTCTGAAATAGGTAAGAGCGCCAAGCATTTGCTTACTTTTCGCTTCTCGCAGTCGTCCATTCATGATCCATCTCTTCTTCATCTCTTCATCTCATCCTGTCGCTTTTACCACGACATAAAAGTTAAAGTTATCTATTCGGTCCCTTCAACCCTATCAAGTTATCACATGTGATCTACGGTACGTACCGTGGATGCAGGAAGATCGGATTGTGGGGATCGCAGGTGACACCGAGGCTTGGAAGCAAGTACTACTGAACTGAACTGACTGAACTGTGGCAATCACGGATAACTTCATCCGGCAAACAACAACCAACAACATCCGTCGTTATCATCATCGTCGCCATCGTCGTCACCGCCATCATACAACATAATCTTGCATTATCGTGGAACTTCTCGTCAACCTGTGTCGATTAATCGTACCTGAACTGAAGAATTGTAAAATTCATTCAAGATGAAGAACGCAGATGTGAGTTGTCGACCCAGTGTACAGTATCTCCATACCTCTTATCGTTTTGCTTTTGCTTTTGCTTTGCGAAGATTTTGGATACAAAAAACACTTGGGATATTGGTATGCTCTTGATTTCGAGAACATAGCTTCCTAGATAGTCTATAGGCTAGGTGGACAATTGGTATCCTCTTGGTGTTGAGGAGTTATGGCTTCGTGAGGAGGAAGTTTATAGATTAGGATAGGACTGGGTGTAAGATTGTGAGCTTCTGTTGATCTGTTGATTAATGAGCCTCAGATTCAAACCCTCATTCACGCGAATCACATTCTGCATTATCGGAATGTTGTCGACGCTTATGGTCATGTGTCTCTTCGGCATCCGGACAAACCAGATATTTTTATCATGTCGGGATCGACGGCGCCAGCACTGGTCTCATCAATATCCGACTTAATACAGTATAATGTCTCTGATAGTTCTCCGGTAGATCCTAATGCAAAAATGGGTTACCAAGAACGCTTTATCCATAGCGAAATTTACAAGAGATTTCCAGACATTAATTGCGTCGTCCACAGTCATGCCGAAGCCGTAGTACCTTACACAATGAATGGAGTTCAGATGCGTCCGACATATCACTTGGCTGGGTTTTTAGGTATGATAATCTTCCGAGGAAGGTACATCAATATGTGTATAATGATTGCTTATAGGTGATTATGTACCAAATTTTGATATCACGGAGCTATACACCCCGATCGATCGACAAGACTTCCTGGTCAATTCTGAAAGGTTTGGCGCTGCTTTGGCCGGGAATTTCTCCAAGCCGAAATCAACTACTCAAGACTACAACGTTGTCCTGATGGCCAATCACGGTTTCACAACCCTAGGGTCCAGTATCAGGCAAGCTATATACCGTGCCGTTTATACCCATGTCAACGCGTGTCTACAAGCAAATGCTCTTATGCTCAGGAATGCCGAGGAAAGAATTTCTGAGCTGGGTCCCATAAGATTTTTGAACGCCGAACAAGCTTCTGGATCAGAAAATTTGAACGACGAATCAGCTGGAAGACCTTGGCAGTTATGGGTACGAGAAGTGGAGGTATGTCCTTTGTACCAGAATGAAGCTACAAAGATAGATCCATCAGAGGAGGTATGATACGGAAGACTAGGCTCTTCATGCTTCTACTCCACAGTGTTATCAAAAGGGTGCCATGTGCTATGGTTCATTTTGAAAAGGGCCCTAAGGGAAGTTCAATTCATGCGAATGTCTTAGAGCTATACTTAGCTTGGTATGGCTTTTCATCTTCAATTCATGTAATGACATCCGGTACCGGATTTCTCAAGTATGGAAACCAGGCTAGAGACTATGTCCAAACAAGGTGGCGTTGACTAAGTAAAACATAATTCCTTTCATCTCATTTCCTGAATGTCATTTTCAACTTTGACCTCTTGGGAACGATAGTTCCTACCACTAATTTAACCTTTATCTCATTTCATGAGATTTTGAGACTGTTTGATTCTGATTCGTGGCTGTGAGAATATGCATGCAGGGGTTTGGAAAATGACAGCCAAGACTTGCGATGAAAAATGTCAAACGTACATGGGACTTACCGAAGTCATCTACTCAGAAAACCTTATCTGTTTATAGTATACTAGCGTATACTATATTTGGAGATGTGAATGATTTTTGGAGGTCCTGGAGTTGCGCTGTGACCTTTGAGGGATTCTCATACAACGCTAGAATCTGCCAAGAATTAGAAGTATCAAGAAGCTAATGCCTAAAAAGGATAGCTAGCCCTGGCAATGCTATTTCAAAACGTCGCGGTGACTTTGCCATCGCAGCCAAGATAAATGCTTCTTCGCCTTGAATCTGTGCTGAGCCTCTGTGAGAGCTTGATATCATATTTGGGCACCACGTTATCAGTGTCACTTGGCGTTTGACGAATTATTGGCATTTCTCCGACGTGGAAAATGTTTATACTCTAGTCCTATGAAATGTTAATATCTGATTATAGGCGGATTATTCGATTGGCCAGACCTTAGATATTGGGACCGTGGGTAAGGCGTGGGGTAGGCCAGACCTAAATTGCACGGCCCCTGGAAGTTATTAGTCGGCAACGTAGTCTCTGTGAGTTCTTGATATAAGAGGTCTTGTGCTCATGCACCCAAGTGTTCTGATTCCTCAGCTGTGCTCCATTTGATTCTCTTCGATCTTCATTTTACACTTCTTAGCTTGACGCTTCAAGATCTACGATCAATTTATTGATCCAAATCCCTTCACAACCCATCCCCAACGCAAACACTCCTCAACAATTCACTTCTAAAATGTTGAGTAACTATCTCCTCATGGCTATGCTCGCCACTAGCATCTCGGCACTTCCTTTGAACATCAACCTTGGAGCTTACTCGCCTGCCTTGGTAGTCGGTGATGGTGAAATATCATTCGGAGGAAAAGCAGATGTATCAAACCTTATGAGCGCACTTGAAGGAGCAGCCGTCAGCGGTGCCGCCACAAACGGTGCCACCACCGCCGCAAACACACAAGCACAAGCAGCCCCCGCCCCCGCAGCTGCCGCACCAGCTACCGCCGCCGTCCAAGAAGCAGCCACCGAAAGTAAGACTGAAGCCCAAGTAACAGCACTTCAAGGAATGGGCAAGGAAATCGCACCCCGCATCGTCAAGCTCGAACGATCTGATATCGAAAAAGCCGCGAAACGTGATATTCAAACCTTGAATGCCGCCCTGAGCTACGCTGCCGGTGCCATCAAAACCAGCCCCGAAGTCCAACTCGGAACTGAAGAATCGGGTATTGGTATTCTCGTCAAGGCTGGAAGCACCGCTAATGCTGCTGCTGGAACTGCTGCCAAAGTTGCGATGGGCAAACGTGAAAATGGTGTTGCCGATTCCAAGTTGAAGACTACTGTTACTACTATGTTCATTCGTGGTGGACCAGCTGGTTAGTTACTTTTCTTTTCATTCATTCATCCATTCATCATCATCAATAGGATTTTAAAACTAACATATCAGCACCATAGTCGAACAAACAAGCTCCATTTCTACAGCTCGCAACGTCGAAGATTCGAACCACTCAGCGGTCTCCAAGCGCGAACCAAGTCAAGCAATTGATGGTGTTAACCTCAATATGGTCGAGGGACAAGTTGCCGAACTCACGTTTGTAGAGACACGCAGTGCAGATGATGAGGAATAGATACATAGTCTATCTCGCATTGAATGGGTGGGAGAAGGACTCGGATACGGATACGGATATGAATGAGTGAGGGAGAACGGAATGTGTAATTTTACCAGCGTCAGCAAGATTATGAGATGATTGATTCGTCACTTTTGGCTTCTTACGGCATGGTAGCTCTTGTTGTGTGTTGTGTTTTTTTTTTCTCTTCCTTTTTCTTTCTTTCACTTCTGGGGTTTTACAAAGGCGTTTTTCCTTGGCTTGGCTTTACGAGTAGTGGTTTGTATACTCGAGTATATACATACCACATGGCTCTTATGGTTATAATTTCGGAGGAAAGATGGGATACTGGGGAAAAGTAAAATAAAGTAAAACGCTAAGTATACATTATGTAGACCTATCTCTGCATCTAAAGAAAATTAGAAGGAAACATTTCTATTGCTGTTGTCACACTTTCAAAGTTTTGTTTTCTGTTTGAATCCTTTTCCTTTTCGGATTTATCGATCGACTTCCTTTTTCGGTATGCTCTTCTCCTTCCCTTCTTTCCTCAACTTACCCCTGTCTTCGCTCTCACATATCCCCTCCAAATAAACCGAAACGCATCTAAAACACAAAAGGAAAGATACCGGGAAAATACCTACCCGCGAGCCGTCCGTCATCGCTAGCTAATAACTCGTCGTTTCATGTCGCTACTTGAACCGCTTTTGGAATTATTTTTACTCGAGTATACTGTGGATATGTTATTGGATATGTTATGCTTGGATTGGGTGTGGATTTCTGATGGTGATGGATGAGGATGGGGATGAGGATGAGGTTATGTGTGTTGTGTGTGTTGTAGAGGTGCGGGGTTGGGATTGGGATTACTTGATTGGTTGGTTGGTTGGTGCGTTGGTGCGTTTGTGATGTATGGATGGAGTTCGAGTATTTGTAGATACACAAGCAATGAGCGATGAGCAATGTGCAATGTGCAATGAGCATGTGTTTGGCGTAAATGGGAGAGGGGGAGGAGAAGGAGAATTGGAATGGGTGCGCTAAGGGAGTGGAAGAGAAGGAAAACATTTTGAATTTGTTTTCAATTGTCATGGGAAACTCTACTAGCAAATTCATTTTAGCTGTTTGAGCATCTTGGATTTCGAACGGCTCCTCTCTTAGTTGAAGGGTTTAGAGAACGAATATTTGCTATCCATTTTGAATGCAAAAGATGGTGAAAATTCTCATCTGATGGTTTTTCATGGATAGTAGATAATATCCAATCTTAATCTAAACAATGAAACTCGCTTCGAGTCCTAGGAGGCTATGTACCTGCCCAGCTAGCTGTATTGTAACGAGTTATATGTAGCAGATGGAAAACCAAAGAGCCAATTGCAGAAGAGGAAAGTCAGACAATAGTGACATTCTAAATGTAAACTTCTCTGAACAACCACTCTGCTGCGTTATCGTACATCTTCCTTCCTATCACCATTTCCTTCTCTCTCTCTACCTTGTCTCTCTTCTGTATCCCCTCTATACTCTCAAATCCTAGATTAAAGTCAGTATACATGAACGTTTCCTCGACGCTCAAATGTCAAGAATGAGAAAAACATCAAAAAGACATACCATGCTCCACCCCCAAAACCTTCTCCCACCTAACGCCATCCCTCTCCCAAACCAACTCCCCCTCCACCCTCTCCTTCCCCACCAACCTCTCAGCCATAAACTCCGCATCATACCACAACATATCCAACTCACAACCCACAATACAAATTTTCTTCGGCAGAACCTTCCTCTCCGCATACGCCACACTCAATCTCGGATCACACAAATCTGTTCCTAGCGGTATATACGCATAGTTAAACAGCGGCCCCATTTCCTCTAAGCGATCTCTCGGCGCATATATCGGTCTCGCTGCTATGGAAACAGATTGCGGCGTCACGAAATTACAAACGGGGTAAAAAGCACACACGCCGTGGATTCTCCCTTGGAGAGAGGCAGCCTGTGGAGCGGCGAGCGAGAAACATCCACCGGCGCTGAAACCGCCGATGGCGACTTTAGCGCAGTCGAAAGGGAGAGATTCATCTTCGAGGACGGCGTTAATGATGTCGGTCAATTCGTTGACGGCTTGGGGGAAGGGAGATCCGGGGGCTTTGGAGTAGTCGAGGGAAATGACGAGGATGTGGTGTTTGGAGGAGAAATAGGAGCAGAATCCATCGTCGACGGCGGGAACACCGAGGACGAAACCTCCGCCGTGGATATTGAGGTAGAGGGGGAGTGGTGGGTCGCCGGATTTGTACGTGGAAGGGATCCAGATTCTGTGGGTCAGGTAGGGGTGGATGGGATAGGTTTTGGTGAAGGTGGGGAGGTTTGTACGTCCGCGGATGTAGGGTGAGGTGATGATTGGAATGAAGATTTGGGTCAGGGTTCTGAAGAACTGTAGTTTGATGGCAAGAGTAATACGCCTCCATATCGACAGCGTGGGCTGGTATATTGGCCCTGGAGGCAGCTGAGGTGGTGGAGCCATGTTTGACCTAATAATTGTGTTTTGATGAGCATTTGAACTGATATAAAGTAGAATTTCGGGGTTGGTTACTTTTCAAGCCCTATAATATAGAGAATTGTGGCTGAGGGTGGGATGCCAAAGCCTGACGAGATCCACTGACGGCGTACAGCGACGCGTTATATGAAGTTCAAGTATAAATTGGCGGTTCTGGGTCCTGACACATCAATTTACAAAAATTACGTAGCACAGCAAGATATCAACAACAGAATGTCATATTGACATAAGAGTTGCAGGGTTAGAATTTGCATATGCCAGCACGGTCAGATAACCTCAAATGATCGTCGAACGCACAGGGATTCACAAAATTGCCGAGGTGAAACAATCGATATCTCGCTTCTCCTATTGGCTGAAAGTACTACTCGAGTACCTATCTTCCGTTCAATCTGATAAGATCTTTATGGACGAAAGACACCTGAATTAGACCTTCTAAAGCATGGCTCCAGAATCCTTAAGCGATCCTGGAATGTAATATATATAGGAATACTGGGTGACTTGCTATCACCCACCTCAAATTGGGTACTCGTGATCATGAGCCCGCATCTAGACAACAGCCATCAACTCCAAATACTCTAAACCATCACGCCTCAATACCAAAACAAGATATCACAGAGCTAACAATACTATTGTGAAGAAGAGTGTACACTCTGGGCCATACAACAAAGACGAAACAACGACGAAAAGGCATCCCGTTGTCCAAAATTGCTTATCCTTCCTCATAATATGTGGTTTCAGCTTCGAAGTATAGAATGAAAACTGTTCCAACCAAAAATCACAATGCTCCAACGCCTCAGACTGTGTCCAATTATCCCAATTCATATTCGATGACCTTTTCGGTAACTCATCGACTTTCCATTGCCAGAAAGCCGTCAGCTTACCCGATGATGTGAAAGGTTTTTGCCTTTCTAGCCAGGTACGCCAACGGTCAATTGCATGGGTTGCAGTTAACGCATCGATCTCCAGCCATTCTACATGCCTTCTAGGTCCGCGTTGGCTGTTCCTGCAGATGCCGCACTCAAACCATTTTCGCTGGTTATGAAATTCTTCGAAGAGGATGGATTCGACCAAAGTGTAATGATAGAAAGCATCCTTGCCACTGCTGTCGGATGATTCAGATACCATATGAGATGTGGATTTGGGGACTTTGGTAATTGGCATTCCACACTTCGACCATTCACGCATGCGAGTTTCAGGAGCTCGGCTCGATCGACCGATCTTTATGTGGGAAGGGGCGCAGCTGGGAGATTCGAAGGCATAAATGTAGCCGGGGGAAAGATCAGACTGAGGCTTGAGAGGTTTCTGGAGAAGCGATCGAATGGAGTGATTTATTTCTCGGGCACTTTTGTGGGCGGACCCGTAAGAAGCAAATTTTGGATGTTGGGGCTCTACCACTGGTAAGATAGGATACTGGACGGGCTTGGAATTGACGGTATTATCCACCTCCAATTTCCTATTCCTGTGAACAAAGAATTGTTCTGGAAAAGCATTGAAAGCTCCAGGTATCTTTAATTCCACTTCATCTTGATCGTCAAGGTCATCGAGGTCATAGTTGTTTTGACTTTCGATCTGATTTTGATATTCATCGGCTTTGGGCTGGAAAGCTATTACTTGAGAAGTAACTCTTGGTTTCCTTGGAGGAGCTCTCGTAGGTGAAATAGACAAATTTCGAAACCGTATTTTTCGGATTTGATTACTCGACTCTTCCAGATCATCTGGTGGGGTTGATGGCGACAAGTCCCGTCCAGAAGATCTGATGGAAAATGTGCTATCTGCAGTTGATACCGTACTATCACAGGATTTTGAGGAAGAAGTGCTTGATGTCTTCAAAATTGGCCAATCGGGTGTCAGGTAAGTATTGAGGAGTGCTCGGGACGTTCGATGGGACGCCTGGTCAGTAAAGGGGTATGTAAAGACATTGGCAGGTGCATGCCCAGGGCTTGACATGATCAATCGGGGAGTAAGTGATGTGATGTGTATATTCCGAGTTCTATTGTCCTACAACTTAACTTATCAGAGGTACTCTATCGGCCTTCTTAAACGTCTGACTTGTGGCTGGACAAAAGGAGTATCTTCATTAGGCGACGAGTACCACACCATTTCTTCAATGTTTCGGGGCACAAACCAATAATATGTCAGGCAGAGTTACTGCAAGCCAATCAAACATGCATAAACCCTTGCTGAACTGCTACAAAACACGTCAGAACCAACATGTTGGGTTTTTATAGCCAACAATGAACTGTGATTAAATGCACACTTGCGCATTCACCCATGAAATCGGGCTCGCTAATAATAGATGCTTTATCTTCGATTTTCCATGTCGACCTCAAAACTTTGGACAATCTTTCACAAACTTCTGTTTAAGTATGTATGGTGGCCCTTGTGACGACTTGTGACATGTCAACCATCGAGCCGAAGTTCGACTTTGATGACCGGAGTTCAAGAGTACTTTCATCAATCTCTCATATCAGTATAGGTTTGTAAGCCCTATTGTTCAGGATCAAGTCAAACAATGAAGTCTCAATGACGAGAGCTAATTGACCCAACCTCGACCTTGACCTGCCGCGTTGAATTGTGGCATATTGTCTCAAACATCCACTATAACGTATGAGAGAAGGGTCGTTGGCCAGCAGATTTGAGTTGATACTTGCATGTTTGATAAACTAACCTTTTGGTGACCCGCGTTTGTGAGAGACTCCAAAAATAGTACATTATAGACGCTGGGGAACTCTATGTTCAAAGATAGCTCCAACATGGCGAATAATTGTATAATAGTGTTTGGCTCTACACAGATACTCGACAGAGAATAGGTATGAGCTAAGTATAGCATGAAAAATTGAGGAAGGAATCTATTTAATGTTGTTCCGTTGAGAACAGTTGAGGATGAAGAGATATCACAAATGGGTTGAGGCTTGACTGAACACCAGCATAGTCACGTGTCAAATTGTGGCTGGTGTCCATCTCATAACGCAGACTTTTTTAGAAATGAGAACTCCTCACTCGATTTAAAGGTTTAATTGACCCGAAATCCCGAGGTATGATGACTTCCCGAGTCCTAGACACCGTCAACAAAGCATCATATAACCGGTACAGGTACCGGTACTGCATACTGCTTCCTAGAAACGCGAAATGCAAGAGATAGGGGAGTCTGTATTGTATACATCCCCCATATTTTTCAGTATTTCCTCGGCTCGAGTATGCATGCTTTGTTCTACCGAGTACCGAGTTACTGTACTGCATTCAGCAGTTCGAGTCGTCGACCATCAGTATTAAAGGAAAATGTAATTCCACATCTTCGTTTGAGATACATGAGTGAGTATACGGGAATCACCTCGTATGTGTAAACGAGACCGGCATTATCCCTATCTGTTCATCTAGATGCACATGAGCATTAATACCCTGGTAATCTTCTCTCGAATGCACCATCACATTCGGAGAAAATGGCACTCAAAAGGTATTCATGAAGTTATGAATACTCTTGTTGATCGACCGATCTCTGGTGAAGACTGTGCCATTATTGGTCACGATAGGGATAGGTATATATATCTTATTCAAATGAAAGTTACATATTCAATTTGGATTCATTCCTCCCCCACTCATCAAAGTCCAACCCACGGCGTCAAATACCAGTGTATACTGTGGTACCCAGTCTCGACACTGATCGGAAAGTTTCTATCTCGCATACCTTGGCAAGTTGGTACACACGTGGAAATAATTTATTATGGTTTCGATTTTGAAGGGGGTACATTTGGTATTCGTGTACTGTAGTAAGTACAGCAGCTGAACCCAACCTCGGTTAGTTGAGGTAAGACGGTACTGTTCTGCGATAGTGACACCCAATCATATATGGTTTCACTTGATCAAGGACCGTCAGCAATATACTTCAATTTAGGCAAGTGTCTATACTGTAATATAAAGTAGATGATTGAAGGAATCTACAAAGTGGATGAATTCATTAGAGATTTATTATCCACTTTGATTTCATGTTCCCGGAATTCCCTTGTTAAGCGATTCGAAATGACTAAAATTAGGTCATATATGGTTTGGATTTAAGTTCAGTTAACTCATGCTCCTCCTTTTCCAAATCCAATGCCCATATCATTGGTGCATAAGTTTTTGCTCTTAGTCCAGCCCTAATAAGTATTGTCCTATCAGTGTCACATTGGCGGGAATTTGGATTTTTCCATCGTACAAGATATTTTCCCGCTACCACATTAAGCCAGGCTCATGTCTTGGCACAATCTTAACATTCTTAATTTGGCTCTTTATCCGCGATACTTGGCGCTCCTGGCATGTAGGCATAAGATGGTGGTGACAGAGTCTTCATTATATCACTTCAGGAACCATCAATAAGATATCAAGTGCCAACCTCAAAAAGTTTGACGAGGATTTCGAGCGCCGATGAAGACTTGAAGTTCAGGCTCTTTCTTTTTTAAAGACTTAATTTCATTAGTACCCCGCTTTAGACGGTTCCGGCTCCCAAATATGGAATGTCAACGATAAAGTTTATCCACCAGGCATCGCGAGGTTTTGGTGGTACAATGGTTGGCCGAGCAGACAGCTCATTTCCTCATTTCCAATGCAGGGCTGCGGAAGATCAGACTATATGTATAAGCATTCCCTCTGAATAACCAAAAAAAGCAATGCAGTCCATTGTAATCCCTAGATTGTAAACTCAAGTTCCCATATTACCACAATTATGCATTCACTCTTAGTTTGGGCCGCCGCTGTGCTTTTGCCCTTGGCTTATGGAGCAGGCGTCACTGGATCTGCTTCAGGTGCTGCTCATGGAGTAAGTCTACCATTGAATACTTCTTTCGCAAATTCTAAAGTCTGATCGTCTAGGTAAGTGGTGGTGGAAGTTCTAGCCCCGTTACGCCTACCACAACTGCCCAGTGAGTCAATAATTGTGCTTGACGCAGAAAAACATATAACTGATATGCTCTCAGATTGATCTCGTATCTTACAGATTCATCAGCACGCGTTATCCTCATTACTAAAACATTCGATTTCCGCGGTACTTTGGGAACTACAACGGCAACTGGATGCGTGCCCACTAGCAATACATGTGGATCTAAAGGACAAAATGCTATTAATGCAAATGGCTGGTGTGGAACTGCTCCCGCAACTTCAGTCAAATACGACCTTGCCGGCACCACCCCAATTTATGTTAAGAGCAACAAAAGTATTGTTGGTGTAGGCAGCGCAGGTGTTATCATTGGTCGAGGTTTATATCTAAAGGGTGTTACGAACGTCATCATCCAAAACGTTCATATTACCAACCTTAACCCTTCATTGATTTGGGGTGGTGATGCTATTACCTTGGTAAGTTTCGCATCTTACAGGGTGAAATTCGAGCTAATATCATTCTAGGTAGGAACAGACTTGGTCTGGATTGACCATTGTAAAATCTCACTCATCGGCCGGCAAATGATTGTCACTGGATACGATGCTGCCGGAAGACTCACAATTTCTAACAATGAACTCGATGGTAAAACTTCATGGTCCTCAAGTTGCAACGGCGAACACTATTGGACAATGCTCTTCTACGGAGCCGCAGATTATGTTACACTCTCAAACAACTACATTCATCATTGCTCTGGTCGTGCGCCAAAGGTTGGAGGGTCCGGTACTATTACCATGCACGCTGTGAACAATTACTTCTACAACATTGGAGGTCATGATTTCGACGTTGGCGCAGGCGGTGCCGTTTTGCTAGAGGGCAATTACTTCCAATCCGTCACAAGCCCCATCACCGCCGCTTCTGCTACGGCCGGAGGATCTATCTTCAACACATATGCTGGAACCGAATCAACTTGTACCGCATATCTTGGTCGTGCCTGTGTGGCCAATGCACTAACAAGTTCGGGAGTATGGCGCGGGTATGGTACAAGCAATTTCTTGACCACAATCCAGGCCAAGGAAAGTGGCCATGTGCCTACTGCTATGGCTGCTTCGCTTGTGCCTACTTATGTGGTGGCTCATGCTGGTATTGGAAAGCTTTAAAGGGAGCCTTCGTTTTGTAATGTGACCCGTAGGATTGATGTTGCTCGCACGTTGCTTGGTTGGAAATGGGTTTATTCTCATGCCGATGACTTGTATATACTATCGATGGGACTTCTAGCTGTACACATTTGAAATTCTTGTCTCGAACTTTACATTAGTTGTACATAATTGAAGTCAGAAAGTTTTTATCTTGCAATGTACTTTTATTATTTGTAGTTTCGCCGGTCATGTATGTTTGTGCCTTTTATCTAGGTGATGAAGCGAAAGTTCAATCATACTCGTATCTCTGTAGTCAGTTAATAGATTTCACTTCTACAGTTTCTCTCGAATTGACCACGCTCGCGCCGAAAGTAGTAGGTACACCTTCAAACTTTGTCCCCTCAGGTCGAGGTCAAGGTCCACCTCGCTTATTCTTGAGCAATTAGGCTCGCAGCTGGGCTCGACGTTCCGGACTGACCTCAACAAGGTCTAGCCACAACGAAAGAGAACATAATCAACAGGATGAACAAACAATACAAGGACTGGGATAATGGTTGCGAATTTCACGACTCTTTTGGGAAACAACTTTGGACGATTTAGACTGGTTTTGCAATAAGAAGGCATGTACGAAGGGAAAGGGAGAGTTGCAGTTTTATGTTTTGGTGGTCTTGATGTTTGTTGAGATATGTCCATTGTAAAGACTGTCTTTCTAGATTTTAGACAGTGTTATGATGTCATCACATACAAATCTCTAGATATATCAATAAATATCTAACTTTCCTACTATAGCTAGACCTTCCTTTATCACGTTATCCTCTGGCATGGATACGTATCCATACCGCCCATCCCAAATTAAAGCTCAATAGCTCATCCCCATAAACATATCCACCATGCTTATCATAGTTTATCAAGGCTTTCTAGTAGTACTAGTACTTTTCGAAGTCGAAGTCGAAGTCTTCTTCGCTCGAGTCCCTTCACTTTCCTCCCTCTTCTTAACCTTCTGATTTTGG